GAATGGTCCTTTTCAGTGGTGGCCCCCCATTTATGGAGTGCTCTCCCCAGGGAGGCACACCTAGTGCCATCACTAGCTGCTCTTAGGTGCCAGGCAAAACATTCAAATTCACACCAGCCTTTGGATCTTGATTTTAGAGGGGTACAGTAGAGCAGGATCTGTTCTTGTACATATTATTTGTGTGTATTGGGCTGTTTTATCCTTGTTTATGTAAATCACATTTGAGGGGGGGAGGAAGTACCTAATAAAATATTACTACTACTACTACTATTACTACTACTACTACTACTACTACTACTACTACTTTTATTGGCTGAGCCTTCTAGAACTACCAGCAGCTGCAGAGGTTCAGATGATAGCAAAAGCAACAGGCATGCTTTTTTTACTATTCTGCATGGAAATAATTATTACGCCGCCAGCAGGGGTCGTTCTCTGTTAGATTTAAAATTAAGAGCATCTCATACTATCCTTTTTCTACGGTTCTTGACCCTGAACTGCCCTGGTGGAAATCAGATGTATAATTCAAGCTGGGATGAAGTGGAGAAACGAGGGCAGGGAAAGTTGTCAGTATTCATGCAGACCCAGATTTCACATCACTAAGCTCTAAACATCCACTCCAAATCATCATCATCCTCTCTGCAACCTTAAGCTAGTTGTTGAAGTCCTTCAGAGCAGCTGGTTTCTGTACAAAACAGAAATTAATAAAATGCAACAGTCTGAGGCAGTGTGGTGTAGTTGTTAGAGGGCTGGACAAGGACCTTGGGAGACTAGAGTTCAAATTTCCACTTAGCCGGGAAGCTCAATGGGCCAGTCACATTCAGCCAAATGTACGTGTGTGTGTGTGATTGAGCAAATTATGCAATCCCTGGAGAAATGACATGGGCTGAGGGACCCTTGAATGAAGGCATTAGTCATCGGTTTTCCAGCTCTGTCTTTAATAGATTTAAATAATGAGACGAGATAGCTGTGATTATACACTAGTCAAATTAAGCCCCTAAATAACCTATTCATTTTCCCTGATGGCATGATAAATGGCTGCACTGACAATGCAGCTTAAAAGGTGGCAATCCTTTGCATGCTGTGTAAATGGACCTATTGTGTCTGCTTTGCTTTCATTATCATCACCACCATCATTTTATTATCATTATCGCCACCTGGAAATGCAAAACCCACCTGTTTCCCAGGTCTGCCTCCATCCCTAGGCAAAACACACAGGTTCCTTGGTAGGTGGAAAACAGGAAGGAAGAGGAACTAGGTGTCAGGTGTGAGTGCAGGAGCCAGGCCCTGTGACCAATAGGACTCTGCAGGACTAGGGCCTTCCTAAGTTTGTTCTGAAGAGGCAAGGCGCAGCCACACAGGTGAGGCCAATTAGTAACTCACAGCACCTGGCAGCAAGAGCCGGGAAGGAATATAAGGTCAGCATTTCCCTTCGGCTCTTTGCCACAGCAAAACGCTTCCTGCCTTGCTGCGTTTGGCTTCTTGTTTCCTGATCCTTGAACCTCGGCTTCTTGAATCCCTGCTTCTTGATCCTCGGACCCCTGACTTTGTGACTCCTTGCTTCCTGACCCTCGGACCCCTGACTTTGTGACTCCTTGCTTCCTGACCCTCGGACCCCTGACTTTGTGACTCCTTGCTTCTTGATCCTCAGACCCCTGACTTCATGACTCCTTGCTTCCTGACCCTCAGACCCTTGGCTTCTTGACTCCCTGCTCTCCGACCCTCGGATTCTTGGCTTTCTGACTCCTGGCTTCTGGACTCCCGTTCCTGCTCCCACCCCGCCATCTTGCCCCTGGTCCAGACATCCCCAGCCAGGACTTTGATTGACCGTGAACCGGACAGTGACACTAGGTATCCTTAATATCAAGAGTGGTAGAGATTCATTTCTGGAAAATGGGGCATTAGCTGCTGTTGTGCTGGTTGTTCCAGCAAGTCTTGGTACAATCTGAACTCTCCTCTGTGGACCTTCCTGTGAATATCTGCCACTCCCTCCCATGTTCTTAAGACTCACAGGAACATAGGCAGTGGCCTTATCCTGAGTCAGACCAATGGTCCAGTATTCTGCACTGACTGGCAACAGCTCCCAGACAGGAGACTTTCCCCATCCTACTTGGAGACACTGAGGGTGAACCTGGGGCTTTCCACATGCAGACCAGATCCTCTGCCCTCCCTTATTCTCTGTTAGAAACTCATTTTGCCAGTCTATGGCAGCACTTGCCTAAGTGACTCAGTTTGCTCCTGTTCCCAAAAGCTACAGAGAGATGAAACATGTCACGAGCAAATTGATGGGGCAGACCAAAGGCAAGGAATAGTATTGCTGCAAAAGTTGGGTGTCTGCCCGTCTTTCTGCCGAGCGGTGGCAAAAGCCCATGGGGTCCCAGGCACCCATCCCTTTGGGGGATGGAAGACACTGTGGAGACTGCCATGGCTTTAAGAAATATGGTTTATTCGCCTATTTGCACCTTCAGTCTGCATGGAAGAAATCCAGGTTGTACGGCATGGGCATTTCAAGAGGCAGCAGCACAGGCAGCCTTCAGCCAGCCTGCCCCAAATGGACTTCAGCTCTTCTTCATGCCTCTTCTTTCCAGCAACCCTTACTCCCAGACCAGACTCCCTTTTCCTGTCACCTCAAATATACACCCCGTCACCTTGTCAACCTTTCAAACCTCTGTCTCTGTCCACACTTCAGGGCAAGGGGGGAAGGAGTTCTCTTGCACTGGCAACAGGCCTTCAATGGCACTCTATTCTAATAATAATAATAGTAATAATGTAAAGGACCCCTGGGTGGTTAAGTCCAGTCAAAGGTGGCTATAGGGTTGCAGCGCTCATCTTGCTTTCAGGATGAAGGAGCTGGTGTTTGTCCACAGACAGTTTTCCGGGTCATGTGGCCAGCATGACTCAACGGCTTCTAGCACAACGGGACACCGTGACAGAAACCAGAGCGCATGGAAATGCCATTTACCTTCCTGCCGCAGCAGTATCTGTTTATCCACTTGCACTGGCGTGCTTTCAAACTGCTAGGTTGGCAGGAGCTGGGACAGAGCAACGGGAGCTCACCCCAATGCAAGGATTCGAACCGCCAACCTTCTGACTGGCAAGGCCAAGAGGCTCAGTGGTTTAGACCACAGTACTACCCATGTCCCGTCTTCCCTTAATGGCCCAAGCTTGGCCAGGCTACCCAGGAATTCAAAACCTATAAGAAGCAGCTTCCAGGCGCAGGTGGAAAACTGTGGTACCTGGTTGTCCATCTGTCAAAAGGGCCTGTTTCGCACGAGAGCAGGTTGAGAGGCAATCCCCTAATGCGTGTGACCTTGATCACAAATCACCGACAGCAGGATAGTTGCATGTCCCACTGCGATCGCAGCTAGGCATCACAACAGGGGTGTAATTCAATTGCGGCGCAATGTGGATTTTGTTTTGGCTGCTTGCAGCCAGTAACCTGATTAAACGGAGCAGCCGTCGGTTCTGGCTTAAGACAACATCTGCCGTTGCATGGAATTAAGCCCGCGTCCCCTTCTCAAGACTGCGTACTTGGTCATTCCTTCATTCTGGCTCCCTGAATTGTCCCATATTGGCATTCTGATTTACAGAATTCTGGCTCCCTGAATTGTCCCATATTGGCACAATTGCAGGTAGCCATGTATGTCCAACAGGAATGTAAATCCCAAAGGCGCAAGGCAGAATAATGGCAAACCCACATTGCAGCACAGGTGGATGTTTGAGCCGCACTTCTTGTTTTTAGTCAGACAGGATCATTTGGGTGGTGGCAACTGATGCCAAGCATTGTCCAGTGGAAGGATGCAGGTAGAGGTTTCTGGGTCATAGCCTGGCACCCAAATTGCAGCTTTCAAACAGGAGCGGAAAGTACAGCTGATTTGGGCAATAGATATAGGACACAATACAGATTTTAACCTCTGGGGGAAACTCTGGAAAAGTGACTTGAAGTTTACAGCATGTTACTCTTTGAAGGAGAACTACTTGGAAATGATTTACAGCTGGTATTTAACTCCAAGTAGGCTTACTAAGATGTGTAAGACTGAATCAGACTAGTGCTGGAGATGCAAAGAGGTGGAGGGAACGTACTTTCATATGTGGTGGACTTGTAAAAGGGCAAAAGAGTATTGGGGAAAGATCCATAATGAATTGGGAAAGAATGTTAAAAAGTACTTTCCCAAAAAAACCAGAGTCCTTTCCGTTGGGGATAATTCAGACTGAAATTCCCAGGTGTCAGAAAAGGTTATTTATGTACGCTACTACTGTGGCCCTTGTTTTGTTAGCCCAGAAATGGAAAACGAGCGAAGTTCCAACCAAAGAACTTACTGTTATGTATTGAAGTCCTCTCCCTGGCCACCAGGAGTATCATGTATATAGTTTTCACTCAGGTCCACATCAGTTACTTTAGGCAGGAAACCCTGGGTTGTTGCTACAATGTTGACAGCCGGCTGCCTATAAAAGCAGGCCGGCTGAGCCAGTGTCGAAGCAATGATTCTTCAACATCAACTTCATTGGACTGGCCATGTTGTGCAGATGCCTGATGATCGTCTTCCAAAGCAACTACTCTATTCCGAACTTAAAAATGGAAAGCGTAATGCTATTGGTCAACAAAAGAGGCTTAAAGACTCTCAAGCCAAATCTTAAAAAAAAAAGTGGTATAAACACCAACGACTGGGAAACACTGGCCTGCGAACGCTCCAATTGGAGAACAGCCTTTACCAAAGGTGTCATGGGCTTTGAAGACGCTCGAACTCAGGATGCAAGGGAGAAACGTGCTAAGAGGAAGGCATGATTGGCAAACCCTCACTGTGATTAACTCCCGACCAGAAACCAATGTCCCCACTGTGGAAGGACATGTGGATCCAGAATTGGCCTCCACAGTCACTTACGGACTCCCTGTTAAGACTGTGTTCATGGAAGACAATCTTACTCGGCTATGAGTGATCGCAAAAGAAGATGATTGATCATCAATGCACAAGTTCAGAGAAGTTTCTCCTGATCTCGCTGCTTGAAGGTTCCTGAGGGATTAGAGTGAAGTCATGCAAGTGCTTCGTCACTGCTCTGCACTTTATATGAGAAGTTTGAGGAAAGCAGCGTCGTCTAGGGAGTTCACACATTCACACATTGGCAATTAGCAGTTATCTATAATTCATCCTCACTCCTTCCTTTGGCAGAGGCTGGAAGCACTGCAGACGCAGAATCCTGAGCCCCTTGGGAGCAGCAGGTGGAGGAGCATTGATGGACAACACACATGCCATAGAGAGATGTGACAATCTTTTCTGAGGTTAAAGGCTTCAGCGAGAGGTGCAGGTTTTAGGAGTTAAAGACGGAATTGGGATCCTCAGAAATCCTTTCTTCCCCGAGAGCAAAAACACCAAATGCCGCCCATCGTTAACAGTGAGATCCCATGCATGTTTACTCAGAAGTCAAATCTACTTTGCTCATTGGACTAACTCCCAGATAAGTACTCTGCCGATGGATAGAAAGGGCAATCCTATACTATACTTACCTGAGGGTAAGTCTCATTGAACTCATTGGTACTCACCCCTGGGCAGACATGTATAAGACTGTGCTCACATTCAAATTGTGAATCTATTTCGTTCCATTAATTTTGTTCCACTTGGGGAGCAATCTGTGAAAATTTGTTAATATCTGTTGCTAGAAATTCAATTTCCAACCGTGTGTGTGTGTGTGTGTGTGAGAGAGAGAGAGAGAGAGAGAGAGAGAGAGAGAGAGAGAGAGAGGTCACCCAGATAAGCTTTTTCTACGAAAACTCTTATGCTGAGTAATTTAATATAAATCAAATTGCAATAGCAGCTTGCTAGAAGGAATGGGAAGTTGATGTCACTGTTCTGTTCCATCTTGTAATCCCTTGAGAGCCATTTCCAGCTGATTTTCAGCCTGGCTTTTAGTTCAAAAAAAGGCAGCCTCTGTTGAGTCCAAATCAGCTGGCAAACCCATAAGCCAAGGCCAGCTCAGGCTGATCCCCCAATGTCATCCTGAGTCATGTTTATAATTTGGTGTTGAATACTGTTTAAAAACTCCCTTCTCTGACTTATGAAACAGGCATCTCCTGCAGAACAGAATACAGCATCGAGCATCACACAGAGATCTGGTGTGCTATTATGAGAGAGAGGAAGGGATCATGTGATCTCAACAGTACTTACAGGGCAGGGAGTAACTCATTAAAAATATGTGCCAGAGACACAAGAGGCATTGTTAATATCAGGATGGGAAGCTGAGCGAGATGAACTGGAAGTCCCCGCATAAATACAACACGGCCTTTAAACTTCAATCATGTGCTCCTGTTGAGGAGTACATGCCACTCACTCTCTGAGAATAATACACCAAGAGAACAGTCTCTTTGGGGAAGAGCTTGTGGTTCAGTGATAGAACAGGGGCCAATTTGCAAGTGTTTGGCACCACTTTCGAGTGAATTGGATGACGTCAGATTTTTGGCAAAATCCTGACCCCTCCCGCAGGTTAGGGCATTGAGGACTGGGTTTTTGGCCTTCTGTGAAATGTGTTGTTTGCACCGCCGAACGTTGCAGAAGAGAATTTGCAAGTGTTTGGCACCACTTTTGAGTGAATTGGACGCCGTCAGATTTTTGGCAAAATCCTGACCCCCACGGGTTAGGGCGCTGGGGGCAGATTTTGTGGGGCGCCGTGAAACGTAGTATTGTCACCACCAATCATTGCAGAGGGCCTTTTCTGGGTGTTTGGTGCTGTTTTGAAGAGACGTCGGATTTTTGGCAAATCCCTGCCTCATGAATCGGTGCTCATTTTAAGGCCTACTGTGAAATGTAGAGTTTGCACCGCCAAAGGTTGTAGGGGACCATTTGCAGGTGTTTGGCGCTGTTTTCTAGTGAATTGGACAATGTTGGATTTTTGGCGATATCCTGACCCTGCGGGTTAGGGCACCAAGAACTGGGTTTTTTGCCTTCCGTAAAACATGCTATTTCCACTGCCAAACGTTTCAGGGGGCCCTTGTCAGCCTTTGACACCGCTTTCGAGTGAATTGGACAGTGTTGGATTTTTGGCAAAAACCTGACCCTGTGGCGAGGGCAAATTTTGTGGGGTGGCGTGAAAGTCCCTGCTTCCAGTTGCCTCCCTCCTGAAGCTGCTTTTCCCTAGAAGAAGCAGCCATTGGGGTTTTATTGCATGCAGTCATATTTAACTTGCTGGTTTGCTCTCCACAGACCTTGTATCCAAGTAGTAGTAATAGTAGCAGTAGCAGTAGCAGTAGTAATTTATTTATACCCTGCCCATCTGGCTGGGTTTCTGCTAAACAAGCTTAGGATAGAACTACATGGAGATGGAAGGAAGAGACAGCCCCGACCAGAGTAGAATGGCAAATCCAGTTGATGGACTATGCCGAAATGGCAAAACTAACTGGGAAGCTCAAGAATCAAGAAAACAAGAAATTTAAAAAAGAATGGGAAATGTTTATAATTTATATGCAAAATTATGGTAAATAGGTTAAAACATTAGCAGGATTTTAAATACATTTGTAATGTAACAGAATGTATAGATAACTTAGGAAGATGAAAAACTGGAGATATATTTATATGTAGTTGTAAATGGAATGGACCCGTGGAAGGGATGGGGGGGAAGTCAGAAGATTCAGAGCAATTTAGTACTATTTTTTGATGTATGTTTATTTTCTCTTTGTTTTTCTTTTTCTCTTTTTGAAAATCAAATAAAAAGATTATAAAAAAGGGATGGAGCTACATGCAGTAGCTCATATATCAAGGGGCTAGTCATTATTTTTGCTCTTGACAAATGCAATGTTGTAATTAAATGGGACAGGTGACCATTTCTATCCTTGTACAAGGTAATTAAAACATTTGTTTGGATGCAGACTTGGATTGCACTTTGGGACTGTCACTATTTATCAGGTGAGATCCAGTCACACCCTAGTAAATTCAGCTTGCACAATTAAAGCTGATTTCAAGGTCTTGCGCAGCAAAACTGCTTCCCGGAAAGATCGGAGTTTGAATCACAGAGTTTTGAATGCCTTGAATCACAGGCTCTCTAAGAAGCAGAGGCTCCAGCCGGCAGGGGCGGGGCTTCCCGGGCGGGGCGGGGCCCCAGAGCACAGCCCCCACCTGCCACTGCTGGCCGGATGGAGGCTCCCAGTTCTCGCTCGCTTGCAGTTGCTTCGTGCGGACGGAGCGGCGTAATTCAGGGTACCGTAATTCCCCGTCTCCTTTGCGCGCGCCGGCGGAAAAAGTTCCCCAGACCTCCGGCTCCTGGACGGCGGGACGTGGAGCTGGGAAAGCGCGCTCTGAGCATCACTCGGGCAGGTTTGGCGGCAGAGGTAAGCGTCCCGATCCTGCGCTTGAAATAAGCAAGGAGGGCGACTTAATCCCAGAGAAGCGAGCGCCGGGAGCGCAAGGCAATTTTGCTCTTCTTGAATTGAGTCGCCCTGATGGAGAGGCGTCCGACGGGGCTCTTTCTCTCGGCCGAGGCTGCCCTTCGCCTCCTGCGATTGCCAGGGAAGGCAGGCAGGGGGCAGGGAGAGGTGACGATCGCGGCTCCAAGCTGCAGGGCGCGCTTACCTCTGGGGGTCAAGCGCTGCCGTGCCACCCCATTCCTCGCTTGGGGTGCTCCGCTGCTTTCTAGGGGGCGTTCAGTATCCCTACCCCTGGCGGAAAGTGGCAGGCGGCTCTCGCACCCTCCGCGACCCTCTGTCCGTCCTCTGCGAGGATGGATTGAAATGGTGCGTTTTAACTTTTGCGATCCGGCCACTCCCTGCCGATCTGAAATCGCTTCCTCCCTCCCGCCTCCTAATGTCGCCGGAGAGTGAGTTTAAAGTAGGATAGCCAGATCGTAAGGCGCTTTGGTCAAAAATAACGCAACCCCCCGCTCCGCCCAATATTTCTGTTGTGCTTTACTTCTGCCTTCCATCAAGCAAGCCCCAAATGGAGATACTGCGCTTGGACTGTGGCCCCATCCAAAACCTAGTGGCATCAGCGCAGAGTAGTAGATCACATTGCTAGGAAGTCGATCCAATTGCATTCGGGACTGCCGCGTTCCTAACCTAGCTTTGCTCCCAGCCTGGAACTCAGGGAGCGCCTTGGCGTTCTGCGTAATGATGCTGAGTTCAATGCAACCTGCAATTTTGCGCGTCTCCTTCATGATCTGCTTTGAAAACGCTATTCTCGTGCTTCGTTTCTGTCGTTGTAACGCAGTATCGAACCCCTCGCAAAAAGGAGGCGGGGAAATCCTCAGGGTTAACTAATATGGGGTATTGGATCCTATCCATATGATCTTCCCAACGTCTCTTCTGGGTACACGCTAGGAAATCGCTCTGAGGATAAATAGCTGCCTTCATATTGGAGACATTTTGAGACATCTTATTATTTATTGACTTCATATACCGCCTTAGAGGGGACGCAGGTGGCGCTGTGGGTTAAACCACTGAGCCTAGGACTTGCCGATCAGAAGGTCGGTGGTTCGAATCCCTACAACAGGGTGAGCTCCCGTTCCTCGGTCCCTGCTCCTGCCAACCTAGCAGTCCAAAAGCATGTCAAGTGCAAGTAGATAAATAGGTACCACTCCGGCGGGAAGGTAAACAGCGTTTCCGTGCGCTGCTCTGGTTTGCCAGAAGCGGCTTAGTCATGCTGGCCACATGACCCGGAAGCTGTACGCCGGCTCACTCGGCCCATAAAACAAGATGAGCGCCACAACCCCAGAGTTGGCCATAACTGGACCTAATGGTCAGGGGTCCCTTTACCTTTACCTACCTCCCTAGACCCGGAGGTCTCAGGGCAGTTCACAGAATAAAATCAAAATATAAAAGCACAAAATACATAATCAAAATAAAAACAACAACCCAATAACTCCCCCCTCCAAAAAAACAACAGCGAAATAGTGTGAGATATTCAAGCCTCAATAGACAGCCTCTGCAGAAATGCCATCACTCCAAAGCAGGTTGTTCTCTGCCAAAAAATATTTCCCACCAAGTATTAAATTGGGCTAAACACATAATGAACTGAGTAGCAATAATCTAGGCCAGGCTATGTGCATTTTACCCTCTCCTTTGGCTCCAGTGTGACACCACTGCCAGTGGTTGAAGCTCAGCACATGTGGCGTGAGCCAACATCCATAGGTACTCTGCCGTTTTTTGAGAAATACGTCTGGTTCACTTTCCCTTAAACCAGCTTCCATCCAGTTTGAAAATGGAAGCCGAAGTTAGGCCGAGGTGTGTACACTTCCAGCAGCCATTGCACATGCTCAAATGACAGTGCCAGTGAATAATTGGAGGTCCGTGCAGGGGAAACAAGTCAGGTAATGCATATCAGGTGAAGACACCCCCTGCCCTCTCTCTGGTCTGTACAGCAACTTTAAAAAATGGCTTGAAAGGTAGCAGGACGGGGGAGGAAGCAACCTTGTTGCATTTCAAGCTGCTACTGTGTTCATAGACAAAGCATGACCGACTGCTGATGGTTTTCCACAGTCTTCAGTTGCTACCAGGTGACTGTCAACTGAGCAGTCCTCCCAGCTTGTTTCCAGGGAGATGAGATGACCGTGGCTATTTAATGACCATTTGTTCCTATTTGTTTGCAGGGAGGTTAGATGATGCTCAGTCAAAACAAGTGTTATCCCACACATTCCTTTCTGCAAAAAAAGTCTGATATTTTGGGGGAGCAGGTTTGTGTTGCAAGCACTGCCAATCAACAATAACTGCCCGGCCTGGATTTTCTGCTTTGTGACTGAATCCCACCCAAAAATTAGACTGGAAGTGCCCACAGTTTGTGGGGAGGCCCTACAGCAGCAGCTGTTTGCTGGGCAGTCATTCTGATTTGTCTGCAAGGACAATTGCATCAAGCAACTGTGAACTCGTACTTTCAAGTGCATTTCCCCATCGCCTGCCACAAGGGGCAACTCATTTGATTTGGGGGGGGCTGTTGCAGAAAAGCACAAAATCCCCTTTAACTTTGCAACCTTAATTTGCAAATCCCACCTGCAAAATCTCCTGGAGATACCCAGGATTGAAGCTGAGACCTTCTGTAAGCAAAGTCCTTCCTTTATAGAGCTCCTGCTACTCAGGACTTCTGTTAGGGTGGGCCTGGTGAAAAAGTAAACAGTGCTCCTGTACCTTTAATAAGGTAAAGGGACCCCTGACCATTAGGTCCAGTCGTGACCGACTCTGGGGTTGCAGCGCTCATCTCGCTTTATTGGCCGAGGGAGCCGGCGTACAGCTTCCAGGTCATGTGGCCAGCATGACTAAGCCGCTCTGGCGAACCAGAGCAGCGCACAGAAACGCCGTTTACCTTCCCGCCGGAGTGGTACCTACTTATCTACTTGCACTTTGACGTGCTTTCAAACTGCTAGGTGGGCAGGAGCAGGGACCGGGCAACGGGAGCTCACCCCGTCACGGGGATTCGAACCGCTGACCTTCTGATCAGCAAGTCCTAGGCTCTGTGGTTTAACCCACAGCACCACCCGTGTCCCCGTACCTTTAATAGCTGTGCCTAAAAGTTTACACAGCTAATTAAAGGCACAAGGGACCTGTCTGGTTCCCCCCCCCTTCCAGCAGATCATGCTAGCTAGCTCCTTTTTAACTATCCTGTGGATGAGAGAATTTTTGCAGATTCAGACTGCTGTAATGGAGAAATGAGGAGAGCTACACCTGGCAGAACTCAAGGGAGCTATACCTGGCACAACCCCTTCTATACAGGGGTTAAAGGTGCACAGCATCATCCCATTCTTGCATCTAAAGTTCCATGACCTCAGGACTGAACAGCTTGCAGAAATAGCAATCCAGGTGCAAATTTGAAAGTACAACTTGGTTGCGAATGCCTGGCTGTCAGCTGGGAACAAGAGCATGAAATATTCACAGGCTAATGATCGCCCTTTCCACAAAGAAGCACAGATCAGGCACGGCTTGGTTTTGTTTTTTAAAGTTTGGATGTTTAGTAAAAGCAGGATTTGACATCCTGCCTGTTCGTTAGGTAGGCGTGTGCTTGGCAGTTGTTGGGCCATTGTTTAGATGTGCATATATCTGGGCTGGGAGAAAGTTTGGCATTAGTTCTATAGTGCCACTAGCAATGTGAATTTAAAGCCCAGCAAAAGCATTGCCAGCTTTTTTTTTCTTTTTCATTTTATTTGCTCTCCTCCCGTTTCTCTCCACTGCCACCTGCTATTTTATTTATCTAAAATACAATTTATTAAGGTTTATAGAGAAAAACATGAAACTTAATATCTTTTCCCTTTTTTAAACCAAACCAAGACTTTATTTAGATACAGTAAAATCATGAAGGGGGGAGGAGAAATAGAGAAGGAAGAATATATATATATATATATATATATATATATATATATATCTATATATATATATATATATATATAGAATATATAGATAGAAAAATTACTTACCGAAACTTACTGGAAGAATATGAAATCAGGATAACAAACTTTTTATAAAAGAATGGAAATGGTTTATTGAATATTTACAGATAAATTGCAAACAAATAAAAACATTGGCAGGATTATTGTAAAAACCTGCAGTTTCACAAGAGTATATATTTAAAGTAGATAATTAAATGAGCAAATTAAATCAATTTGGATATGCAGAAGATTTTTTTAAAAAAATTAAGGAACTGCAGAAAGATGGGGAAGGAAGTCAAACTTTGAAATGTTAACATGATTGTAAAACTAAGGAAATGTATCAATTTGAAAAGTATAAATAAAAACTTTGTTAAAAAGATACAGTGGTACCTCTGGTTGCGAACGGGATCTGTTCCGGAGGCCTGTTCACAACATGAAAAGCCTGCAACTTGAAGCACTGTATCTGTGTAGGTGTGGCGCATGTGCACATGCGCGAAGCGCGATTTAGCGCTACTGCGCATGAGCGAGCGGCGAAACCCGGAAGTAACCCTTTCCAGTATTTCCAGGTCGCCGCGGGACGCAACCTGAAAAACTGTAACATGAAGCAAACGTAACATGAGGTATGACTGTAATTGTTATGGGGGGAAAGGGGGGAAGAGAAAGATGGAAAAATAAAATTGAATTGGATGAAGTGCATATTGTGTTTAAATAGCAGACAGATGAAGAATTGGAAGTTCTTTACTTTTCTTCCCACCATCTGACATTTTAGAAGCTCGTCAGGTAAAGTTTTTCCTGACATGGGTATGGTGATGGAGGAAATTATCACGCATGCTAAGAGTGCCACATCTCTGAGAGAAATTATGGCAAGGGGTGTGTACATGCTTATTTTCCTACAGAGATGAACCCATGGCACTCACACAGTATAATAATTGTGCCTATTGGACTAATGACTCTCGCAATGCAACTCAGTGGAATTTATTCAAATAGATTTTGGGATATCTGTATATTTCTGTAACAGAGAAGCAAGGTTGGGATTTCCCCCAGGCACAAGGGCTATTGCCAGTCTGGTGGGCTGCTCCTATACATATTTAGTCTAAGGAAAATCACACTGAGCTCTAGGGGACTTGCATTCAAGAAAGTATACACAGGACTGGAGCCATAGTGAGTTAAAGTTACAGTACTGTTTAAATTATAGATTTGGAAGTTGTTTTGTCCTGACATGGTCTTCTTAGATCTAGTTCAAAATGGACTTTCCTCACTCGGTGACAGCAGCAGTAAGTGACAAGTTGCACGCCTTCACAGATCAAATCCTACAGATTTCATCATGCAAACGATTTCTGCCGAAATACTTCAGGCCCTGTGCTTTTCAAGATGATCAAACAAACCACAGATGATGAAACAATGGCTCGTTTCTCTAAAGTTCCTTTGTTTTCCAACTTCTCGTGCCTTGTCCTTTGGCACTTTGGCAAGCTTCTGGGGTCAAGTGGTCAAACAAATCATAGTTAAGGAAAAGTGTGTTGTTGTTGTTGTTGTTGTTGTTGTTGTTGTTTATACCCTGCCCATCTGGCTGGGTTTCTCCAGCCACTCTGGGCAGCTTCCAGCATGCACAATGCCAAGCTATGCTTTAAACACGTGCAATGTTCACGCACAGTGCCAAGCTATGCCTTAAACATATCAAGGTTTGCAAGCCAGCAACAAACCATGGCTTCAGATCATAGTTTGTTGACAGCAAACAAACTCTAGTTAAGCCGCTGGGCCAGGGTTCACAGATAATGCCAATCAATGGCTTAATAAACCCTGGTTTATCATGTGCAAACCAGGCCACTGAAGGTTTGTTTATTTAGCAAACTGTATATATTTCTGGATTGTAAATTGAAACTCTTAAGTGGTTTAGAGGAAGCCATGTACTTTCAATGCGCACTGATTGAACTTTAAATGCATGGTGTGGATCTGCCTGCACTATTCCCCTTCCTCCATCCTATTTGGCTTCAAAACCGTGGTCACCAGAAAACTATGGCTTCTTTAAAAGATCAGTTGTGGTGGATGTGTTTCCTTTGAAGACAGTTCATTACTTCCATCCAAAGCAACATGCTGCTGTAGGGAGGGGGGTACCAGGGGATATTGGGGGAGTCTTTAGGGAAGGGATGGGGAGCCAGGAGCCCTCTAGGGGTTGGTGGATATGACTCCTCTTATCCCTTGGTCTCTGGAGAGCTGCCCATTCTCCATCTCTGCCTGAGGGTGTGTTATCAGTTCCTGTGGACAAGAAGAGTGAGGGTAAGAGCCTTGGCCAGCATCCAATTGGAACTGAATGTACACCCTTGAACAGTTTCCCAGAACCCTTTGCACTGTGTGCGGATTGCGTAACAAACATGCAAGAATTCCTTGGCACGCCAGCCAGTTGGAAGGGGTTCTCTGAAAAGCAGAAAGCTCGACAGCCACTTCTTAATAGGACATGTGGACAAAGATTTCATCCTCCAAATGAAGGCCAGTGGGTGGGTTTGTTTGTTTTTGACAAAGTAATAATCATAAATGAATAAGAATAAAAATGTGCACTCCACCCTCGAGACCATTCCATTGTAACAATCCAACCTCCCAAAATTTAAACACCTCTAGCTATGGTTTGACCCCTTTCTGTTTTAACAGTACAAATTCTACAAACACCCTCCATATCTCCTCAAAATAATTTCTCCTGCGTATTCCCCTTCTTACTTTAATGGTGCATGTTAATTTATCGTTAATAGCTATATCCCACACCTCTTTATACCATTCTTCCACTTTATATTCCACTTGCCCCTTCCACTTCCTGGCTAAAATAATTTGTGCAACTGTCAATAAATTTGTGAGCAAGTCCTTCATAGCCTGCGAACCTTCCACCCCTTCGTCAATTGATAATAATGTTACCTCTGGACTTTCAGTCGGCTTTAACCCGGTGGTTTCTGTTACCTCCTTAAGCACCCTTTGCCAAAAAATTTGTACATATTTGCACCCCCACCACATGTGAACGTAATTCCCTGTTTCCTGGCATCCCCTCCAACGTAACACCGAATATTCCTTGTTTATTTGATTTCATCTGACTGGTGTTAAAGAAGGCCAGTTTTTAATCATGTGGGTCTCTTGCCCTTTGTCCAAGCAGCTTGGGGCAGTGGGCACGGGGAAGGTTCTTAGCTCTGTGGAGGATGCCAGGTTTGCATGCTGAAAATGCCAGGTTGATCCTCATTAGCTCTATAGGTAAGACTGGGAGCATCCCCAATCTGAAACCCTGAGAGGTGCTGGCAATCGGTGTTGTCAGTACAGTGGCACCTTCATTCTCAAACTTGATCCGTTCTGGAAGTCCATTCCAAAACCAAAGCGTTCCAAAACCAAGGTGCACTTTCCCATAGAAAGTAATGCAAAACGGATTAATCCATTCCAGACTTTTAAAAACAACCCCTGAAACAGCAATTTAACATGAATTTTACTATCTAACGAGACCACTGATCCATAAAATGAAAGCAATAAACCATGTACTGCAGTCACACAATCTATCTATCAATCAGTAGCTGAACTGCGTTCCACACAGTCACAAAAACAAAACAAAAAAGAGCCGCAAAAACACAAAATAGATTGCACTCAGATTGGAAGTGTGGCACTCAAAACGGAAGTGTTACTCTGAAATTGAAGTGTATCACTCAAAACGGGGCACATTTGGCTTCCAAAAAGGGTTCGCAAACCGAACACTTACTTCCGGGTTTGCAGTGTTTGGGTTCCAAGTTGTTTGAGTACCAAGGCATTTGAGAACCAAGGTACCACTTTATAGATGGAACAGTGGTTTGGCTCAAGGCTGCTTTGTGTGTTGCTATCCTCTCAACAGCCTTGTGAGTTACGATAGGCAGACAAATAGTGATTGTCTCTAAGTGTTGGGTTCATGTCTGAGCAGCGACTTGAGCTGAGGTCTCTCGAGTCCACCTTCAATGCATCGCATCACGTTAACTCATTCATTGGTTGAGCATTGCTCCTATATTAGAGGTAAATCTAAGTAAACTATCCTTATTGGGGTAAAGATGCTCTGTTCCGTTGAGCTAAACTAAAGAGTAAATCCCCACTAAGTTTTCCCCTTTTACTGCTAGAATCTCCTGGCTTTTTAAAATATATACTTTATTAAAGATTTCTCAGTTTATAAAAGTATGTGCAATGTCTCTTTTTTCAAGTTGTGTTTTTGACCGATCAGTTTTGTTTGTTGTGAGACATTAGTATTACATTAGGAAGAAAAGGGGGAAAGAGGTAGGGGGATGGTGAGGGGTGTGTGGAGTGGCGATGCTTCTATTTTTCTGCTTAGTGTATGTGTGGGGTTTTGTGTCAGTGTCACTTTTGTGGGTTCTCTTTACTATTTGCTTGTATTTCTTTGGTGGTGAGAGAAGTTGGGGGTGGCCTAGGGGGTGGTTGGTTGTCTTTGATTGGCTGTAATGAAATTTGTTTTCGTGTGTGAGTGGGGTGTGGGTGTGTGTTTTGGATCAGGTTAGCCATACAGTGGTACCTCACGTTACAGACGCTTCAGGTTACAGACGCTTCAGGTTACAGACTCCACTAACCCAGAAATAGTACCTCAGGTTAAGAACTTTGCTTCAGGATGAGAACAGAAATCGTGTGGCGGCAGCAGGAGGCCCCATTAGCTAAAGTCACACCTCAGGTTAAGAACAGTTTCAGGTTAAGAACGGACCTCCAGAACGAATTAAGTTCTTAACCTGAGGTACCACTGTATTGATCTGTGTGCTGTTGGAGGATGCTTGTTGTTTAGTTGGGCTGTGTATGTGATAAAGGGTAACCATATCGGGGTGAAGGCGTCTTCTATTTGTTCCCATGTCTGTTTCAGATTATTGGTTAGTTTTTCTAATAAGGCTGTTTCCCATACGATTTGATACCATTGGTCTGTGCGCACTCCTGACAGGTCTCTCCAGTGTCTGGTTATGATGTTTCTAGCTGCTGACAGTAGGTGGGTTATGAGCTCTTTGTGATGTGAGTGGGCATTATAATCTTTGAAGATGTTTAGCAGGGCCAGTTGTGAGGTGACTTCTAATACTTGCTTAGTTATTTTGCATATTGTATGATTGATGTCCAGAAGAGTTGGACTTTAGGACATTCCCACCACATGTGGAGGTATGTGCCTGTGGAGGTGCATCCTCTCCAGCATTTTGATGAGGTTCCTGGGCGTATTGGTGTTAGTTTCCATGGTGTTAGGTACCACCTGTAAGTGAGTTTCAGAGTGCATTTTTGTCTTTTCGCTCATATGGATTTAAAGGGAGGTTGAATCTCCTGGCTTTTTCAGGTCCCACCATTCTATCCTGCGTACTCTTGCCACATAGAGTGCTTTCATAGATAAACCATAAATAAATATAAGGTAAAGGGACGCCTGATCATTAGGTCCAGTCGTGACCGACTCTGGGGTTGCGGCGCTCATCTTGCTTTATTGCCGAGGGAGCCGGCGTACAGCTTCCGGGTCATGTGGCCAGCATGACTAAGCCACTTCTGGCGAACCAGAGCAGCGCATGGAAACGCCGTTTACCTTCCCGCTGGAGCGCTACCTATTTATCTACTTGCACTTTGACGTGCTTTTGAACTGCTAGGTTGGCAGGAGCAGGGACTGAGCAACGGGAGCTCACCCTGTCACGGGGATTCGAACCGCCGACCTTCTGATTGGCAAGTCCTAGGCTCTGTGGTTTAACCCACAGCGCCACCCACGTCCCTATAAATAAATATAGTTCCCCCCAAAAAACGTATTGATCCATGTTTGTTGTTGTTTGTAGCACAGTAATGCAAGTTTCTCAGAGCTCCTCTAGGCTGCTTTAAGCTAGAAAGACTCAAGGTTACTGGCGCTGATGTTATAGGGTGCTAAATTGTTCTTTGTGGCTTACCTCTATATTAGCAAGGATTTTCAGAAGAAATGAAAGTTCCGGTAGATGCCGCAGTGTTTTTGGCAAATCAGCTTTTGACTAAACCTGTGAGCCTGCTTTCAGTACCATCCCCACCCCATTACTAAGTGTGCAGTCTTTGATCGCTTGATTAATCAACTAGAGATTTACTGGAATAACCAGTGGGGGGTTCAGTTATAATAGGTGGACTATGTGTTTACATGTATTTACATTTTCAAAGCTATTTTTGAAATCAAAAGGAATCAAAAAGGGAAATACTGACAATTATTCCGTCTAACAAACAGATGCCAAGAATGATGATTTTGCAAAAACTCATGCTTGGTTGAATAACCGAAAAGGTGTCTTTATTCTGGTTTTGATGATGCGCACATTTACCTAAGTTTAATTTGGTTAAAAGGCAGGTGGTCCTCCAGAAACACTTCTGAATACCTAGGCACAAAGATATCTGTGAACTCTCATTGATTCTCTGACCCTGTAGAAGGCTTCTGAACTTTAATGCTTTAATTTATTATTGTTTTGTAGTTTGTGCATCGCTAAGCATGTGCAAAGAACATTAACCATACTTTTTCTTTTTTTGTATTCCATTATTTCATTAAATAAATAAAAATAAAAGGTGGGTGGTAAGTCGAGGACCCTAAGCGTTACTGAATAAGTAACAGCCACTTCATATCTTAAAAACTGATATGATTATGGTGACCATACACAAAGGAGGACAAGGGCTTTAACAGTTACGTAGAAGAGAGAATTTCGAAGGTGCCTTTATTAAATCTCTTTGATGCAAAACTGTCCTCTCTTGCATTTGGCCACCCCTAGGTACAAAAGTACGCGGGTACTTTTTTTTGACGGACGTGGGTGGCACTGTGGGTTAAACCACAGAGCCTAGGGCTTGCTGATCAGAAGGTCAGCGGTTTGAATCCCCGCAACGGGGTGAGCTCCCGTTGCTCGGTCCCTGCTCCTGCCAACCTAGCAGTTCGAAAGCACGCCAGTGCAAGTAGATAAATAGCTACCACTCCGGCGGGAAGGTAAACGGCGTTTCCGTGCGCTGCTCTGGTTCGCCAGAAGCAGCTTAGTCATGCTGGCCACATGACCCGGAAGCTGCATGCCAGCTCCCTCGGCCAATAAAGTGAGATGAGCGCCGCAACCCCAGAGTCGGCTACGACTGGACCTAATGGTCAGGGGTCCCTTTACCTTAACTTTACTAGGTACAAAAGTGCACCTGAGCTTAAATGCCGAAATATTCAGGCAACTTTGTCCATTCTGAGCATGCCCACTCCTGTTGTTCTTTTAATGGCATTTGATACAGCAGGCCTTTCCTGGCATAGCAGTACTCTTCAACTGCTAAATTTCTGAGCTTCGGTCTGCTGTTAAAGCAAAGCTGGAAAAGAGGTGGCGATGCCAGAATCTGCATCTTCCTCTTCCTTTCTAATTATTAAAAGAAATGGGTACCCTGCCTTGTCTCAGATCTGATAGAGATTTAATGCACTCTAATTATTCCTGATGCAATTTCCTCTCAGTTGTTCTGGTTTCTCTTTTCCTGCATTTCAGACTGGCAACAGCTATTCTCCCATATTCCTTTTGCAGAGCTTATGATAAAAGTATGCTCTGGCCAGCTGCTCCTGCAAAGGAGGGCAATCACAGCTACTCTAAGCTGCAGAATCATGTGGGTTTGGTTCCACTGGGACGCAACTGCTGGGTCTTCCAGGGGTAGCTAGGAAGTGGGGTTGACATGCTATAATTGTTGTTTGTGCCCGCAGTTAAAAACTGCGGATGCAAGGGGATGCAGGTTTCAAGTAGAACAGCAGATAATTTGCACCACACATGCCATGAAACTAGGAGTGTCCAGTATTGTTGAGCTTGAATTGGGAACTGTTGCAGTGCAGCAGTTAGAGTTTAGACAAGGATCTGATTGACCAGGATTCAAAGCCCCATTCTGCCTAACCTACCTCACAGGGATGCTGTGATGATGAAATGGAGAGGGAGAACCATGCAGGCCACCTTGAACACTGCGAAGGAAAGGTGTGGCATAAAATATGCTGCAAGATCTAGACTCCCTTCATGCACACCGAAGGTGTAAAGAGTTGAATAAACCATTTTTTTATCTTATTTTTGAAATCGTTTTTATTTGATTTTACAAATGTGGATTTATAACAATGCCTAATACATATCCGTATATAGAGATTTATCTGAATCTCGAGACTTCCCACCAGCCCCTCCATGGGTCCTATTGTCAACATTTTCAACTGCATATTATTTCAAAATCTATATGTTGTATCTGTCCATATTTTCCATAGTCCTTGTTACATTACAGTAGTCTGCTAGATAAATTATTTTTTAAAATCCCATTTTTCTTGAAGTTTTTGTCTTCTGGGTTTCTGAACTTCCTGGTCAGTTTAGCCATTTTGGCGTAGTCCATAGGGTTAGTTTGCCATTCCTCTCTGGTAGGGACGAATAAACCATAATTCTTAAAGCTTTGACAGTCTCCAAAGGAACACAGACAAACTGTGTGAGTGCCTGGAACCCCCAGGAATCTTGCACAGAATTTTTGTAACAACCTGATGGACTGGGGGCCAAACGGCACGTTAAGTTATTTGTGCTTACAAAAAAAGAATCAATTTTTAAAAGTCCGTTTTTATTACAAAGAAAATGCAGCCACTTTCCTATCCTGGGGGATGCCCTGAAAAACCCTGCAACTAGACTGAGATGTTCTCTAATCGTGATGAAGTTGATGACACTCCTGCAGAGTGATCAAGCTCCCCTTTCTGTATTTGCCTGCCGGTTCATTCCACCACCACATCCTTCCCTGCTGCCCTGATATGGCGAAACTGACAAGCTGCAGAAACTCTTATCAGTTCAACTCATATGTGGTTGCAGTCTTGCCTCAAACTGCTATTCAGGCACAGTACGATTTAGCATCTGTTAGCACTGGATTCTGCCACTGGCATACAGTATGAAGCATTTGGATTGACAAGGCTTTCTTTTACTGTTCAGGCAGGTCTTTGGAAACCGCCCCCCCCTCTTTTTTTGACCAGCCTTTATTGAGATGCTACCGATGCTTTTACTGATGTTGCTATTATAGTATTGTTTTGTAGTATTGTATTGCCTGCTCAGTGGAGCAGTAAAGGTAAAAAGGTAAAGGACCCCTGGACAGTTAAGTGCAGTCAAAGGTGACTATGGGGTTGCAGCGCTCATCTCGCTTTCAGGCCAAGGGAGCCAGCGTTTGTCCACAGACAGCTTTCCGGGTCATGTGGCCAGCATGACTAAACCACTTCTGGTGCAAAGGGACACCATGACGGAAACCAGAGCACACGGAAACACCATTTACCTTCCCGCCACAGCGGTACCTATTTATCTACTTGCACTGGCGTGCTTTTGAACTGCTAGGTTGGCAGGAGCTGGGACAGAGCAACAGGAGCTCACCCTGTTGCAGGGATTCGAACTGTCGACCTTCCAATTGGCAAGCCCAAGAGGCTCGGTGGTTTAGACCACAGCGCCACCCGCATCCCTGTAATAGAGCAGTACCTTCTGTCTGATCTAGGGCTCCTCTTGACATCCTTTCAATTGTGTATTTGTGATCATTAATGCTCACGGGGGTAGCGGGGTGGTTATATACATGGTCCTATTTCAATACTGTTTGAAGCTGCAAAAGCTTCAGGATAGGTATACAGCTTTGTGCGTACCCTGTAGCATTCAGCCGAAATCCTGTAACTTTTCATACCACAAATGTTCCCTTGCTGTGGAGTTTCTATGTCCTGCTTTCAATGAGGTGCAGCAGAAGAGTGCAGTGGCGTGCCGTGGATTGCTAGTACCCGGGGCCACATGGAGGGGTGTTTGGGAGGGAGGGAAATGGACGGAGTACGCATGCTCATTCAACTGCCTAATGGCATCCACTTCACCCAGGAAATTGCAGCCACAGAGATGAGGCGTCATTTTGTTGTCTGGAGAGGTCACTTCCTGGTTCGCATGGAGAAGCCATTTTCAATGGAGCCCTGCAACGGAAGCACACAGCTGTCTTGAGGCCCTCACTAACAATTTTGCACTTGGGGCAACTTCCCCTCCATAAGGCAATAACTGGGGAATTACGCAGGTGGCGCTGTGATCTAAACCACTGAGCCTCTTGGGCTTGCTGCCACAATGGAGTGAGCTCCCTTTGCTCTGTCCCAGCTCCTGCCAACCTAGCAGTTCAAAAGCATGCCAGTGTAAGTAGTTAAATGGGTAGGGAAGGTAAATGGCGTTTCCGTGTGCTCTGGCTTCCGTCACAGTGTCTCGTTGCGCCAGAAGTGGTTTAGTCCCGCTGGCCACATGACCTGGAAAGCTGTTTGTGGACAAACACCAGCTCCCTTGGCCTGAAAGCGAGATGAGTGCCGCAACCCCATAGTTGCCTTTGACTGGACTTCACCGTCCAGGGGTCCTTTACCATCAGAGAACCTCTAATAAAGGGGAATGATGTGCAGGTGCTCCTGTCAGAAATCTACCACCCATGTTCTCTTTTTGCACCAGTGACCTGTTGTAGAATAAGGTAAAGGTAAAGGGACCCCTGACCATTAGGTCCAGTCGTGACTGACTCTGGGGTTGCGGCGCTCATCTCGCTTTATTGGCCGAGGGAGCCGGTGTACAGCTTCCGGGTCATGTGGCCAGCAGAACTAAGCCGCTTCTGGTGAACCAGAGCAGCGCACGGAAACGCCGTTTACCTTCCCGCCGGAGTGGTACCTATTGATCTACTTGCACTTTGACGTGCTTTCGAACTGCTAGGTTGGCAGGAGCAGGGACCGAACAACGGGAGCTCACCCCGTCGTGGGGATTCAAACTGCTGACCTGCTGATCGGCAAGTCCTAGGCTCTATGGTTTAACCAACAGCGCCACCCGCATTGTAGAATAAACCCACAAAAAAAACACCGGAATGAAGTGAGCCCTACTTGAGGCCCAAACCCAACTTCTCCTGTTCCAGCGATGGACAAGGAGGATCACTGTGTTAAAAAACAGCCTTCTCCTAAGTCGGGTTTGGGTTCACTTCCCCATGTCCCTGACAATGGGCTGACAAAGCCCTTCCTTAACTCCTGCTGTAAACCTGACGGCTAAGGGAGGACTGGCAGGCTTGGCTATTGATGGCAATCTTGCCAAGACTGGAACGGCTTGCCTGGGACAGTGCTCCCTTTGTGTTCTGCTTCACTGTGTCTGCCCACTGCAGCAATTTTTGCCGTGTTTTCATTTGTTGGGCATCGTGGGTAGCCGGGAATGTTTGCAAACTCTCTGCAGGGATTTGAACGGAACAACGTTTTAGCAAATAAGTCTTGGATAACAACGGGGCAGAGAAGTTCAAAAAGATGGAGGTTGTCAGATGGCAGCGTAACAGCTCTTCAAAAATCGAAAGGATTGTAGGTGGCGTACATTGCGTGCAGTATTTTCTTTGCTTATTTTCCCACCAGCTTCCCAAGCCCCCTGCATGGCTCTCGGAGCGGAATAAAACATCCAATTTCTGAGTCAAACTGCCTAGCTTTGGAGCGTTTCCACCTTACATATCTGTACTGGCCTTGATTTGATGCCTTTTTGAAGACGCTTGAATAAATTTTCTCACCACTTATCTCCATGCCAGGAAAACCTTCACCTGCTGGATTTGTGTAAGCAACTATTAAATGCACACAAGCAGAAACGAAAACCTGGCAACCTTATTTTATATTAGCTTTATTCTTTATGGCAGGGGCAGGAAATCTGTAGATGTTGTTGGACTCCAGTTCCCATCAACCAGCATAGCCAGTGGTCAGGGATGATGGAAGTTGTAGTCCATCAACATCTGGAGGACCACAGATTCCTCACTCCTGATATATGATGCTTATCTGCTTCCTTTTATTTATTTAAATCTGCTTTATAGGCTGCCTATTTTTGTCAAGAAATAACGTCTCTAAGCAGTTTACAAAATAACAATAATAAAACAGCAATAGTAAAATACAAATAAAACTGCATATTGTCTCTATCACAGTAAGAATCCAAATATGGGACCAAAATATTGAGCACTGCAACATCCAGGGATGATTATTGTGTTTTTAATATATTGTGATACATGTATTTTCCACTGTTGCAAGCCGCCTTGAATGTGCTGAGGAGATTAGGATATACATTGTATTTTATTTTATGTTTATTTGTTTTTTTTAAAAAGCAACAAGAAATGTAGGAGGCTGCCTTGCACAGAAATGATCCATTGGTCCACCTAGCTCATTAAACCCCTTTGGGCTCCAGGCATAAACATTCCTCTTCAACCAGGCCTTTGGCCAATTAACATCCAATACCCTTTCAAATAGGGACGCGGGTGGCGCTGTGGGTTAAACCACAGAGTCTAGGACTTGCCGATCAGAAGGTTGGCGGTTCGAATCCCCACAACGGGGTGAGCTCCCGTTGCTCGGTCCCTGCTCCTGCCAACCTAGCAGTTCGAAAGCACGTCAAAGTGCAAGTAGATAAATAGGTACCGCTCCGGCGGGAAGATAAACGGCGTTTCTGTGCGCTGCTCTGGTTCGCCAGAAGTGGCTCAGTCATGCTGGCCACATGACCCGGAAGCTGTATGCCGACTCCCTCGGCCAGTAAAGCGAGATGAGTGCCACAACCCCAGAGTTGGCCACGACTGGACCTAATGGTCAGGGGTCCCTTTACCTTTTTACCCTTTCAAATGTGTTGTGGGAGGGGGTTATTGGTTTGTTTTTGTTCTTCTTTTTATTATGTGCGTTGTGATTCTTCTCTGGTATTTTTATGTTGTGAATCACCTTGAGAACTGCAAATGAAGGGATGTATACAAATTTTAATGATGATAATAACAATAACAATAACAATAACAATAACAATAGCTTGCAGAATCACAGACTTGTAAGGGACCACAGGGTCATCTTCTAATCCAAAGGAATCTTTCACCCAACATGGGACTCGAACCCACAAGCCTGAGATTAAGAGTCTCATGCTCTGCCAACCAAGCTATCCCTCAGGGCTAATATTGTTTGCAACCACTAGCAGTGGTTCTCCGGGATTTTGGGTAGGGGAGATTTCCAGCCCTACATGGAGATAACAGGCAATGAACGTGGGACCTTCTGCATACAAATCCATGGGAGTGAGTCCTGCCTGCTGCTGCAAAGCATAGAATCATAGAATCATAGAGTTGGAAGAGACCACAAGGGCCATCGAGTCCAACCCCCTGCCAAGCAGGAAACACCATCAGAGCACTCCTGACATATGGTTGTCAAGCCTCTGCTTAAAGACCTCCAACGAAGGAGACTCCACCACACTCCTTGGCAGCAAATTCCACTGTCGAACAGCTCTTACTGTCAGGAAGTTCTTCCTAATGTTTAGGTGGAATCTTCTTTCTTGTAGTTTGGATCCATTGCTCTGTGTCCGCTCGGACACGGAGGACACGCTCAAGACTCCCCGTGAGCCTAGCTTTTTCAAGACTTGCAAAAACGACACTGGGCTCGTGGGGCACCATGAGCAGCCATGCGCCCTGTCCCTGTGAGCCCAGCACCGCTTTTGCGAGTGGCACTGGGCTCGCAAGGAGGGTGCAGTCAACTGTTGCACCCTTCTTATGGTGCCCTCCAGTTGGAGGGCAGCTGAGAAGTATTCAACAAGTCTGCTCCCTGGCCCCTCCCTATGCCTGCAATAAAGCAACAGAATAAATCAGGGGTCAGCAAACTTTTTCAGCAGGGGGCTGGTCCACTGTCCCTCAGACCTTTAGGGGGCCGGACTATATTTTTTGGGGGAATGAACGGATTCCTTTGCTTACAATAACTTAGAGATGCATTTAAATCAGAGTCCGACACATTCTGACCTCATGACTAAAGCACGCCTGGCATTCCTGGACCATCCACTGGCTCCGGAGTTTAGTAAGACTCATGTTGTAGCTCGGATCACGGTCCAGACCATCTCGGCCTTCGTGGCCCTTCTGCTTGTGCCTACAGCTGTGCCAGTGTCAGGTGTAGTGATCAAGAGCGGTAGTCTTGTAATCTGAGGTAACCAGTGTTCAGCTTCACGATCTGCTCCTTCACAGTGCAGCTGCTCAGGGCTGATTCCTTAGAATGGATGCGTTCGATCTCTTGCAGTCCATGAGAGTCTCCTCCAGCACCATACATTCCATCCTCACAGAGTGTTTAGATGCATGTGGAAGAAAGGACAAGGAGACCATGTTAGCACGCTGATTCTGAGACTCGTCCAAAGGCGGATTGAAAGGCGGGATATCAAATCCAAACTCTTCTTCTTCTTCTTCTTCTATCCATGGAATAAATCCTATCCATGGAATAAATCCTTTCTCGCGCAGAAGGGCCTTCAGACTTGCTGAGGCTCCCTCGAACAGAAGTGGAGGAAGGCGTCTCATCGTGTTTTGCCAATTCCTCCTTTCTCTGTAGCCTCGCCACACTGCTCTGGAAAGGGAAGATTTCCAGAGGGCCACAGGGGAAAGGAAAATGGGTGGAAATTGCTTTCATTAGTCGGTGCCAGGAGCGCACGGCCTTTCCATGGAGAGAACTCCACTCTCGGGATCTTTATTTATTTTTATTTGAAACGTACTTAGCCTGCTTTTAAGGATCAGAAAACATTTCAAAGCAGCATTGGAAGGAATGCAGTAGAATACAGCTACAGATAATTGATAATCAAGCCAATGCAACCAATCAAATAAACCACTGATTAAAAAAACACCCAGCTATAATAAAACTACAAATGTTTTAGCCCCAAAGCACTACAGTGTGATACAAAACTTGGAGGAGTGGGAGCAATGGGGTCTTCAGGGCTTCCCTAATACCTGAATGGAAGGGACCTGTTGGAGTAATAATAATAATAATAATAATTTATTTATACCCTGCCCATTTGGCTGGGTTTCCCCAGCCACTCTGTGTGGCTCCCAACAGAATATTAAAAACACCAAACATTAAAAACTTCCCTAAACATGGCTGCCTTCAGATGTCTTCTAAAAGTCAGAGAGTTGTTTATTTCCTTGACATCTGATGGGAGGGCGTTTCACAGGACAGGCGCCACTACTGAGAAGGCCCTCTACCTGGTTCCCTGTAACCTCATTTCTCACAGTGAGCAAACCGGCAGGAGGCCCTCCATGCTGGACCTCAGCGTCCGGGCAGAACAATGGGGGTAAAGATGCTTCTTCAGGTATACTGGGCCGAGGTTGTTTAGGGCTTTAAAGGTCAGCACCAACACTTTGAATTGTGCTCGGAAACGTACTCAGAACCAATGTAGGTCTTTCAGGAGTGGTCTTGGCGGCCATTCCTAGTCTAGCTGCCGCATTCTGGATTAATTGTAGTTTCTGGGTCACCTTCAAAGGTAGCTCCATGTAGAATGCATTGCAGTAGTCCAAGCGGGAGATAACTAGAGCATGCACCACTCTGGTAACTGATTTCCAAGACATGGGGCCACTGCAGGAAACTTCCTCATCCTTAAATTCATCAGCTTAAATCTCGGATCCAATCTCATATGTATGTTACACCCTGGTTAGCATATTCTTAAAAGGAGGGGAGTGGAGAAACAGGATCTTATGGTGTGGAAAAAAATATGCCCGTTCTTTAGCATGGCTTCCGCAGCCCATGTGAGTTATTCAGATTAGGCAAACTTGTCTGGTTCTCTTCTCACTTTGCATATCTTGAGAACTTACGTAATTCTGGAACTGCTAGTCATGGCAAGGGGCAAGGACCTGTGTAGGGCACATAGGCGCCAACTCTATAGGACTGTGGTGCATAGCTGTCAACTTACAGATTTGAAAATAAGGGACCAGTAGCCTCGCAAATAAGGGATCAGCAGCCAAAATAAGGGATTTTAGTCAACCAGCTGAAATACAAAGTTAAAAGGGACCAGATAATTTTGGAGAACAGCGCTGGTTTTAATCCCTTCGTTTCCAGAGGTTGCTGCTCAAGACGCCAGCTGATGAAACACTGCAATGAAATAACTACAAGCAGCAACCACTTTTCGCGCAAAACGAAGTCCAAGCTACGAAGATGCTGCTGCAGTTCTGTATCTTTTCTCTCATGCTCCATCTGCAGCTCTCAGTTCCATCAGGTGGGGCGGGAGGAAGAGAGGGGGGAATAGCGCCTGAAGTAAACCCGCAGATCAGACCATCTATGCTAGTCTACCACCTCAAATCTATGGGAGAAGTGCTTGCGGTCCTTCCTCCGCTTTCCCCCAATATGGTTAGCCCTTGGAACACCTGCCCGCGCCTCCGCCTCCTCCTCCTCCTCCTCCTCTCTCTGAACTGCTTTCTCTATGGTTGCCCTCGCTCTCCCCCTCTCAAGGCTCCTCAGCAATTCATAGGCTGTGCCAGGCTGCCCATCTCATCCGGGTCCTTCAGCGGTGCAGCCGCAGTACGGCCTAGCGAGAGCGGCGGCGACAGGCAGAGGGGAGGCCCCAGGCAGAGACGCTCAGTTCTGCGGCCACGAGGAGGATGGCGGCGGAAGGGCCCGAGGCTCCCGTCGCCAGTCCCGGTGGGGAGGGGCTCCCGGGGGCCGAGGCTGGTGAGAGGAGGCTGGAGGGGGGCGGGCCGGGCAGCCAAGCAACACAGTTGAAGCCTACCTCCTCCCTAGCCAGCAGGGAGGGAGGGAGAGGAGCTGCTTCCTCTGAAACCCGGGAAATTTAAGGGACATCATCAATAAGGGACAGCAGCGGGACACGGCGCTGGGATAAGGGAGTTTCCCACCAAATAAGGGACGGTTGACAGCTATGCTGTGGTGTCTTCAGCCCCTGCCAAAGTATGTCAGGATGGGGCTGAGCCTCACCCGCAAATCTTGAGGGGCAGGGTCTGGTGATGGCGGACCTCACTGGACGCTCGCGGTGGTGGCTGTGAGCCTCACTAGGGCTCATGGTGGCAGTGGTGGGCCTTTCAGCATAGCACATGATGTATGATCTCCCCCACATGCATGCAATGCCTTGGCCCCCTGCAACATTGGGCAGAACTCAGCATCTCTGATAGGGCATGAAGCCCCGCCTGGTTCAGCAAATCTTCTAGCTTCTGAGATTTCGGCAGGCACTGCTGCCTGCACATTTTCAAGCATACTTCAGCAACCGAAAAGATACAGAAGCTTGCTTCTCAAGCAGAGATGCTCAGAAAGCCGAATTTTGCACCTAGGACCATGTTTTGTGCTCTGGGAGAATGTTAGCATGCATGCAGCTCTAGTTACCTCCAAAAGTGGGTTTTTGATGACCTTCCGTGGGCTGGGGTCTGCGATGAAGGAGACCTTAGACAAGGAAAGTGAGTCAGGGAAAATATTATTTGCAGGTTGATCTATATTATATTTGTTTTCCAACCCCAGCCTGCTGTTGCCCGAGGAACTGACGTCTTCCTTACACTTCAGCTAGGTATATTTTTAGAGCCAAAAACCCTTTAAAAGGCGACGTATCGATTCCTTCCATCCCTCACGCATTCGGCCTTTCTGTTTTAGAATCATATTCCACTGTTCTCTAGTAACGTGACCTCGGCATCAATATTCCTATTATCTTCCATGCTTGTGTTCTGAAATAAACCAGATCCCCACAGGGGTGTTTTGCCATAACCCAAATGTGCCCATTTCCATTTTAGCCTTTCAGAATATTGTCAGTGACAACAGCACGGGATCCCTCTTGCATTCTGCAGCCTATATAAGAATAATAAATGTTGGGGTGAGGGCTGTCTCCTCAGACGCATTCCAAGCCTCTTCCCTAAAGTCTCAGCTGCTCTTTTTGTTAATTATATTTTTACAGCAACAAAAATCTCTCGCCCTTTTAGTTAGATAAGGGGAAATTATACAGACAGTCTTCAAACCAATTGCTCAGTAAGAAGTAAACATGTTCCCATCTTCTGATGCACTGGCTGAATAAGTACAAACGCACTGGCATCATCAATGAGCACTGGGGCGTGTGGAGTTTTTTTAAAAAAAACAATTATTATATTAACGTTAAATAAATAGCATGCTAGACTTTGCAGGGGGGTTTCGTTCACATTGACAACCCATATATTTTCCAATTGTAATTGTCTAAATTTGTTTTTCCATTGTTAGCTTGTTTCATGTAATTCGTAGCAAAATGTATATTTCATGTTCGGTGCATACGCCGTTCTGAACAGCAGCTTCTGAACATTTCTGACTCTATGCAAACCTTTGCTTCTGTGCTCTGACAGCATGACAGTGCAGCCTCGTCTGATTATGTGCAGTTGCAGTTGCATGTTTTGCTAAGTGAACACCATGCGACTGCAACAAAGTTGTTGCATGATACACATTGTGTTGTGTTGTGTTGTGTTGTGTTGTGTTGTGTTGTGTTGTGTTGTGTTATGCATACAAGTTCAACGCTTAAAGTGTATGGTTAGTTCAGCATCAAATGTGTGGGTGCTTATATATTGATCTTAGTCATTAGGATCTCAATATGATCAACAGGTACAGATAATATATTTATTATTAACATTTAAATGAGGCCACACATTTATTTTATATCCCATGTAAAGCCAGTCTGCCATTGCTGAGGAGTCCAAAAGTTTTTTTCCACTGGGACCTGAACCCAAAAGTATGTCTGAACTTGTGGTTTATCTCACTTCAGACAAACCATGCACAGTAGCCAAGCTTCGTTCTATCGCTTACCACTTGTGGTTTGTCAGGGGAGATGAAAACAATGAGCCTGGGATCAGAAGTAAGGTAAAGGTAAAGGACCCCTCGACAGTTAAGTCCAGTCAAAGGCGACTGTGGGGTTGCGGCACTATCTCGCTTTCAGGCCGAGGGAGCCAGCGTTTGTCCACAGGCAGCTTTCTGGGTCATGTGGCCAGCATGACTAAACCACTTCTAGTGCAACGGGACACCGTGATGGAAACAAAAGTGCACAGAAACGGCATTTAACTTCCCACTACAGTGATACCTATTTATCTACTTGCACTGGCGTGCTTTCGAACTGTTAGGTTGGCAGGAGCTGGGACAGAGCAATGGGAGCTCACCCCATCACACAGATTCAAACTCCTGACCTTCTGATCGGCAAGCCCAAAAGGCTCAGTGGTTTAGACCACAGCGCCACCCGCATGTAGATGTAATGCTAAGCCAAACCATGACACAGCTCACAGCAGCATGGAATCACCGGAAGAGGAGTGAGTCCCAATGAACTTCTCTCCAGAAACCCACGCTTGCTCATTCACACTAAACCATGGTTTTGGCTTAAACATTATGTGCACACTGGCTCACCGTACCAGCTCTGCTCTTAATTAGAAGCATGCATTCCTGTAAATCCTGTTTGTTCTGCTATATGGTCCAATTTGGCAAGCAGAAAAGAAATGTCCTCAAGAAGTTGTAAGGTGTTGGTTGAATGCACTTTCTTCTCCTCTTGCCATTGTCTTGTTCATGCTAGAGTTGTTCTCAACCAGCTGGTCTACTCCCCAGATTTTGGTTCAATTTGCGTGCCAGGGGCCCCGTGACCCACAGCTCCCCATAGATGAATAAACACACCAACACGAGTTTTTAGGATTATGGGATAAAACAGGCCACAACTTTATTGGTTACAGGTGTGAGTGGTTTGGTTTAGGCATTGGGTGAAACCAGGCTATATCTTGACTCCCACCCATCTGCAGAAAGAGGGAAGCCCCCAGCCACGCCACGGTTTTAAATACCCGCAGCCATGCCCCCCGCCAGCATAGATTGGCCAGACGGGGGTGACATGGCCAGGGTTGGCACAGAGGGGACATCAATTCCCCCACCCCTGAGCCAGGTTACTGCAAGAGCCCGGATGCCCAGCCCCAGCCCCACCCACTGCAAAAGGTGAGTGGTCTTCTGGGCCATATGTTTGACATTCAAGAGGCGCTCGGTAATTTTGTTATACAAAAGCTGACTGGGTGCTGGGTAAATTTTCCTAGCTGTGAGATCCTTCCCCATTTTGACTTTTAAGTAGGAATTATTGATGTCTGGCACATAGCAGACTCTACAGAGTGATGCTGTACCTTTTTTGGTCAGTGTATCAAATTATTTCAAATCAGTGTATCAAAATTATTTCAAATCAAAGTACTTTTCATCTTTTACTTCAATATTTTGCAGCATGTCATATCGATACAATTGCTATTTCAAATCACACTCCACTTTCTCTTATTATGCTGCTGCCTAATTTTGTTAAATCCTATTGCCTGATGCTTGAATGCTACACTTTTGATTGGTGATAACTTCAAAACGCAGGGGGAGCCTGAATTTCAGGAATATTTTGAAAATAATGAAGGTTCTGTTTTGTCCTGTGATGTTGAATGGGAGTCTTGCAAGAGTAACATGAGGGGGAGGAGAAGCACAGGGCTTAGCACGGGAGGAATTTGGATTTTGAAGTTTTTATTAAGTCAATTTGCATCATGTCTTTCCTTGAGTCTTTATCAAAATTTGTAGTGTGCTACATATAAACTGGGATGCGGGTGGTGCTGTGGGTTAAACCACAGAGCCTAGGACTTGCCGATCAGAAGGTCGGTGGTTCAAATCCCCGCGATGGGGTGAGGACCCGTTGCTCGGTCCCTGCTCCTGCCAACCTAGCAGTTTGAAAGCACGTCAAAGTGCAAGTAGATAAATAGGTACCACTCTGGCGGGAAGGTAAACGGTGTTTCCGTGCGCTGCTCTGGGTTCACCAGAAGCGGCTTTGTCATGCTGGTCACATGACCCGGAAGCTGTACGCCGGCTCCCTCGGCCAATAAAGCAAGATGAGCGCCGCAACCCCAGAGTCAGTCACGACTGGACCTAATGGTCAGGGGTCCCTTTACTTTACCTTACATATAAACTGAATAATTTACTTTCAGTTAAAGCTGAATTTGCAGTGAGATGTTTGTGCCAGAAGTACTGGGAAAGTGGTGAGAGGATGGGTAAAATTTTAGTATTCCATTTCAGACAAAAAAAAAAGTTGAAATTATATTCCTTTAATTAAGAATTAATGCAACAATGTATACACAACCCCAAAGGATATATATTTAGATTTTCAAAAGTCCAAAAAATTATACACTAATACAATATTAAAGAACAGTATCAACTGAAATATGTTTACATTAAAATATACCAATATAAATAAATAAATGGTTACATGAATTAATACATTTAAATCATCCAATTAAATCATTACATTAAATCTTTAATTAACTCATCCAATTAAACCTTTGCAATGCACCATATTGACCTCAATAAAATTTATCCTCCGCTTTGGAGCAGCCGTTGCAAATCTCGCAACTCTGTCACAAAGTTGTCAGACTTAGACAACACATATGTGTCTTCATAATCACCATCAAGGCATATCTTTTAACTCGTAAAAATGATTGACAGGCTTGTTTTTGTGCAAATGCATGGGTAATCTTGGAGATGATGTTTTTGGCACTCCTTGATGATGTCCAGCTATGTTCTGTGCATATATAAAAAAAGAAAAGTACTATATCTACCTGCAACTACAACAGCTACGGTATACAATGTCTTTTCAGTTGGCATTTGACCCTTATGCTCATGCTAAATTAACTCTGTGGCACCCCACAGATTTGAGAGTAGAGAGGCAATCCTTTTTTGGAAGAAGTGGGCTGAAATGTAGATATCATCGGGGGCGGGGGAGTATAGGAATCTATACTTGATTCTGAATTTGAACAGAATCATGAAGGACTGCCTGCCTGCCACACAGTTGATATCAGAGCCTCCCTTTCTCCCTCGCACAATGGTCTGTGTGCACAATATAAATGCAAAGCAAGAATTCTGGGCGCTGTAGGGTTTTAACTCTGTGAGAGGTAAACTACAAAGCCCAGAATTCTTTGAGGGAAATAATGTGCTTTAAAAGTACAGCTTCTACATTGTACACACCCAGCTCACTTCCGCAATGAGCTTGTGTATCCTCTTTCATTTGCATGCCCAAGCGACGCTTGTGTGCTGTGGCAGGAACAAGCAGAATAACCAGACTGACGGGAACAGCGATTTAATGTCTAAAGATATCTGGGCACAGACTGTATCCCTGAGATTCTTAAGAGTCGCGAGTAGCGTTTTAAAGCTGCCTTCAGCTAAGGCTGGGTTCCTGTGCAACTCTGGTGTGGCATAGCTAAGGTAAAAGGTAAAGGACAGAGAAAAATAGGAAACACCGTATTTTTCGCCCTATAAGATGCACCAGACGACAAGACGCGCCTAGTTTTTGGAGGAGGAAAACAAGGAAAAAAATATTCTGAATCTCAGAAGCCAGAACAGCAAGAGGGATCGCTGCGCAGTGAAAGCAGCAATCCCTCTTGCTGTTCTGGCTTCTGGGATAGCTGCGCAGCCTGCATTCGCTCCATAAGACGCACACACATTTCCCCTTACTTTTTAGGAGGGGAAAAGTGAGTCTTATAGAGCAAAAAATATGGTAGCTTCTGTTTAACATAGCGCAGAATCATGATGTTGGCTTCGTCAGTGTAAAACACAAACCCAAATTGTAAACCCACTAGCACAGGGATGGGGGAACCTGCAACTCTCGAGATGTTTCTGGATCCCATCCCATCATCCCTGACCATCATCAACCTTCCCTGGAGTTGATAGGAGCTGGAATCTAACAACATCTGGAGATCTGCTGGTTCCCCATCTAGCAGTTCCATGCAGTTCTAGAATAGCTCGATCTTTCTGCTGTTTGGCACCACTGCAGGGCTAGGATCCAATGCAGTGGGGAGTTTTTTTAAAAAAGAAATCCAACAAGGTAAAGCTAAAGGATCTCTGGACAGATAGGTCCAGTCAAAGGCGACTCTGGGGTTGTGGCGCTTATCTGGCTATCAGGTCGAGGGAGCTGGTGTTTGTCCGCAGACAGCTTTCCAGGTCATGTGGCATGCATGACTAAACCGCTTCTGGCACAACAGGACACCATGACGGAAGCCAGAGTGCACAGAAATGCCGTTTACCTTCCCACCACAGTGGTACCTATTTATCTACTTGTACTTGTGCTTTCGAACTGCTAGGTTGGCAGAAGCTGGGACAGAGCAATGGGAGATCACCCCGTTGCAGGGATTTGAACCGCCAACCTTCTGATCGGCAAGCCCAAGAGGCTCAGTGGTTTAGACCACAGCACCATCTTCTCCCCTTATAACTCTGGTGTGGCATAGGTGGTCAGCAAAACCACTCCTCTGCACACCAAGAAGCCCTGGGCTTTATGGGGAAGAGGGTTTGCTGAGGATTTCCACTGTCACCCTACCAGCTCCTAAGCAATTTGGGCTCGTTCCAGTGTGGCTGGAGCAGCTATCAGTTCTGACAGCTGCTGTCATTACCAGTGGATAAGCCTCTTCCAGCCGTCTCTCAGCACCTTCGCCCATCTGCTCATGTGCTCATGAACCCTCTGACAATGTCCAGTGCCCTCTTGTGGAAGCCTTAGAGGGCATCTGGGCAGCATGCTGACCATGGCGAGAAGCATGGCAAAGCTGGCGTGGGGAAGACTGACCAAACTGGGGTCTGAGCAGTCCCCAGTCTCAGGAAAGGGACTTCCGGACAGGTGGGGGATTTGGCAAACAGCGTCATCTCATAAGGACAGGGTTGGGTGGAGGGATGTCAAATGTCAAAAGGCAGAGGGGGGGTTTGTCATGACCCTTCAGATGATGGTGCTTCCTGCCCCAGAGTGGCAGGAAGGTCACATGGGGTCTATGGGGCAATCATAGCCTGCTCTTATAGTAAATTATTGCTTACATCGGGGGAGTGGCATTTTCCCAGGAAATCAAAATTTCCCAGGTGTCCCTTATTGACTGTCCAGAATTAATTTAAAACTAAATGGCATGGGGAAAGTAGTCTTTTTTTTTTCTTTTTTAAGAATATGGCCTTGAATATTCCCAATGCAGAAAGATTAGAAATCTAAATATAAGCAATTGTGTGAACTTCTGTTGCTTTTTATTAGATGTTTTTGACATTTTTATTAGATTTTTTTGAGGTTTTTTGTAATTGTAAGTTTTTTTAAAAAAATAATGTTTTAATGTTGTGTTATAAACTGTTGTAACTTGCCTTGGCAGCTTAGGGTGATGGAGAGTAATAAATTAAAATAATAATAATAACCCCTCCACTTCATTCTGTGTTCAAGATTATTTGTGCTCATGATGGTACCGGGGCTGCTATGCATGATTCTGCTTTCAACGTTGTTCCATCTGCAGAAGTTTAGTGGTGGACATTCTGCTGGTCCTGCTGAAATCAAGTAAACTTTTTTCATACCACAAATGTCCCAAGAGGGCGGTTGTTGTTGTTTTTGTTCTACTTGTGTTGTGGTAGAGTGCAACAGTGCCCCTACGGATGGCAACAGTGCAGGAAAACTGAGCAAGCACTGTTAAGTTGTGGGTGAACATATCAGACGACACAGCAATTCTTCAAACAGCTCTTGTTTATTCACAGGCCAGAACAGAACTGAACTGAAGGGTTCAGCCAGCCTGCTTATATAGAGCTCCAGTACAATGTAACTGTAACAATTTTCTAAAACTATCCAATCACTGAATGTCACTTTCGATCCCTTATTTGCATAACTATCTACAGTATCTCCCTGCTGGCCCAGGGTGAGAACTTCAGTACATAACAAGCACCACAAAGCAACAAATAAGTTGGAATGATGTGTAGATGGTCCAGCATAAATCCACCTCTGATGTACTATTATTTCATCAATAGCATGTCATGGAAAAAATGCAAGTGTATTTACTCGCATTAAGATGTAGCAGAAGTTCCAGGGACCAATTAGCTGCACATTTGCATGATGCATGATGCTTATGCATCACTGGGGTTAAATTCCCCTTTATGGCAACCACTGCAGGGAAGATATTTCGCAAGAACTTATAAGAGCTTCCCTTGATATTTAGCTTGAACTTCCTCTGCTGTGAAGAACCCAGCTTGAACGTCTGCTAGCTTTCTCTGATTCCCTGTGAGAGCCCCAGGCTCATGGCTCAGGCCAAAACCAACAGGCATGCCTTCTCTCAGGGGCATGTGCAGAGTTCCAGTTGAACTGCGCTTCTTGGAAACACCAGATTCTCTCAAATGAAAATGTTCTTTCCCCCCACTCTGTTGCAACGAGTCTGCTATTAGATCCTTGGAGGCTTTGAGAGGACAGGAGTAGTATTGTCTGCAGCAGATGGCTTTGTTATGCCACATTGTTTCTGGGTTGCAAAGCTGCTGGCTCAGAAATGAAGTCCCATTAATTGTCCATCATAATTAGGCTAACAGCTTGGAAGCTCCTGTGTCTTGACTATGTATTTTTGGGGTAGTTCTGTATTGTTATTGTTAAACGCTGCTGAAACGAGCCTGCCTTCGTCCCGAGGATTGTTTAGCAAGAGTTGCTTTCCCCCACCCAGGAGGAGCAAGGATCACACAGCCGCTGTTTCCATTCTTCATAAAAGTGAATTGTTCCTTGCTACCAAAGTAACCAAAATTAGGGCACTGGGGGAAACGATCAGATAAGTAATTGACGCAATAATTCAGAGTCTAATCCGATTAAGGAGATTTGTAAGGATCGGACCATGTGCTCCTGAGGAGTTGTTTTTCTTGGGTGATGGGACGGAAAACACCTGAGGAACAGAAGAAGGATCAACAAAGCTGTAGCAGAGAGTGAAGACAAAGAGGACCACTCATAAAATGCATCACAGGAGAATAATTAGTATTGGTTAAAACTGGGCAAGTTCCTCCAAGGTGCAATTTATACATCATCCCAGACACTCTTAAGAGAAGAGACTGCAGATTCTTCACTTGCTGGGTGAACACAGCTTCATAAGTTGTGCTCTGCAATGATACGGCCACAAATTATGGCTATTATTATTGTTGTTATTATTATTTGAATTTATATACCACCATATACCCAGGGGTCTCGGGGTGGTTCACAGAATAAAATCAAGATATAAAACCACAGAATACATAATAAAAATAAAAACAACACCCCAATCACCGCCGCCCCCCAATTTTTTAATAGATGCCCATTTTAAAATAGAGAGATAGATGCAAGATCACAGGACATCGGTTTGAAATGAAAACTATTGCCATTAAATCTAATAGATGCAAAGGACCGCCCATGCCACCACAAAAACTAGCATAGCTGTCAAGTGTCCCTTATTTGAAGGGACAGTCCCTTATTCCAGCGCCATGTCCCGCTGCTGTCCCTTATTGATGGATGTCCCTTAAATGTCCCTTAAATGATGTCCCTTAAATTTCAAAGGAAGCAGCTCCTCTCCCTGCTGGCCAGGGAGGAGGGAGGCTCCAACTGTGTTGCTTGGCTGTGTTGCTCACCCAATAAGAAGTCTAAGAACGACTGGGGGGTGGAGCTTGCATGCCTTGTATGTGGCTAGTTAATGCAAGCTGAGGGGGTTTTTGAATGCTGGACGCCATTTTGTTGCACATGCTGCTGCAAACTTTGCAGTGCAAAGCCAGGCCGGGGAGCCATCTTAAGTTGAGGCTGCATAGGCCTTGTGGTGCACGTGATTCAGATTCTAGTCAGTTGAACCTCTGGTTACAAAGTTGGTTGGACAGTGTTCTCGAAGCTACCAGCATGAGTTTGACCAGACTGCAGGAGGACAGGAAGACTGGAGTGCCTGGAACAGGTGAGGCTGCAGGTCCCTTATTTTGGCTGCTGGTCCCTTATTTTCAAATCTGTAAGTTGACAGCTATGAAAACTAGTCAGCTGTTAGGTAACAGTGTTGACTATGGGAACAGTCAAAAAGACTGCAACCTCAATCATAAAGTGGCACGCAGAATGTGCAGAACCGTTTCGGTGAAGCAATTGTCCCATCTGATAAGGGCTAGACCAGGCAGGCAAAAATCGGATAACTTCTTGGAGTTATGCTTTGTGTGGCTCAAAGCCAACTTGTTACCAAAGTTGGCTGCCACCCCCCCATTCTCTGCCAAACGGTAGCAAAATTCCAGGGGGTTCCAAGCATTCACCCAGGGTTTGTGCTACTTTGAAGAACTGAAGATGCGGCGGAGACTGCCGTAGCTTTAAGAATTTTTTTTTAAAAAATTAATGTTGTTGCTTTTATTAAATTACTTCTTGTGTTAATGAGATTTGAAGTTTCTGAATCTCTGGACTTCCCACCTTCCCCTCCATGGGTTCTGTTGTTAAACCTTTTCTACTGCATCTTTTTCAGTAATCCATGCTTTTTTATAACTCCATTATCTCCATAGTACAGTGGTACTTCGGGTTACATACGCTTCAGGTTACATACGCTTCAGGTTACAGACTCCGCTAACCCAGAAATAGTGCTTTAGGTTAAGAACTTTGCTTCAGGATGAGAACAGAAATTGTGCTCCGGTGCCGCGGCAGCAGGAGGCCCCATTAGCTAAAGTGGTGCTTCAGGTTAAGAACAGTTTCAGGTTAAGTACGGACCTCCAGAACGGATTAAGTACTTAACCTGAGGTACCACTGTACTCGTTACATTACAAGTGTTATTGTAATCCTGCTAATGTTTTCATCTGCTTACAGTGGTCTCCAAGATAAATTATAAAAAATTCCCCGTTCCTTGTGAAAGTTTTGGTCTTCTTGGTTCCTGAGCTTTCCGGTCAATTTTGCCATTTTGGCATAGTCCAACAGTTTAATTTGCCATTCTTCACTGGTAGGGACTTTATCTTCTTTCCATCTCTGAGCTAGTAGCATCCGTGCTGCTGTCGAAGAAATATTATTTATTCACCTTCAGTCTGCATGGAGGGAGTCCAGATCTTACAGCATGGTCATTTCAAGTGGGGCTTGTTCCCCATAGCAGTGCAGCACTGGAGTCCAATGCATCTCTCCCAGCTAGCCTTCAGCCAGCCTGCCCAAGATGGATCTCAGTCTCTGTTCTTTCCCCTCTTCTTCCCAGCACACCTTCCTAAGGATACTCTTTTCCCATCACTTCACACACGCATCTCATCACCTTGGCAACCTCTGTCTGCCCAGGTCCAAGATTCCTCTTAGATGGGCCATCGACACCTTATGCCAGGGGTCAGCAACCTTTTTCAGCCATGGGCCGGTCCACCATCCCTCAGACCATGTGGTGGGATGGACTATATTTTTTGGGGGGGGATGAACAAATTTCTATCGCCCACAAATAACCCAGAGATGCATTTTAAATAAAAGCACACATTCTACCATAGCTGTCAACCGTCCCTTATTTGGCGGGAAAGTCCCTTATCCCAGCGCTGTGTGCCGCTGCTGTCCTTTCTTGATGATGTCCCTTAAATTTCCCGGGTTTCAAAGGAAGCAGCTCCTCTCCCTCCCTCCCTCCCGGCCAGGGAGGAGGGAGGCTCCAACTGTGCTGCTTGGCTGCGTTGCTCACCCAATAAGGCGTCTAAGAACGACTGGGGGGTGGAGCTTGCATGCCTTGTGCCGATCAAATCGGCCGCGATGCCTGGGGACTCGCCTTTGCTCAGCGCTTCCCAGCGGAGAGGTGACGGTGGTTTCCCTTGCTGCATCCCCTTTGCTGGGTTGCTGCGCTGTGGGAACCACAGCTTGAGCCTTTGTTTGGCTGCTGTCTGGGCTTTCTGCCTTTGGCTCGGAGGGGCTCAGAAGTCGAACATACCTGTGTTCAGAAAATCCCTTATTTTGGCTTCTGATCCCTTATTTTCGAGGCTGCTGGTCCCTTATTTTCAAATCTGTAAGTTGATAGCTATGCATTCTACTCATGTAAAAACACCAGGCAGGCCCCACAAGAAACCCAGAGATGCATTTTAAATAAAGGGACACATTCTACTCATGTAAAAACACACTGATTCCCGGACCGTCCGCGAGCCGGATTGAGAAGGCGATTGGGCCGCATCCGGCCCCTGGGCCTTAGGTTGCCTAGCCCTGCCTTATGCCATGTAAATGCCTCTAACCCAGGAGATCCCTGGCTCAGAAAGGAAACTTAGCTTGTGTTTTCCCACATGCCTCTAATCTTCCCTTCAATACTCCAAATAATCAAAATCCTACCATTTATTAATTTGTAGGGTTTAGGGGGGCCCCACCCAAAATCTATAACAATATTTAAAAGCTCCCAGCGGGGTTTAGATCTCAACAGGTGAAGAAATTTGTTAAGGAAACAACTTGCCTATCTTGCTCTGGGCCATAATGAAGGTTGTGTTACACCACACTTACTAGTTTAAAATAAAATAAAAAAATCAGCCTCATTCAACTGTGGCTTCCTATTCTGGTTGTTTAAGAGAAGTTTATATAAAAAGGGGGAAAAACCTAAGGACTGTTAATTAATTGCATGGTGCTTATAAAAATGATTGGTGGTATGGTATGACTAGTGGAGCAGCAATAAAACTGCTAGCACACCTGCAAATCTAAGCAGGGTCTGATAGGGTTTCTAGTTGGATGGGGGACTGTGTCTTGAAATTCCTGCATTGCAGGGGGTTGGACTAGATGACCCTCGGGTCCCTTTAAGCTCTATGATTTGAAAGTTAGTTATTTTTAAATTCTTCTAATACGAAGCAGAAAAGTTGCTTCCCATGCTGTGTCAGCCAACAGTCTTTGCTTTATTGCTTGTGCAAGTTGCTTGACCTGAAGAAAAAAAGTGTCACTCATTCTCTTATATAAATATACTTTAAGCCAGTGTGGTGTAGTGGTTAAGAGTGGTGGACTCATAATCTGGTGAACCGGTTCGCTTCCCCGCTCCTCCACATGCAGCTGCTGGGTGACCTTGGGCCAGTCACACTTCTCTGAAGTCTCTCAGCCCCACGCACCTCACAGAGTGTTTTTTTGTGGGGGAGGAAGGGAAAGGAGAATGTTAGCTGCTTTGAGACTCCTTCAGGTAATGATAAAGCAGGATATCAAATCCAAACTCCTCTTCTTCTTCTTCTATTAGCTACAGAACAGAATATTACAGAGTCTTTCCCCTCACTTACACTGAAGTGAGTCAGTGGGCAGAGTCAAAGGGCCTTTCTGTCACTGTCCGTTCAAAATATGGTCCACATGAAAAGTGAATTGCCAGTGTTATCTGCCACAATCATCTAATGTTACGTTGAGATTTGGGGGGGGGGGTCAAGAAGGCAATGGAACGGACATCTTGTTTCCAACTGCGCAGCTCTTGTTCAAAATCATAGGGTTTTCTTTTTGTAATATTTTGAACCAAACCCCAGAGTGGCTGTACAGATACAGCCCATTATGCATTAAATGTGTGTTGCTTTATAATGTTCCTGAAGGAGGCACATTTGTCTAGCCTTTGCAGACAGAAGAAGCCACATTGTTTTGTACTGAACAGATAGATTTTTTACATTAGATACTGTGTCGGTCTTGTTCTGGCTATTATGGGCAGCTTAGCCAGAGTCCTTTGGTTACAGAGTGGGAGGGGACTTTTCCATACAAAGACTCCAGTCTGACCAGAGGCGTCCTGTACACCTTTCCCATCCTGTACAGAAAGGGGTTTTCAGCAACTGCAAATATTTTATGCAAGTTTGGGGTGGGGCAGAGACTGCATCTGCCAAGGTCATCTTCTGCATAGCTGTTAGATAGTCAGAGTGAACCTAAGCAGGTGTTGGTCTGTTGAGTTTCTGGATGCAGACCTTCCAAGTGTCCCTGTTTTCCAGGGACAGTCCTGGATTTACAGAAGCCATCCTGGTTTCTGATTTGGTCCTGGAATTTCCCGCTTTTCCTTAAAGGTAAAGGTAAAGGGACCCCTGACCATTTGGTCCAGTCGTGACCGACTCTGGGGTTGCGGTGCTCATCTCGCTTTATTGGCCGAGGGAGCCGGCATACAGCTTCCGGGTCATGTGGCCAGCATGACTAAGCCACTTCTGGTGAACCAGAGCAGCGCACGGAAACGCCATTTACCTTCCCGTCGGAGCAGTACCTATTTATCTACTTCCACTGGTGTGCTTTCAAACTGCTAGGTGGGCAGGAGCAGGGACTGAGCAATGGGAGCTCACCCCGTTGTGGGGATTCGAACCACCGATCTTCTGATCGGCAAGTCCTAGGCTCTGTGGTTTAACCCACAGCGCCACCCGCGTCCCGCTTTTCCTTAGGACATCCTTCTTTTCCTCAGAAAAATGTTGGTGGGTATGGTAAGATGTCCCTACTTCTATCGGAGAAACGCTGGAGGGTATGGAGTTACACAACCCCCAAGCCATTTAAAAACTTCCCTAAACAGTGGTACCTTGGTTCTCAAACTTAATCCGTTCTGGAAGTCCATTCCAAAACCAAAGCGTTTCAAAACCAATGCACGCTTTCCCATAGAAAGCAGTGCAAAACAGATAAATCTGTTCCAGAGTTTTAAAAGCAACCCCTAAAACAGCAATTTAACATGAATTTTACTATCCAACGAGACCATCGATCCATAAAATGAAAGCAATAAACAATGTACTGCAATCACACAACCAATCCATCAGTAGCTGAACTGGGTTCTACGCAGTCACAAAAACAGAACAAAAAAAGAGCCACAAAAACACAAAATAAATAGCAAAACCAGACAGACACTCAAAACAGAAGTGTGGCACTGAAAATGGAGCAAAAAAAAAGTTCACAAACGGGAACACTTGCTTCCGGGTTTGCAGTGTTTGGGTTCCAAGTTGTTTGAGTACCAAGGCATTTGAGAACCAAGATACCACTGTACAGGGATGCATTCAGATGTCTTCTAAAGGTTGTATAGCTCAGGGGTTGTGTGGCTCAGGGGACGCTTGGAGGGTTTGTTCTCAATTTTTTAATGAGGGACTCTGCTTCCTGCCACAAACCCTAATGGTGCACATTGCGCCTTGTGTTCCCAGGATAGGATGTACTGCAGGAAAACAGGTTTTGCAAACACACACACCCCTCCAGCAGCAGAAACCGATGTGATTTACCAGCCCGTAGAAAGGAGCAAAATGTCGGGTGGCCTGTGACTACCTGCCCTTCTTGTGCATTTCCCCACAGAAGGGTGCTCTTTGGATGCAATTGACGTGCTTGCTGCAGTTCCCACGCTGACAAGGCCGGGTTGCGTGATGTCTGCGTCCAAATGGCAACTGACGTGTTTCTAACAATCGGCGTGGCTAATGCAAGGGATTGGCTCCGATGGGATTTCACAGTTCTCGACGCTCCTGTCCTTGAAATGATGGAAAAGCATCATGTGCCTTCAGTTGGCAATTATCACAGGCAGTGCATCTCTCGGCCCATCACAAAAGCTTTTAAGCTTGTCAGCTATAGCTTTAGGATTCCCACCCCACCCCACCCCCCACCTTCCTAAGGTCTGTTTTGCAAGCCTGGTTTTTTTAATGAACATTTGTTCTTCGGGGAGAGAGAGGGCATGATGTGGCAAGAAAGTGGTTCTTTCCTGCTTAAAGTATATGTATTACATTTAAGCACTTCTGCTAGAAGGAGATCGTTTAAGGAACCCAGGGTCATTGGGAAGTTCTGTGTTGGTTTTTTGCAAGGGCAGTGAGCGGGGATGGAGGAGGAATTTGATTCGGTATGCATTTAAAGCCAACTCTGTCAAACTTGGACTTTCCAAAACAATATAAGAACCGAAACACAGCTATCCTTCAAAATTCTCACTCCTCCGAATTTTGCAATGCACTTCTGCAACCAAACAATAATTACAAAAATGAATATATATTAAGAAGCAGATACATAGCTGTCAACTTACAGATTTGAAAATAAGGGACCAGCAGCCTCGAAAATAAGGGATCAGCAGCCAGAACAGACAGTGGGGCAGATAGCATAGTCTGTGGCAGAAGATGAACTGCAGAGGAATAGAAACAGGGCTGCCTGTGGTGAAGTGGAGTGCAGAATGATTCCTTTCTCCATCTCTAGTCGCAACCTAGCAAAGGAATTGACCAAGCATAAGCTGTGCAGCTCTCATTTGCTCTCTCATTGCAATGCTCACTGAGACCTAAATGTTCTTTTCATCGGGAGCCATAGAAACTGAAGGCGACTAGTTGTGTGTGCCAGTAGAACAGGAGCGGCTAAGCTCTGATCCTCCATCATCCCTGACCAATGGCAATGCTGGTTGGGGCTGATGGAAGCTGAGCAGAATAGCATGTGCAGGTTCCTCATCCCTGCACTAGAACATCAGTGGAGACTGTTATGTACTGAAGTTCTCACCCTGGGCCAGCAGGGGGATACTGTAGATAGTTATGCAAATAAGGGATCGAAAGTGACTTTCAGTGATTGGATAGTTTTAGAAAATTGTTACAGTTACATTGTACTGGAGCTCTATATTAGCAGGCTGACTGAACCCTTCAGTTCAGTTCAGTTCTGTCCTGGCCTGTGAATAAACAAGAGCTGTTTGAAGAATCGCTGTGTCGTCTGATATGTTCACCCACAACTTAACACAGACATTCTGTTGTTCCTTTTTTAAAGTTGTGACACAGGCAATAATTGCGAGTATATTCAGCTTATGCTTGATTTCAGGGCATCCAACGGTCTTGAGTTGCAGTAGGGGTAAGAAAATTAAGGAGGCACATGTGTTTTACCCCCAAGGTAAAGGACCCCCGGTCAAAGGCGACTATGGAGTTGTGGTGCTCGTCTCGCTTTCAGCCTGAGGGAGCTGGGGTTTATCCACAGACAGCTTTCCGGGTCATGTGGCCTGCATGACTAGACCACTTCTGGTGCAATGGGACACCGTGATGGAAACCAGAGTGCACAGAAATGCCTTTTACCTTTCCACCACAACAGTACCTATTTATCTACTTGCACTGGTGTGCTTTCAAACTGCTAGGTTGGCAGGAGCTGGGACACAGCAACAGGAGCTCACCCGATCCTGGGGATTTGAACCATCGACCTTCTGATCAGCAAGCCCAAGAGGCTCAGTGGTTTAGACCATAGTGCCACCCACGTCCCTCCACCATACTAGAATACTAATATTTGTATAGCACAAAAAGGGGAGAATATCCTAGACCCATGTTCTACTGAAAGTCTTGTCTGAATTATCACATACTTCTCATCTTCTTGCACAGGCAGAAAGGCAGATGAACCAATGTCCCAAACACTAAGCAAGAGGTAGCATCCAGAGGCGCGAGCCAATCTCACAAAATGCGAAGCACGTGAACAACTCCGCTGGGTTAAAGCCAACATTAAGTACACACACGTAAGTCTCGCGGCGCGGTTGGATTCAGTTTATTCATTTGGGTTCTGAGTCAGATCATTCATCCTGGGGGAGGGCAGAAAAGCCCAAAGCAAACAGAAGTCATGCTACCTTTTAACCACAGCAAGTTTGGAACGATCATGACAGGTTGATCAATAGCTGCTGAAGTGCTGAGCTCTCTTCCTTTGCAGGCATGTGCACTTAATTCAGCAGCTTGTTTCATCCAGGACTGCACTTTTTTTGCATAACTTTGGCCTAAACCTTAGGCCCTAAAGAAAGCTCTAGAAAGGGAGGAGCCATTTTGGCCCAGCTGTGCATTTCAGAAAAGTTAACGGTTTGCTATGAATGTGCCTTTCTGGACTATTTATTTCCTCGCAGCTACCACAGAGGAAGCAAACCATGGTCCCTGGCTTAGCATTGTGTTTGAACTCAGGATTGTGGTTTGTTTCACTCCAACAAACCATGGTTGGCAAGCCAAGAACAAACGCAAGCTACAGATTGTGGTTTGTTGAGAGTGAAACAAACCAAAAAGCCCTGATTCGGATACAGTCCTGGTTTGCTTCCTCTGTGTATTAGCAGGGGAAAGCGACAGCCTAGAAAGGCACAAACATGGTGCACCATTAACCATGGCTGGCCACAACGTACAAATGAGGCCTGTATGGGGGTTGCATGGGTCAGTGGGCTACACTATATGGTTACACACCATCCCAATCTCTCAGTGGTGCGAGATTCCAGGAGTCTAGGTGTTTATCCAGCGTTTGTATTTCCTTTGGAAATGAGGCAGTGGAAACTGTGGTGTCTTTATGATATATGGTTTATTTACACTTATATATACAACCTGAGCCAATGATGGAGGGGCCCACAGCATTACACTCCAATAGGTTCTTGCTTTTCCCATGGCCACAGTCTTGGATGCCAGCAGAAATCGGAAAGGCCCCCTGTCCCCCTGCTCAGCTTTCTGCATTTAACCAACACTTTTTCTGTCTATCCTATATCTCAGCCAACTCTGCTTTTTCCCTGCGAACTACCCCCCAGGGAAAGGGGAGGCTTACTGCCACCCAGCACAGAGTATCTCCTTGTTAATCGCCTATTACCTCTTTTTTTTATTCTCCCTAATGGCTCTTCTCCAGAGTGATTTCCAGAGCACAGAAAATCTCGTTTGGTCTGTATTTTGACACTGCTAAATTCGGCATCTAGCAGCCCATTTCAGTACTCCAAGCAATGATTAAACCCCAACACTCACTAGACCTAGGAATTTAGCATAGAATCTGGCACCCGGGAATTTAGGGGAGTCAAGGCACCCACAAACTCATACCATTATATTACGCAAGTATCTACGTGTGATTTGCTCACTATATTTAACAACAATGCGGTTTCTACATGGGAATAATAGAAGATGGGATGAACTTTTCTGTGCTTTCCACACACACACACACAAACTTAAGTAACTGAAGCTCACCTCTACGTTAGAAAAATGAGGCACATTTTCATGCTCTGTAACTTACATTAACAGTGGAATGCATAAGAATGTAAGATCACGCCTGCTGGATCAGATCAAAGGCCCATCTAGCTCTGCAAAGGGAATAGGTAAAGGCAAAGATACCCCTGACCATTAGGTCCAGTCGTGGCCGACTCTGGGGTTGCGGTGCTCATCTCACTTTATTGGCCGAGGGAGCCAGCGTACAGCTTCCGGGTCATGTGGCCAGCATGACTAAGCCGCATCTGGCGAACCAGAACAGCACACGGAAACGCCATTTACCTTCCCACCAGAGTGGTACCTATTTATCTACTTGCACTTTGATGTGCTTTTGAACTGCTAGGTTGCCAGGAGCAGGGACCGAGCAACGGGAGCTCACCCCGTTACGGGGATTCAAACCGCTGGCCTTCTGATCAGCAAGTCCTAGGCTCTGTGGTTTAACCCACAGCGCCACCCGTGTCCCTGCAAAGGGAATAGGGCTCTCTTAACAACTGTTAGCTCTCTTAAACCACAGTTCCCAGGATTCTTTGAGAGAAGTAATGACTGTTCAAAGTGGTACGGTACTGCTTTAACTGTATGGTGCAGATGGAGCCTCAGTGTAGCATGGGAATGAATGAAAAGGACCAGAGAACATTTTGCCTTCAGAGTGTTTTACTAGATACTCACGGCTCCCAGAAGTTCAATATTCTTGCTTGTTTGTTTATCTGACTCAGGAAGTTTACCACCTATGAGAAACTTGATTTGCTGAGAAAATTAGAAAGGAGGATATTAATTTAATGCCCTGTGTCATTCAGTATAAACTGCTGTGGAAATGCCTTATCAGCTTCCTCTTCCAGATAGCGTTTCCCTTGGTTTTTGTAACCATAGCAATCTCAGTGCTTGTATTCATTTGACTTGCATCTTTGTGCAGCACGACTCTTATCATGTTCTAAATGGAGCCTTGTTTTCTAATGAACTGGGGTGGTAGGCAAATAAATTTGACTCACTCAATGAGAAAATAACATTCTAAAGAAAAAATGTTCATCAACTGTAGCTCAGAAGGCTCCACTGTAAAGCCACGAATACGGGTAAATGGAATTGTCCAAAAGGCGGTTGGTGAAACAAAGATCTTGCCTGCCTCTGAAATACCTATGCTAGGAGAGGATATATTTAAAACCATAATCACCCAAACAGCCTTGTAAAAAGGTGAAAAAATAACATTTACTCACTCATAGTTTCTGTTGCAGAATATCAGATACAGCAGCTTTGTTCAGGCAGGCTTAAAATGGTAATTCAGTTTCAAAGACATGCTTAAATCTGGTTGAAGATGGTGTCTGAGCAGTTAAACTCAGATATGCAGATTGTTCTGACATTTCTGGCTTGGCGTTGAGATGAAGAGGTAAGAGTGAAGAGAGGTAACAAAGGATGTGCCCACGCGGGCAGGGCCAGATTTAGGTTTGATGAGGCCCTAAGCTACTGAAGGTAAAGGAGCCCGTTATACGTCCAGCTGTCCTTTGCCAACAACAAATTGTCACTGTTTCTTGTGTTGAATATATGCTATATGGTAATTTATGGACCTAATAGGTATCTAAAGCCATTTGCACATGTAGCCATGCAACCAGTCCATGCAGAATGTAGGCACCCTATATGTAGAAATGAGCAAACCAGTGATGTTTTAGGGAGCAGGCTAGCAGGCGGAGCCCATTACTTACATAATAGGAGCATACACAACACAAAACACTGTTGCTGTATGTAGGTTTTAATTTTATCTTGTATTTTGGAAATGTACATCCAGGTGTTTTTTTCCTATAAATTTTTTAGGGGCCCCCCAGAGAGTGGGGCCCTAAGCTATAGCTTGTTTAGCTTATACATAAATCCAGCACTGCACACAAGGAGAATATTTATATGGCTACGCCCTTCCCCTGTCAGGGCACAATGGGAGTTCTCTCTAGCAAACTTACAGGAAAGCTCCGAGCTTCAGCTCCTATCATGTGCCTATCTAGAAAACATGCATTGTTGGTTTGACGTCACAGTAAATATCCCACATGTGTTGCTTCGAGGCAATATGTAAATAGAGCTATTGCTTATACCAGGAGGGGCTAGCATGGCACTTTTCAGTTGCTCCTGAACTACAGTTCCCATCATCCCTGACCATTGGCCATGCTGGCTGAGGCTGATGAGAGTTGGAGTCCCACAACATCCAATGGACACCATGTTGTCTTAGGCAGAGTGTGCTGGGCCTGAGGGTAACCCGTGAAACACGGTCCAGGACCAGTCGAGAATCCAAAGGTTCTGCTAGGAGTCAATCCGACAGGGCCAAGGCAGGACATGAGGCAGGAAACCAGGCAAGGACAGGTACAGGATCTAGCATACAGCAATGTTGCTCCCGCAACCTGGGGCGGGGTCCGACAGCCTTTTATCTTTGTCGGGGTAGCGGCCAGTCCTGATCCCCCAGCCACTCGCCTCCCTGTTTCGCCCGAAGGTGAGCACTCCTCCCGCGAGTACTCAGGTCTCTCCTTCTCTCAGACCTGAGTCTCTGCAGCTCGGGAGACGTCAGTGGGTTACTAGACCCAGGGGTCAGCTCAGTCTCCCCTGACCCAACTGGTAGTGGAGCAGCTGTAAGTGATGGCCCAGCTGAAGGCAGCGAGATAATCCCCGCATCTGGAGCCAGGGCAGGCTCCGGCCCCTGACTCGGCCCAGCTGGTGTTTGTTGCAGGGGAACCTGTGCAGACTGGGACTCTTCAGGGTCAGGCCCCAGACTTGGTTCAGATGATGCCTGAGGCAAAGGATCCGATGCAGACTGAGTCTCCTCTGGTTCTGAGCCCGAGCCCAAGTCCCAGGCCATCACACAGAGCCAATCAAGGGCAAGAGGTAATGCTTGCTTAATGATAACTAGCCAAGTGTGAGTCTTGCAAGCTGCCCATTCAATTCAGTATGGGTTTTGCAAGTAGTTTCCTGGCAGACTCTTTGAGTCCGATCTGTCTGTCTTCCCATCTGCAGCCTTAATGACCCACCTGAGACAGCCACCCCATAGCGGAGCCGTCAGTTCTCTCCTTGGGTCAGCCAATTTCTCTAATTAGCTAGAGTTTTCAAAGCAGCAATGGGCTTTGTTTCCATTACGGTCTCTTCATGCACCCAGGACACAGTGTATGTTTCCATACTGAACACTCATCAAAGACACTCATCAAAGAACTTGTTCTCTCTCGTAAGACATCCCAGCAAAGAACATTTTCAGCCTTCCTGGAAGAAACTGGATGTATGCATATTTACGGAGAACAAATACTTCGTAAAACTTTCCCCTCTGGGTTTTGGTCCTCTGAAGTACCATCCTGCAATGCATCTTAGACATTCATAATAAAGACTTGAGGCAATTAACATCCAGCAGTTATTCTCCGGGTTATACTCCTCTCCCCTTCGCTCTCATGCTTGCCTTATTCTAGCCAGCTTTTGGAAGCACCCGGATCTAAGCTAGAACTTCCGAGGGCTGAACTTGAGCAGATGCTAACCAGCAATAGAAAGAAAGTTGCAGGTTCCCTCTGGGTGTTACTGTACTTCACCTCTCAGCAGACCAAGTCAATATGACCAATGGTCAGGGATGATGGGAGTTTAGGTCCAACAATATCTGAAGTATACCTGAAGGAGCGTCTCCACCCCCATCGTTCAGCCCAGAAACTGAGGTCCAGCTCTGAGGGCCTTCTGGTGGTTCCCTCACTGTGAGAAGTGAAGCTACAGGGAACCAGGCAGAGGGCCTTCTCGGTAGTGGCACCTGCCCTGTGGAATGCCCTCCCATCAGATGTCAAGGAAATAAACAACTATCTGACTTTTAGAAGACATCCGAAGGCAGCCCTGTTTAGGGAAGTTTTTAATGTTTGATGTTTTATCGTGTTTTTACTATTCTGTTGGGAGCTGCCCAGAGTGGCTGGGGAAGCCCAGCCAGATGGGTACGGTATAAATAATAAACTGTTGTTGTTGTTGTTGTTGTTGTTGTTGTTGTTGTTGTTGTTGTTAGCCATGGGTTCCCTATCCTTGCTGTAGAACTGGACCCTGAACCCTCCTTCAAGCAAATCTGTAGGGACTGTGGCCTCAGATTACCTCTTCCCAGGGAACTCTGGGAAGTGTAGTTCCATGATGGGAAGAGGGGTCTCCTAACAACTTTCAGCACCCTTGGCAAACTACAGTTCCCATGATTCTTTGCAGAAGACCAAGGCTGTTTAAAGTGATGTGATACTGCTTTGGACGTATAGTGCAGATGGGGCCTAAGCATTTTGGCTGAAATAATTATTTAAATCCAGTCTCCCCCAGCTCAAACTCAACACACTGGCTCCCTAGTTAGAGATCATTCTTAGAAAAAGATTGCTTTCTCCCTCCCATGCTTCCAAATTACTTTATGCATGCCTACCTTTAAAAAGAGTTTGGAACTCATTATCTACACACCGATAACTTCTGCTTTTACGTTTACAGAGATAGGTCTTAGTAATAACTCTTAACAAAACCTTGCACATGAAGAATATTTCTGTAACAGAAAGGAATGTGGGGTCTCCTTGCCTGAAGACTCCAAAAGTGAACCTTCTTGGAGAAAATCCAATGAATTCTTGTCATCTGATAAAGACATCCTATGTCCTTTTAAAATGTGGTTTTTGGGGGGCAGGGGGCTATTGAGTTGTTGTTTTTATTTTTATTAGGTATTTTGTGGTTTTATATCTTGATTTTATTCTGTGAACTGCCCTGAGACCCCCGGGTATAGGGTGGTATATTAATAATAATAATAATAATAATAATAATAATAATAATAGGGATGGCATATTTCTTGCACAGGTAAATGGAAGATCTGGAGACACGCAAGGCACGCCGGATAGAGCAGATGGTAGCCAAATGGCTGCGGCGGTCACGGGATCATGCAGCCAGGTAAGTATTTTAAGGAAATGTCATTAAAAGGGGGATGTGGGATACCCTAGTTTCATAGGGGCATAGTTTGGAAGTGGGTGTTTTCTTGTACCTCTTCTTGTCACTTGGGCCTCAGGTGGTAGTTATGGCAAGCAGTACCTATTACCAGACCCTCGGCTGATATTCCTGCGGCAGTCCTTCACTATGCAAGTAGCAAACACCCTCAATTTTTACCCTCAATTGTAGCATTTTATGCATTGCAACCTGCTGTTGTTGTTATTGATTATAGTTTAGTAATTATTTGTTGTGATTAAGAGTAGATTTCTGTTTAATTATTACTTGGTGATATGTTGAGTTAATTTTATTGTGTTCTATTGATTGATTGATTGATTGATTGGATTTATATACCGCCCTATACCTGGGGGTCTCAGAGTGGTTCACGGAATAAAATCAATATATAAAACCACAAAAATACCTAATAAAAATAAAAACAGCAACCCAATAGCCAGCCAGCCCCAGAAAAAAAAACATTTTAAAAGTAATGTAAATTAGATCAACCAAAGGCCTGGTTAAAGAGAAACGTTTTTGTCTGCCGCCTAAAAGTGTATAATGAAGGGGCCTGGCAAACTTCCCTGGGGAGAGTATTCCACAGATGGGGAGCCACTGCAGAGAAGGCCCTGTTCTCGTGTTGCCACTCTCTGGACCTCTCAAGGAGGTGGCACACGAAGAAGGGCCTCAAAAGATGATCTCAGGTTCCGGGTAGGTTCATATGGAAAGAGGCGGTCCTTAAGGTATTGTGGTCCTGAGCCGTTTAAGGCTTTATAGGTCAAAACCAGGACTTTGAATTGGGCCCAGAAACTAATTGGTAGCCAGTGCAGTCGGACCAGGATCAGTGTAATATGCTCAGACCATCTTGCTCTGGTGAGCAACCTGGCCACTGAATTCTGCACCAGCTGAAGTTTCCGAACCGTCTTCAGAGGCAGCCCTATGTATAACGCATTCTAATAGATTGTTGGAAACAGGCGTCTCCCCACGAGAGGATTATGTACCTGGACTCTGCACGTATATGTGAAACCACGTAAAGTCGGGAGGGTGCTGTTGAGAGAGGCTGTGAAACAGCTATCTCTCTCAACGGATCCCAATCATCCCACCCGCCTTCTCCGGGTGGTGATGAACCTCGGCATGTATGGTCCCTGCTGGCTGCCTCTGGTTATGGAAAGCTGAGCTGGGGAGTTGATGGGTTGGCTCCTGGGTGGCTCCCGGCACCCGGTGCTGGCCAGCTTGACAAGGAGCGGTGCTGAGGCTCCCAGCAGCATCCTCTGGTCCCTTTCCCTCTTCCCCACTGGAGGTGTGGCTTTCCCCACCGCAGAAAGAGGAACTGCTTCGCAAGATTTTCGGAGGTTCCCTGTAACCCAACTGCCCCTCTGCTTTCCTTCCCTGTTCCGATGGCAGTCCACTGACACACTCTCCCCCCCCCCACTTCCTGTCCAAATCCTGGTTTCCCCTGCCAGTCTTCTCTTTATTCTCCTCTTGCGCTGGTCCCGAGGGTTAACCGTGCGGCGAGGTCCGAGTCCAGTCCAAGGTCGAGGGTGCAGTATGGAGGCTGCCCGCCAAAGCTGAAGCGGTGTCTAAGGCAGGGAGTCGGGTGAGGTCAGGAACTCTGGCAGAAGATCAGGACAGGGTGCAGGCATGAACTAGCAACCAACAATGTTGCTCCCGCAACCTGGGACTGGGGCTGGCTGGCTTTTATCTGCCCCTAGGCATAGGGCGGCCCCGGTCCACAGGTGACTCGCCTCTCCTGGCCTGGAGGCGAGCACTCCTCCTGCGGGAACTTAGTTCCCTCCGCCTCTCTGCCCTGAGCCTCTGCAGCTCAGGAGAGGCTGGAGGGTTACCGGACCCAGAGGCAACCTCAGCTTCCTCTGACGGGGCTGAGAGTGGAGCACCTGCAGGCAATGGGTCCTCCATCACCTCAGGGGCCAGAGCAGACTCAGCTGGTGCCTGCACCTGAGGATCCAGCACAGGTGAGGACCCTTCAGCTCAGGCCCCAGTCCCGGCTCAGCTGGTTCTGGAGGTGGGGACTCCTGTGCAGGCTGGGATTCCTCAGGTTCAGCCTCCGAGTCCAAATCCCAGGCCATCACACCTCTTCTCACATATCCTTCTGTTCCTGGTCTGTCCGCCTGCCTTTCTCTCTCACACACACCAGGCTGTGTGGTCTCAGAAAATGCCAGCCTCAGCCTCCTGCAATTGCTCCACTCAACACTGCTGCTCTCTGATTTCTCTCTCACCTTCTTTGCCCTCTCTGGGGCATATGCTGAAAGCTGGAGCCTTAATCTATCCAGGCTGCCATGCCAGTGCTTGCTATTCTTTCTGCCCGTCTGCCACTTAAACTATGCTACGTCCTGGCAAGCTCTGGAAGTTGTCACCCTGCGATACCCGGAGTGCTGCCAACATTCCTGTGCCTACTTCCATTATCTCCGCTTCTTTTCATGCCAGCCTCTCCTCCCTCCCTCCCTGGCTGCCCAGGGCACTTGCTGTAAGCAGAAGTCCTAGAATGGCTGAAACAACTTGCCTGCCAACTCTACCCCTTCCTTCCTTGCCGCTGCCCAGTTCAATAAGAGCCTCTCTCTTTGGGCTCCCAGGCTGCCTGCCTGGAGAACAAAGGCTGTGACCTCATCCTGACATTTTCTGATGTAGACAGTGGCTTTTGTGACATCATCCTGGTGTTGCTCACCTGAAGCAGGAACAGGTGGTCCCCTCCCACAGCTGCTGTCCTTCTGGCAGAAAAACAAGAAAAATGTTATGCCCCAATACCTGCACATTGTTGTCACTGCCATTACTTATTATTTACTCACTATACAACTAATCCAGAATGCGGCAGCCAGACTGGTGACTGGGAGTGGCCGCCATATAACACCAGCCCTGAAAGGCCTACATTGGCTCCCAGTACATTTCTGAGCATGATTCAAAGTGTTGGTGCTGACCTTTAAAGCCCTAAATGGCCTCGGCCCAGTATACCTGAAGGAGCATCTCCACCCCCATCGTTCTGCCCGGACACTGAGGTCCAGCTCCAAGGGCCTTCTGGCGGTTCCCTCAATGTGAGAAGTGAGGTTACAGGGAACCAGGCAAAGGGCCTTCTCAGTGGTGGTGCCCACCCTGTGGAACGCCCTCCCATCAGATGTCAAGGAAATAAACAACTGTCTGACTTTTAGAAGACATCTGAAGGCAACCCTGTTTAGGGAAGTTTTTAATGTTTGATGTTTTACTGTGTTTTTAATATTCTGTTGGGAACTGCCCAGAGTAACTGGGGAAGCCCAGCCAGATGGGTGGGGTATAAATAACAAAATTACTGTTGTTGTTGTTGTTGTATTTGATTTCTTTCCCATCAGTGGTGGAGAATCTGCCTTGCAAGCAGAAGATTTCAGGTTCCATCCCCAGTGTCTCTGGGTACATCTGGGAGAGAGCCCTGTTTGAAACCCTGGAGAGTTGAGCCTTCTTCTCTTGGGGGTCCCCCAGTTTGTGCCACTCACCATTCCTCTGTGTCCAAGCCAGTCCATGACAGACGCTTCCAAACTGTTGCTATTTTCAGGAAGGAATCAATAACGTCCTAGCAAATTCAGGTTGTGAATTTCTAGTCGATTGGGAGGCCCTGTGCAATAGACTCAGTTCTCCAAAAAGATCAGACTTCCTGCAATATGGAAAGTGACACAAAAATGCACCGGAAAGTATTTATATTTATTTATTTTATTTATACCCTGCCCATCTGGCTGGGTTTCCCCAGCCACTCTGGGCGGCTCTCAACAGAATTAAAAGGACTACAGAGTGGGATGGAAAAGGATACCTTCCTGCATCCCTATGGACAACCTTCTTTTTCATATATACATTTATTTATTTAATTTTACATAATAGTTATACATAACAAACATATCAATTCAAACAAACAACATCAGCAACAAAGAACACAAAAGGTTATCTCAAACCTTCAGACCTCCATCTACCCCTCCATGGCTTCCATTTTTATAATTTTGTTCCTGCATCTTTTCCTGTAATCTATCTACTGTTATAATGGTATGGGGTTGCTCGGGCGTAAGTTGCCGCCTCTCCTGGCTAGGTTGCCTTGTTAAACCTTTCTGTCTGGACAGCCCTTCAATTCGTGGCTGCCTCAGTCGCTAGCAGAATCCGTCAGTGGGCGTTTCTTAAACCTTTTCCAACATAAAAGTTGTTTGACACCCAGTCTCCTCCTACTTTCTCTGCGCGGAAGTCTTCTGCGCAGGGAGGGCGTGGGTAGCGGAGGACCAGTGCTCTCCCCGCTGGTGTCTGGTGAAGAGTCTGGGAGCCCTCTCTCCGATTCCCCCATCTGCCCCTCCTTATTCCTGGTGTTGCACTGAATTGCTTCCCCATCTGCTGAGCTGCCTCTCTCCCTGCTGGGCCCTTCTCCAGCATCATCAGAGAGCCTTCCCTCCACCTCTAGCTCCGATGTCAGTTCCCTGACAACTGTAATAATAAATGTCCATAATATCCAATTTACTGTAATCTACTTAATAATAAATGTCCATAATATCCAAAGCCCACATTTCTTTTCAAGTGTTTTTTATATTCCTGCTACTGATTTTAACCGTTTACAGTGATCTCTCAAATATGTTTTAAAGTCATCCCAGTCCTTAATAAAGATTTGGTCTTCCTGATTTCTGATCTTTCCTGTCATTTTTGCCATTTCGGCATATTCCATCAACTTGGTCTGCCATTCATCTTTGTCTTCTTTCCATCTCTGGGCTGAGAGCATCTGTGCTGCTGTCGCCGCATACATAAAAATAAATTTCTTATCTTTTGGTAATTCTGCACCTATAATTCCTAATAAAAAAAGCTTCTGGTTTTTTAACAAAAGTTATGTCAAACATTTTTTCCCCAATTCATTATATATCAATTCCTATGAACAACTTTCTTAAGCATTTTTCTTATATAAAAATTTTTTTGCAGGGGGAGAGCGTCAGTAGGTGACAGAGCATCGGACAGCATTAATCAGCCTCCAACTCGCGTGAAGCTCACAGTGGAGATCCAAAAAGATGTGCTACTTGGACATTATGGCTTTGAAGTTTCTCAGCATCTTCCCCTTCTTATCACCTCAGTTGCTGCAGGTAGGGATGATATCTCTCTAAGGTAACACCAAATGGCATGCAATGATGACAGGGGGATGGGGGGGCAGGAATGAATCACACAGAGTAGGCAAAGTTACCGTATTTTTCGCTCCATAAGACGCACTTTTTCCCTCCTAAAAACTAAGGGAAAATGTGTGTGCGTCTTATGGAGCAAATGCGGGGGGGAGGCAGGCAGGAAAAGCCCCCAAGAGCCGCACACAAGCTCCGCGCGGCTCTTGCGGGCTTTTCCCCAGGAGGGAGAAGGGATTGACGCGGCCAGTCAGTCCCTTCTCCCTCCTCGTAGAAAAGCCCGCAGGAGCCGTGCGCTCCGTAAAGGGTGCACAGCTCCTGTGGGCTTTTGCGGGGGTATTGCCATAGCCACGCGCAGCCCCCCTTCTATGGCAGAAGCTGAGACAGCGAGGGGGATGGATCCCGCTCGCTGTCTTGGCTTCTTTGCTCTTTGGGGCTGGGGGGGGGGGGGAATAAGATTTTTTTTCTTGATTTCCTCCTCTAAAAACTGGTGCGCCTTATGGTCCAGTGCGCCTCATGGAGCGAAAAATGCGGTAACTCTGTATTCGAAGAAACAAGGTCTGCTCAGGAGCGCCAGGTCTAATGAGCACAGCAAATTATTTAAACTTTTCAGATACATACATTTCACTGATGTTACATTCATTTTGACATTTTAAAACTTGACTTCCTTCCCCCCTCTTTCTGCAGTTCCTTAAATTTATTTTCAATTTCCTCTGCATATCCAAATTAACTTTACTTACTCATTTATTTATCATTCATATATTCTTCTTTCTTCTTTGGCGATCACTCGTAGCAGAGTAAGATTGTCTTCCATAAACACGGTTTTAACAATGAGTCCGTAAGTGACTGTGGAGGCCAATTCATGGACCCATAAGTCCTTCCACAGTGGGGACATAGGTTTCTGGGAGGGAGTTGATCACGATGTGGATTTGCCAAGCGTGCCTTCCTCTTAACACGTTTCTGCCTTGCGTTCTGAGTTCGAGTGTCTTCAAAGTCCATGACACCTTTGGTAAAAGCTGTTCATATATATATGTTCACACACACACACACACACACACACTTATATAGCTGCAGGTTATTACAACAATCCCGCCAATGTTTTTATCTGTTTACAATTTATCTATAAATATTCAATAAACCATTAACATTCGTTTATAAAAAGTTTGTTATCCTGATTTCTTATTCTTCCGGTAAGTTTTGCCATTTTTGTATATTCCATAAGTTTTTTTATCATTCTTCCTTTGCTGGGACTACTACTTTCCATTTTTGGGAACAGCAGCTCTTCGTCATAGGTCTTGCCCCTATGTCACAGTTGTAGAGACTTAAGGTGCCCAGCTTCACGCAACTGCCTGAATCTCCTCCTTCTCGGGTCCTTCCCAAGCAATCTGAGACTACACCGATGTGCCTGTCTCTGCTCCTCTCTCTTCATACCTCTTCTGGTTCTGGGAGACCGAGGAGAGGGGAACTTGTTGCAGCAAGAAGGGGACACACCCAGCATGATTCATCTCCTGCTTCTAAGGAGGAGCACTACCATTCCTTCCTGAGCTGACTAGGGTGGGATGGAGTCACTCAATGGTGGAGTTACAGCTCTTTGGGTAACTTTGGTTTGCATTTTCATGTTGTAAGATGTCTGAAGTGAGGCTCCAGCTTTCTGCAATTCAAGTTGATTTTGTAAACCCGGAGAGATAATTTGTCCCTAACAAGGCCCTGACATTTTACAGGCAGCACCGCTGACGGGAAGCTTTTGCCGGGGGATCACATCATTGCAATAAACAACAAAGCAGCTGAAGAGGACGTTACCGGGGAACAAGCAGCCGCTCTTTTAAGGTGCTATGCGTGAACATGCCCAAAGCATTAGATAATGCAGCTGGGCTCCAGGAAAAGCTTAGGTTCTCTCTTTTTATATATATAAATTCATTTATTTGATTTTTCAGATTAAAGTTTTACAATCGCATATACAACATAAAAACAAGATTCGAAAGAATCACCTGGACTTCCCTCCTCCCTTTTGTGGGTCCTATTGTTAATCATTTCCTCCTGCATCTTTTATAAACATCCAAATCTTTTACATCTCATGTCCAAAATTCACCATTAAACTGCAAGTGTTATTCCAATCCTACTAACGATTTTAACTGTTTACAATGGTTTTTAAGGTAAATTATAAATTTCCCTTTAGGGACATGGGTGGCACTGTGGGTTAAGCCACAGAGCCTAGGACTTGCCGATCAGAAGGTCGGCGGTTCAAATCCCCGCCACGGGGTGAGCTCCCGTTGCTCGGTCCCAGCTCCTGCCAACCTAGCAGTTCAAAAGCACGCCAGTGCAAGTAGATAAATAGCTACCAAGTAGGGCTCACTTCATTCCGGTATTTTTTTTGTGGGTTTATTCTACAATGCGGGTGGCACTGTTGGTTAAACCACAGAGCCTAGGCCTTGCTGATCAGCAGGTCAGCAGTTTGAATCCCCACGACGGGGTGAGCTCCCATTGTTCGGTCCCTGCTCCTGCCAACCTAGCAGTTCGAAAGCACGTCAAAGTGCAAGTAGATCAATAGGTACCACTCTGGTGGGAAGGTAAACGGCGTTTCCGTGCGCTGCTCTGGTTCGCCAGAAGCGGCTTAGTCATGCTGGCCACATGACCCGGAAGCTGTACGCCGGCTCCCTCGGCCAATAAAGCGAGATGAGCGCTGCAACCCCAGAGTCGGTCACGACTGGACCTAATGGTCAGGGGTCCCGTTACCTTTACCTATAAATTTCCCCCATTCCTGATTAAAATTTTGGTCTTCCTGGTTTCTGATTCTTCCGGTCAGTTTTTGCCATTTCAGCATAATCCATCAACTTAATCTGCCATTCCTCTCTGGTAGGGAGAGGGACAGCTTAGGTTCTCACCAGAGATTTGTGCTAGCTTAGACAGGGTTTGGGTATCCCAAGGAGGATCCAAATTTTTCTGTGGCATCTCCTAACCATGTTCAATCAAGAGTTACTTATTTCTGAAGTCCCATGGTGTCACGGTCCGGTTCACGGGTGATCGAAGTCCCGGCAGGGGACGTCAGGACTGGGGGCAAGATGGTGGGGTGGGAACAGGAACAGGGGTCCAGAAGCCAGGAGTCAGGAAACCAGGAGAGCTGGGAGTCAAGAAGCTAAGGTCCGAGGGTCAGGAAGCAAGGAGTCATGAAGTCAAGGGTCTGAGGACCAAGAAGCAAGGAGTCAAGGAACCAAACCCAGCAAGGGAGGGAACACGTTGCTGTGGCAAAGAGCTGAAGGGAAAAGCTGACCTTATATCCCTTCCCAGCTCTTGCCACCAGGTGCTGTGAGTTACCTCAACTGTGAGGCCGCACCTTGCCTCTTCAGAACAAACTTAGGAAGGCCCCAATCCTGGTCACAGGGGCTGGCTTCTGCACGCATACCTGACACATGGCACTTTACAGAATACAGTGGTACCTCGGGTTAAGTACTTAATTCGTTCCGGAGGTCCGTTCTTAACCTGAAGCACCACTTTAGCTAATGGGGCCTCCTGCTGCTGCCGTGCCACTGGAGCACAATTTCTGTTCTCATCCTGAAGCAAAGTTCTTAACCCAAGGTAATATTTCTGGGTTAGCGGAGTCTGTAACCTGAAGCGTATGTAACCCAAGGTACCACTGTACAAGTCATATGGTGTTTGAGATGGCAGTGAAGCGTCCAGACATTGGGGAGACAGTTGGAGATGCAGGACTTGAATGAGAAAGACAGTTTAAAAGTAGAGCAATAGAGGTGACTTGGGTGTCATCTGTGTGGTGCTGATGGTCTAAACCACTGAGCCTCTTGGACTTGCCGATCGGAAGGTCGGTGGTTCGAATCCCCACAACAGGGTGAGCTCCCATTGCTCTGTCCCAGCTCCTGCCAACCTAGCAGTTTGAAAGCACTCCAGTGCAAGTAGATAAACAGGTAACACTGCGGCGGGAAAGTAAATGGCATTTCTGTGCACTCTGGTTTCCTTCCCGGTGTCCCGTTGCACCAGAAGCGGTTTAGTCATGCTGGCCACATGACCTAGAAAGCTGTCTGTGGACGAACGCCAGCAGCCTGAAAGCGAGATGAGCGCCACAACCCCATAGTCGCCTTTGACTGGACTTAACCATCCAGGGGTCCTTTACCTTTTTACCTTTTACCATCTGTGTATAAGTGGTACTGAAAGCAATGGGGTCTGGGTGAAGTCAGTAACTCATACAGTGGTACCTCGGGTTAAGTACTTAATTCGTTCCAGAGGTCCGTTCTTAACCTGAAACTGTTCTTAACCTGAAGCACCACTTTAACTAATGGGGCCTCCCGCTGCCGCCATGCCGCTGGAGCACGATTTCTGTTCTCACCCTGAAGCAAAGTTCTTAACCTGAAGCACTATTTCTGGGTTAACAGAGTCTGTAACCTGAAGCGTATCTAACCCAAGGTACCACTGTAGTACGTCTTTAGATAAAAGGTAGTTTTGCTACTATCCAGGGTATGTATTATCTCCCTTGTGGAAACAGCGGTTGTATATTTTCATTTTCTTTTCTTTTCTTTTCTTTTTTGCATTACAGGGAATCAGAAGACACTCTCCAGTTTACAGTTCTCCGATGCACCTTGGTAAATTGCCTTCATGTACCACTGGGGTTTGAAATGCTCCCTGGGGGGTCAGGGTTTGGCCTCCTGGTGGGTGTGCGCAAACGAGATGCTCCCGGAGGTAATCTTAAGAGTTACAAAGGATGGGTAGGGGGAGATGTCCCTGAGACTAGGGAACATGCACTTTTTGCAGCTCTGGAGAGGCCACACACATCAGTGGCGGACATTTTGCCCTCAACGTACTGTTGCTGCCATCCTGGCATTAGTGCAACATTATGGACAGAGGTTTGACGACCCATTGCATGCCAACATGTGTGACCGTATCCTGTTGACAGCCTGTCAAGATAAAGATAAGCTGCTTCCAGGGGGCAGCTAGGGGGTAAAGAAAAGCAGGCACAAGGTGGTGCTTAACCCTTGCCCTCCTGCTGTTTCCCGTTCCAAATCACTCTCCAAATATGTTTTCCTGCATTTAGAACCCTCCCGTGAGAATAGCCATACGAGTGGGGTCCACTTTGGTGCCCAGTGAAGACTTTCTCATTCGCTCTGATGTTTTCATTGTGTTTTAATTCTGAGCTCTTTTGGGGGGGTTTTCCAGTTTTTCAAATTTTATTTATACTTTTCAAGTTTATACATTTCACTAGTTTTATACATTTCCCTAATTTTACAATCATTTTAACATTTCAAAACTGGACTTCCTTCCCCCTCTTTCTGCCGTTCCTTAAATTTATTTTTAATCTCCTCTGCATATCCAAATTCACTCAATTTGCTCATTTATTCACCTGCTTTAAATGCAGACTCTTATAGAAACTGCAGGTGATTGCAATAATCCATTCAATCTGATCTGTTTTACTCTGTCTCCATTGTAACTTGGATATTGCCCCAGCTTTTTGGTGGGTTTTAATGACGACATTTCACATTTTGAGCATGGTTTTATTTTGTTTTGTTTTGTAAGCCACTTATTTATTTATTTCTGGGTCAGGATGCACATTCAGTCAATAAATCTGGAGCAATTCAAAGAGCGAAAGCGTTGTCTCCCACTCCACACATTTCTCCATTTCTGATCCGCCCCCTCCCTGCAAGCAGTTTTTTAAAACAGCAACAACAACAGATCATTAGGCTACCATTTCTCTGCATTGGGTTGTCGTAGGCAAATGAAAAGGAAGTCCTTAAAGTGCTCTTTGTGAAGTTCCCAGAGGCGTCAGGTGAGCTGTTGCAGGAAAGAATGCTGGTCAAAATGGATGCTTGACCGGATCCAGCAGGACTATTTTTAATGGCTTGATAGCAGAGGCGGAGCTAGCTGCTCCAGCACCTGGAGCCGCACACATGCTGTGATCCCAGGGGCGGGGCAAGCCGCCCACAGGGAGGTCGGGGTGAGAGTCCCAGGGGGGCGCAGAAGCGTGCGTCCCAGAGATGGAGCCGCCCATGGCGGGCTGCTTCCTGGGGATGAGTGAAGGGAGCCGCACCGCTTTGCCAGCAGCCTTCCTCCCTTCCCTCTTCCTTTTGACAGCTCGGGGGAGGCTCCCGCTGTTGGCATGCAACCAAGGAAATGGGGGCAATTGGCAGGCCCCCAGCTGGCTCCAGCCCATCGGCCGGTGTGCCAGGCGGACTCCAGTCCTTGGTGCGGCATGAATCTGTGACCTGACCTTCAGAAGCTAGGGCACACTAAGCAGAGTAAACTCTGCACAAACAGAAGAGGCTGTGTGAGTATATTTACAGGCAGTTTATTCAGTGTACATCAGGGCAAAAGGAAACATGTCTGATCTCCTTTGTGTCCAAAGCAAAACGGCTAAAGCAAAAGCTATAGACAAATGGAAGTTCCCAGCATACTGTGCTGGAATGTAAACAGACATGTGACACACAACAATCATGCCTGTTCCTTAAGGTGAAATGGAATATCCCAACACCCCCCACCCCAGGAAGCAGCCTGGGAGTGGGGGGCAATGGCGCGCCACCCGCCTGCGACTCCCAACCTCCCCTGAGCTGTCAAAACGAAGGGGAGAAGGCCGTCGGCAAAGCCGCCCCTTCCCCCAATGGATTGGGGTAGGCTTGGGAGCCAAATGTCACCCCCCCCCTCAGTGATGACAACCGGGGCAGACCACCCCCACCAGTGGGGCGAGAGCCAGTGTGGTGTAGTGGTTAAGAGCGGTAGACCCGTAATCTGGTGAACCGGGTTCGCGTCTCCGCTCCTCCACATGCAGCTGCTGGGTGACATTGGGCCAGTCACACTTCTCTGAAGTCTCTCAGCCTCACTCACCTCACAGAGTGTTTGTTGTGGGGGAGGAAGGGAAAGGAGATTGTTAGCCGCTTTGAGACTCCTTTGGGTAGTGATAAAGCGGGATATCAAATCCAAACTCTTCTGCTGCTGCTGCTCCTTAGGTGAGATTGCGAAAATCGTGATGATGTCGAACCGACAGGGTTTGTTGTCATGTTGCCATGTTGCTGTCAGGGTGTTGTACTTTGCAAACCCAATGCCATTGTCTTTGCAGGGTGGCCCTAAATCCTCCTTTCTTACAGCCGAGAAAAGAGCCAGGCTAAAGACGAATCCCGTCAAAGTCCGCTTTGCAGAGGAAGTAGTCGTGAACGGACATACTCAGGTATGTGCCAACGCGGCCATTATGCCGGAAGAAACAGCCTTGGAGCAATGGTCAGATTGTCAAAATACGTATGCAGGGAGGTTGTCAGTCATTAACATCACGAAGGCACCTTGTTGGCTGCCCCTGCACTGGGCTAGTGGAATTGAAAGTTGTGCTGATAACCAGTTTAAGGATAGCTCAGTTGGTTAGAGCATGGTGCTCATAACACCAAGGTTGCAGGTTCAATCCCTGTATGGGACAGCCGAATATTCCTGTATTGCAGTGGGTTGGACTAGATGATTTTCAGGGTCCCTTCTAACTTAGCTGACTAGTTATTGTTGGTTTCTATTTCCTTCACTGAGCAGCAACTGCTGTCATGAGACAGGTGTTTACATTCCACAGTCTGTACTGTTGGAGTTTCTCACGGGAAAGGGAGACTGGATGTGACGTACACTGGTTTCCTGTTTTTTCACTGTGTGATTCTCTCCGAGCTGTGAAGGAGAGAGGATGCATTTTTCTGCTCTTGCAGAGGCAAGATGTCTTTCTGTAATATACCAGCTTTGAACTGTAAATAAAGCTATATGGAGTATGGAGCACGTATTCTCATCCTTCCGCTGGGCACGACAGACTCTGCTTTAAATCAACACGTGGTTATGGACTCCAGAGGTCGAATCGGAGTGCCGGCAAAGGATCGGAATGCAGAGGGAGGACGGATCGGAAAGGAATCTGCTCTGCGCGTAGAAGTGATTGATGAGGTATGTGCTACTGCTCCGGGCAGCCTGCCAGCTTCAAGTTAATGGCTTTATGGCTGGACTTTGAACTTTTAAAGCCGGTTTTGCCGGTAATAGGCAAAAGGCTCCCAGGCACAAGTCACTATGCTGGGGAAATCGAAAGTAACTTTTAAGTGTGCCTTTGTAATGAGGCAGCTGCAGCAGTGACGCAGCAAGATTTAAAGCAGCACAGATATGACGCTGAAGGCTAATGCCAGAGTCATGATGGCCCTTCAGGATGCTTGTGGGATTCCTAAGCTCAACAAGAAGAATTATAGCGACTGGGTTCAGTATGCAGAGGCAATTCTGCGGAAAGAGGGTGTGTTTGAGGTGATTACAGGCACCCCCCCAGTTCCAGTTACAGATGCATGGGAGGCTAAGGATTCCAAAGCAAGGGGAACTCTTACATTGATAGTATCCCCAGAAGAGCTCTGTCTATTGCGTGATAAGACCTCAGCCAGAGAAATTTGGGACGCTCTGAGAGAGGCTCACTTAAGGACAGAAGCTGGATCCACTATGTTTTATTTTAACAAGCTGCATAATATGGCTCTTGCTGAAGGTGGAGATGTGCGTTTACATCTGATGCAGATGCAAAATCTGAGGCATGAGCTGCAACAGAGAGGACTCAACTTTCCAGAGGCTGTGTATTCTTTCATGATACTACAATCTTTGGGTTCAGGTTGGGAGTCTGTTGCAACCCAGATTGCTGTGCAACCAACTGCTCAGCTGACAGTGGACTTTGTTACTGCCGTGATTTTAAATGAAGCAGATCGCCGGGGTGCTAGCTGCATGGGCAAGGGAGAGTCTTCACAGACGTCATCCCATAGTGCAGTGGAACCACCAGATGGCGCCAAAGCTTTGAAGGCAGTCAAATGCTACTCGTGTGGACGTCTAGGCCATATGAAGAGGGAATGCAGACATCCCAGGGCCAAGACAGAGCAGCGCAGCGAAAGCTCATCGCGCGGAAAAGGCCGAGGCAAAGGCAAAGGTCCGGTGTCTAGGACAACGCAGCACAAGGCTATGGTTTCACGCTTCACTCCAAAGGTTGCAGAGGTCCAGAAGACGTCTAGATCTTTCTTCGTTGTTGATTCAGCGGCGACCCACCACATGTGCAACGATAAGAAACTGTTTGTGTCTTTTACACCGCAGGAAGGTGCGATTCACCAGGCGGATGACCACACTGTTCCCAGTAAAGGCTACGGAACTGTTGTTCTTCACAGTTTGGACTTATCGATACAGAATGTGCTTTACGTGCCAGACGCCAAACATAATCTGCTCAGCGTTGGACAGCTGAATGAGCGGAACATTGACGTTTCCTTCAAGAACAAGAAGTGCATCATCACAAAGAAAAATGATTATGTATTGCATGCAGAATATGTTGATCATTTGTTTGTTTTGTATTATGATGATGTGATGCAGGATGACACTTGTTGCATTGCAGGTTCTAACAAAAGTTTGCATGCAGAATGTATTCACGATTTTCATCGCAAATTTGGTCATTTGAATTTTGAGGCAGTATCTAAAATGTCTGCCTTGGTTGAAGGTATGACTATTAAACCCTGCAGGTACCACATGAAGTGCAAAGCATGCGCAGCAAACAAGGTGAAAATGGCTGCGAAAGGTAAGGTGTCTAGTAGGAAAGCTACAGAACCATACCAGGTCGTTCATGCTGATTTGGTTGGACCATTAACGCCCTCTTTGGGTGGAAATAGATACTTCATGGTTCTCATTGATGCATTTTCTAGATATATTTTTGTGTACAATCTCAAGCAGAAATCGGAGGCTTTTCCTAGGTTCAAGGAATTCTGTGCTTGGTTGGAAAATGTGCATGGTAAGAAGATAAAGACTCTTTTCAGTGATCGCGGGGGAATTCACTTCTCAGCAGTTTGAAGCTTTTCTGACTGAGAAAGGAATTCAACACGATTTGTCTAGTCCTCGCTCGCCATGGCAGAATGGACTTGCGGAACGGGCAAATCAGACATTGCTTCAAGGGTTAAAGACCTTGCTGCATGATGCCAATCTTCCAGAGAGTTATTGGGCCGAATCTCTCTCGTGTTTTGTTTACAGTTACAATCGCAGGCTATCTTCAGCGATTGGATGTACCCCCTATGAGAAGATGTTTGGCAAGAAGCCATACATCAAACACATGAAGATTTTTGGTTCTGACATGTGGGTTCGCTCACCACAAAACTCCAAGTTAGACAAGCGTGGATTGCATGGTATCTTTCTAGGTTATCAGAAAGGGTCTTACAGAATAATGATGACTGACTCTAAGACAATTAAGCTCACGAGAAGTGTTGAGTACAATGCAAAGTGGGGGAGAATGTGGGAATTTTCCAATGTTATCCTGATGACGGTGATGAGACTGAGGATAGTCAAAAGCAACCACAACAGCCCACACCCACTGATGAAGGTTCTGAGTCTGAATCTGAAACTGAATCGGGTGATTCAGAGGATTTCAAGAGTGCGAAAGCCTCTGTGCGACCCTCTGAAAGCTCTGATCAAGAATCGGAGGAACCATTGTTCACAATAGGTCGTTTTTCTCCTAAGAAGGAAGAGGAGAGTGTTGAAGACTTAAGGCTAATTCGTAGGTCACAGAGAGCCACAAAAGGCAAACCTCCAAAGAGATTTGCTGATGAGTTTGCTAAGATAGCAGTAACAGCTGTTAAAAGCTCCAAGAAGGTATTTGAACCTTCAAGTTTCCAAGAAATCCAGGGTTTGGATTCAAAGGAAGCTGAGCCATGGTTAAATGCCATGAAGGCTGAGCTTGATTCCTTAGAAAGGAACAAAACATGGGAGCTAGTTCCAGTAGTTCCAGGAATGAAACTGCTTGGAAGCAAATGGGTCTTCAAAGCGAAGACAGATCAAAATGGCAAGATAGTCAGACACAAAGCCAGATTGGTAGCCAGAGGTTTTGCACAGGTACCAGGTCAAGACTATCACGAGACCTATTCACCCACAGTGAGATATGAAAGCATTAGGCTTATGCTCAAGCTAGCTGCAGAGGAAAATCTACACATTAGTCACCATGATATTAATACAGCTTTTCTGTACGGATCTCTAGATGAATCACTTTATATGCTTCCACCTGATGGCGTACAGGTAAAACAGGGATTTGTTTGTGCTCTGAAGAAATCCCTTTATGGTCTCAAACAAAGTGCACGGTGTTGGCACACAAAACTCACTGAAGTATTGTTTTCTCTAGGTTTTCAGCAAGGGAAAGCTGATCCATGTGTATTTGTCAAAGAGGAGGGGCAAAAGAAACTGTACTGTTTGTTTTATGTTGATGATTTATTATTCTTTTGGAAAGATGTTGCAATGTACAATAACGCCCTAGCTCAACTGAAGGAGCACTTTAACATGAAAGATCTTGGTGAGGTAAACAACTACCTATCTCTGGAAATAGAGAAAGATCAAGATGGTAACATTCTAGTACACCAGTCACGGAAAATTGCTGATGTGTTAAGCAAACTAAATCTGATGGATGCTAACCCTGTAGACACACCGATGACAACAGGTTATCAGGTAGATGACACTGAAGAAGCATTTTCTGACACTACACTGTACAGGAGTGTGCTAGGCAAGCTAAACTTCATTGCCAGATGTTCAAGACCAGACATTGCTGTTAGCTGTAATTTGCTAAGCAGACAAGTCAACAATCCTAGTGTCAAGGATTGGAAAGCTCTGAAACGCATAGCGCGGTATTTGAAAGGCACTATGCATTACAGACTGAGATTTAACAATCAGAAGTCTGGTGGTCTTGAGATATTTGCAGATGCAAGTTTTGGAAGTGACGCTACAGACAGGAAAAGTACGTCTGGAGTTTGCTACATGTACAATCAGAGTCTGTTTGATTGGTCATGCAAGAAGCAAACAACAGTTAGCTTAAGTACTTGTGAAGCTGAACTGAATGCACTGTCTTATTCACTTAAGGATTGTGAATGGTTAGTACAATTGTGCAAAGATATGAAAATTCCTGTCAAATGTCCAATCCAGGTTTACCAGGACAACAAAGCATGTTTGGCTTTGCTGAAGTCTGAAGGTTGTAAGCAAAGCACAAAGCACTTGCAATTAAAGTTGCAGCATGCTAGGGAATGTATTCAGAAGGGACTCGTAACGGTGTCCTATATGCCAGGTAATGAAATTCCTGCTGATGTATTGTCCAAGATTGTATCGAGGGATCAACACTGTACCTATGTGCAGAAGTTGGGTTTGTACTGATACTGTACGAACACGCTGCCCAGTGATGTTCACAGAAAGGGGGGAGGATGTTGGTTTCTATTTCCTTCACTGAGCAGCAACTGCTGTCATGAGACAGGTGTTTACATTCCACAGTCTGTACTGTTGGAGTTTCTCACGGGAAAGGGAGACTGGATGTGACGTACACTGGTTTCCTGTTTTTTTCACTGTGTGATTCTCTCCGAGCTGTGAAGGAGAGAGGATGCATTTTTCTGCTCTTGCAGAGGCAAGATGTCTTTCTGTAATATACCAGCTTTGAACTGTAAATAAAGCTATATGGAGTATGGAGCACGTATTCTCATCCTTCCGCTGGGCACGACAGACTCTGCTTTAAATCAACAGTTATTGGCCTTGTGACTGGTTTATTAGTTCTTTAAATTTATATATTTCTGTGTATTGCCAAAACCTCCTTGTTTGCGCCCCTCTTTGGCTGTGTACCCGTTACGGTTTACTCCGAATCCTGTGCGTTTCCACGGCTCAGGTTTTTTTAATCTGCAGAACTATCTGTTGAGCAGATTGATTTATTGCTCAGATAAGCGTCCGGCACGCTTCCCATCGCGCAGCTCTGGCCGGCATTCCAAAGTCCACATTCCTGAGCAAAGCAGAGATCAACAGCGGCAAGAGAAAGACTGCAAAAAACTCCAGAGCATTCTTCAGTGTGCTTAAATAAAGTCCACTCAGGATCTTAGCAGCTAAAAGCAGTTTTATTTACAGCAGACTATCCATTATCTATCACAGCAAACAGCATCGTGAAAACATGTCCTCTCTCCTCAAAAGCGAAAGTAGAGAGAAAGAACAAAGGCTTGAGGCTCTCGGAAATGATGAACCTCCCCCCTCCCAACAGTAGGCAGAGCGTACACTCTGAGCTGTTTAACCCTGTAAGCTCAGGTTCTCCTCACACTATCCTGTGGTTTCTTGCAAAATGCTGCGGTTTGACGCATTCCAGCCTGCCACACACCAGCTTCAATCCAACTTGGGTTAGATCTAAACACAGGAAAAACAGAACAGAAGCATAACAACCCCACCCCACCCCACCCCACTAATCACTCCCCCTCCCCGTCTTTCCCCCTCTTTTCATCCTAGTTGTTTAAACCAATTAATGAACCAATAACTTAAAAAACTGACCACTAATAATGAACCATATGTTGTAAATATTACTCCACATTTATTATGCTGTTTTTGTGATATACAAATGACATGAGAAAACTTGGTATACTTATTTGTATAACATTATTCTTGTTTATAAAACCAATAAAATAAAATAAAAATAAACACAGGGAAAACCTCCTATAAATAAGTCAGAAATTAGATTATAACCAAAAAAAACAACACTATGGGAAATCGTGTTTTAAAATTTCCTGCTCTCTGGCGCCATCTGGTGTTGCATGTTTATAGCACATTCAAATCTTTTTTTCTTTACTAACGTAGCTGAGTTCTTGAAAACTGTAGCATCTGACTTGAAAACCTTTGAGGTGTGCACACCAATAAACCAAAGAAACAAACCTGTGCAGATGCACAGCTTTTCAAGTGGAAATCCTGGAGGCATCTTTATTGGGTACAAGTACAATAAACGAAATCTACTGCTCATTCTTAGAAGGGTTGGGCTTCTTTAATAGTTTATTTCCCTACTATGGTAAAAGAGTACTGAAGTCAGGCAATTAACCTTTTACTGTTCTTTTAAAAAAGATTTCCTCTGGTAGAAAATGGAAACTAAAACTGTTTTACATTATTTAGTCCATTTGTGTGTGTGTGTGGTGATTGCAAGCTGGCTTGTGTTCAACTGCAGAAAAGCAGGTTATACTTTCTGGAATAAAGAGAAAACTTTCTTCCATAGGTGTTCAGAGCCCACACTTGAAATATCCCCATATAGAGGATTGTTTTTCATCACAAAACCTCTTGGTGCATGAATGTACACGGAGCAAGCACTGCAACAGGTTATTGTAACAAGGAATGGGAGGTCTGGGAATGCAGCCCACAGCCCCATCCAGCCCAAGGAGTATAAGCTAGAGCAGGGGTAAAGGTAAAGGGACCCCTGACCATTAGGTCCAGTCGTGAACGACTCTGGGGTTGCGGCGCTCATCTCGCTTTACTGGCCAAGGGAGCCGGCGTACAGCTTCCGGGTCATGTGGCCAGCATGACTAAGCCGCTTCTGACGAACCAGAGCAGCACACGGAAACGCCGTTTACCTCCCCGCCAGAGTGGTACCTATTTATCTACTTGCACTTTGACGTGCTTTGGAACTGCTAGGTTGGCAGGAGCAGGGACCGAGCAACGGGAGCTCACCCTGTCGCGGGGATTCGAACCGCCGACCTTCTGATTGGCAAGTCCTAGGCTCTGTGGTTTAACCCACAGCGTAGTCAACCTTTTTATACCTACCGCCCACTAATGCATCTTTCTTGATGTTAAAATTTTCAGTGCACGGTGGAAGGAGGATTCAGCTTGTGCTGTAGAACCCCCTACCGCCCACCTAGAATCCTGAAACGCCCACTAGTGGGCAGTAGGAACCCGGTTGACAACCCCTGAGCTAGAGTAAAGGTACAAAAGGTAAAGGATCCCTGGACGGTTAAGCCAGTCATAGGTGACACTGGGGTTGCGGTGCTCATCCTGCTTTCAGGCTGAGGGAGTCAGCATTTGTCCACAGACAGCTTTCCAGGTCATGCAGCCAGCATGACTAAACTGCTTCTGGCACAACGGGACACCGTGACAGAAATGCCGTTTACCTTCCCGCCTCAGCGGTACCTATTTATCTACTTGCACTGGTGTGCTTTCGAACTGCTAGGTTGGCAGGAGCTGGGACAGAGCAACGGGAGCTCACCCCGTCACGGGGATTCAAACTGCCGACCTTCTGATTGGCAAGCCCAGGAGGCTCAGTGGTTTAGACTACAGTACCACCCGCATCCCCTATAAGCTATGGGGGAAAGGGTCACTGCCCCACCATCAGTCAACTCCAGTTGACTCTGCTTAATGTTGACCCTGGCTCCACCTACTGTTGACCTCCCAGAATGCATGCCCCAAAGGTTAAGGGTGCAGGGAGAATGACACATAGTTGTACCCTATGGCGATCCCTCTGAGCACAGCCACTGTGGCTGTGCAGGAAAAGAGCACTTCCAAATAATTTTAGCAGGTTTTCAAAAACGGCATAGTAACTTGCTTTTTAAAAAAATGCATATCAGAATGATCAGTTTAAATGAGAACATTGTTCTGAAACAAAAGTTTTGCTTGGAAAAAGCCCAGAATTGCTTTCACGCAGCTGAAATATGAACCTTCGGTCTGAGGGCATGAATTGTTGATGAGACCAAATGCTTTTAAAACCTTAATTTTCCAGGGTAAGTCTTGTTTATTGCTTTAAGACAAAGCTATATGGGAGCACGAGGTCATCTAAGGATTTTTTGCAAGGTAAAAATGATGAGCTCCGGATCGGCGTATACTTTGTCATGTCCATTGAAAGTGCACTGCGCAACCTGGGCTTTTGATTCAACCCAAGACTTCGGTTTCTGCTTACAAATGATTTGCCAGTTGCTGTTCTGCTAAAAGGGCTCAAAGGAGACTTAAAACCAAAATCGCAGAATAATAAAACTCAACAGTAAAATGCTATTCGGTTGGGAATTTTAATATTGAAGTTTATTAATATTAAAGAATGGCTGCTAAGAAATAATCCACCACGGATAGCCACAAAATGTCTTCTGGAAGCCAAATGGTCATTGACTGACTGTACAAACTGCTTAAGTAAGTAAACTAGTGCAGGAATGGACAGCAGTTGCGCATCAGTTCTGCATGTACACTAGCGGCCAAAATTGTGGAAACATTTTGGGGAAAGTGTATTTCCGAGGTTTGATGGCTCATAACACCACTTTCTTTTTGGAGTAATATCATAAAATTATTCATCAATGGAAAGATTTTTTGATAATAATTTCTATTGATTTTTCAAAAAAATACACACAATTTGCACATTTAAATTTTAGAATAAAGATTCTACCGAATCTTTGGACCCCCTCCTGCCCTCTGTAGGTCCTTTAAATATCTTATTCAACTGCATATTATAGTTCCTCCAAATTATAATCCTCCAAAGTCTTTGTAACGTTGCAAGAGTTATTCAAAGTTTGCCAAAGAATTGGAAAGATAATTTAATGAAGAATGTAAAAGTTTGTTCAATTCTGTCAAAAGTTATAGTCAAATAACCAGAAAAAGGAAACACAAATTGCTTAGGTTGATATGCAGTAGCTTGGCTTCATTTGAATGTAGCCAATGAGCATGAGTGTTTAGAGAGCCAATCAGGTGTTAAAGGTAAAGGGACCCCTGACCATTAGGTCCAGTCCTGACCGACTGTGGGGTTGTGGTGCTCATCTCGCTTTATTGGCCGAGGGATCCGGCGTACAGGTGAACCAGAGCAGCACACAGAAACGCCGTTTACCTTCCCGCCAGAGCGGTACCTATTTATCTACTTGCACTTTAACGTGCTTTCGAACTGCTAGGTTGGCAGGAGCTGGGACCGAGCAACGGGAGCTCACCCCGTCGCGGGGATTCAAACCACTGACATTCTGATCAGCAAGTCCTAGGCTCTGTGGTTTAACCCACAGCGCCATGAGCCATCAAACCTCGGAAATACACTTTCCCCAAAAGGTTTCCACAATTTTGGCCACTAGTGTAGAAGGTTCCGGGGTGGGGTGAAAATGTTCCCTGTCTGAAACACCGGCGATCTGTTAGCAGTCTTTGTAGACAATACTGAGGTAGCCAGACGAATGGTCTGACTTTGATTCTTTTATTTATTTATTTTTTTGTATGGCTGTGCACTGCCCTGACCTTTTTTCTGGGAGGACGCTACAGAAATATAAGTAAACCACATTGCACCAAGGGCCTGGAAACTGACGGCGCTTGACCAAATCACATCTTCTAGGATCCTGGCCCCATGGGGCAAGTAGAACAGAGCGTGCCTGCATTGGGCAACTCAGCAAATGAGGGAGCTGCAGTGCCGCAATTTGACTAACACTTTAATTTGATTCTGTTGCTATAAAACAGTGTGTTCTGGAGAAGGCAATAAGCTGCCAGATGTCTGGGAGATGGCAAAGAGGATATTTTCCATCCGTGGAAATGGCAGAGAATCTTTGACATCTCGCAAACATGGGTGTTTTGCTTTGTTTGCTATTGTTACCTTGTGTATTTTGCGTTTTTATTTTGTGTTTTTATGCTGGAAGCCCCCTGTGATCCTTTGCATGAAGGGCGGTTTACAAACGTAATACTTAAAAATTTAAAAATGACATGAGGTGGTGCGCTGCCTCATGATATGTTACTTTGTAAACCCCTTAGAAGCCAATCTGGCATATAAGTAGCATATAAATTAATACATAATACAGTGGTACCTCGGGTTAAGTACTTCATTCGTTCTGGAGGTTCTTAACCTGAAACTGTTCTTAACCGGAAGCACCACTTTAGCTAATGGGGCCTTCTGCTGCCGCCGTGCAATTTCTGTTCCCATCCTGAAGCAAAGTTCTTAACCCGAGGTAATATTTCTGGGTTAGCAGAGTCTGTAACCTGAAGCATATGTAACCTGAAGCATATGTAACCCGAGGTACCACTGTATTATTATTATTATTAATAATAATAATAATAGCACCTCAATTTAAAATAGGGATGAGTTAATATTGTCAAGGTCACTTCCACTCTGTTTCTCATTTGATCTGTCTCAGATTAAGTTCTCCACATTTCTGTGTCAATTTGCATTTTTTTAAAAAAAGGTCCTGTCAGGGAACTGCCATCAGTGCCGGAGGGAGAGAGCAAGATCCAGAGGGATTCCAGAGAGCGTCCCGGGATTGGGAGAGGCAGCCCATCTTCTGGGGAAGAGAATCAGCATAGCACCAGTGGAGAAAGGGGGCAGATGGGGGAAGCGGCGAGGCGGTCCCATGACTCCTTGCCTGGGACCAGCGGGGAGAGTAGGGGTCCTCCGCTGCCCACGCCCTCCTTGCGCAGAAGGCTTCCACGCAGAGAGAGTAGGAGGAGACTAGGCGTCAAAGAGCTTCTTTGCTGGAAGAAGTTTAAGAAACGCCCACTGACGGATTCTGCCAGCGATTGAGACAGCCACGGGTGAGTGGCTGTCCGGACAGAAAAGGTTCACTCGGGCAACCCAGCCAGGTGTTTGCACCGGCTTACGCACGAGCAACCCCTAGAACCGTTACAGGTCCTAACAAAAATCCATTAGCATTTTCCCCCCCAATAATTTTTATTAAATTTTCCACAATTGTTACAAATATTGCATCAAACATTGCACAACCGAAGGTCAAAACAAAACAAAAACAAAAGAATACATCAAAGTAAAAAAGATGACAAACAAACAATAAAAACGAACTTATTTGTTTAAAATCCAACCTTATGAACATATTAATTGACTTCCTCTAGTAACTCCCTCCTGAGTTTCCTTGTATCTGAATGTAAGAGCTTTCCAATATCATTATTAAACAACAATATTCCAATTATAATCAAATTTATTCACTTTTCTTAAAATCCATTAGCATTTTTGGGCGAAATTTTCATAATATGCACATTTGTATGCAATATTGTCACACATTTTACACAGCATTTTTGCCTAATATGATACTGAATGCTTTTGTACATTATTTTCACTGGTGTAGGCATTTTTTGTACACCAGTCGGGCACATGCATTTTTGTACAGGTTACTTGGCTCGGGAAGTGCATTGCAAAATTCGCAGCAGTGTGCCTTTTACAGGACGGCTGCGTTTCAGTTTTTGTATCGTTTTGGAAAGGGCAAATCTGGCAAGTTCGCTCTTAAATGAGAACTGAATCGAATTCCTAACCCTTCCCTAATTTAAATTAATCCTTGGGCCCTATTGACTTTGGTGGGCATTGGGGATGTAGCAGATGGGGAATGTAGCAATGACATTCAGTTTGGTTAAAACTTCCTCATTCACCCCTCTCTATCCTCCGTCCAGGGATGCAGGTGGCGCTGTGGGTTAAACCACAGAGCCTAGGACTTGCCGATCAGAAGGCCAGCGGTTCGAATCCCCGCAACGGGGTGAGCTCCCGTTGCTCGGTCCTTGCTCCTGTCAAACTAGCAGTTCGAAAGCACGTCAAAGTGCAAGTAGATAAATAGGTACCGCTCTGGCGGGATGATAAATGGTGTTTCCGTGTGCTGCTCTGGTTCGCCAGAAGCAGCTTAGTCATGCTGGCCACATGACCCGGAAGCTGTACGCCATCTCCCTCAGCCAATAAAGCAAGATGAGTGCCGCAACCCCAGAGTCGGTCACGACTGCACCTAATGGTCAGGGGTCCCTTTGCCTTTACCTATCCTCTGTCCAGATAAGGAAGAGTTGTTATCAGAGTTCAAGAGCACATTCCAGCCAGGGAAAACCACTCCAGGTGCAAAGGAAGACCAGTGCAAAGTGTGACCTGGGGAGAGGGAAGAGCTCCGAGAGCCAAATAGAGAGGTCTGGGGGCCATATTCAGGCCCCCAGGTCCGGGGTCCTCGACCCTGGGCTAAGTGAAACTTATTTTGTAGGTGTGATAATAATTGTATTAAGAGATCCCGTTGTTTGCCTTTGGGTCGTATGTTATCGCCGAAGATGACATGTTCCCGATAGATCTGCCAAGCCAGAACACTTGAACCAAAGGAAAACACTGTATGGCGGCTAGATGGTGTCTTTTGGTCTTCCAGGGAAGTTCTCTGCTGTGTATGCCCAACGTTCTCAAGGTGTATCTGGAAAACGGACAGACGAAAGCTTTCAAGTTTGACTCCAGCACTACTGTCAAGGTACTCTGAGCCGGACCCTAGATTTTACCTGTTATGTTTTGAGTTCTATTATATTGCAGAAAGTGCTGGGGCCTGATGCACAAATGAACATTTGGGTATTGAGAAGTGTCTTGGAAATAGAATATGGAGGTTGCACACACACACACCAGTCTTCAATGGGTGACTTGTGCCACCCCAGTAAAGCGCCGAGGGCCTTCTGGCGGTTCCCTCATTGCTAGAAGTGAGGTTATGGGAAACCAGACAGAGGGCCTTCTCGGTAGTGGCGCCCGCCCTGTGGAACACCCTCCCTTCAGATGTGAAGGAAATAAGCAGCTATCTTATCTTTAAAAGACATCTTAAGGCAGCCCTGTTTAGGGAAGTTTTTAATATTTAATGCTGTATTGTTTTTAACACTTGATTGGGAGCCGCCCAGAGTGGCTGGGGAAATAAATTATTATTATTATTATTATAAAGCACTTCCTACCTGTATCAATGCGGGACGCAGGTGGCGCTGTGGGTTAAACCACAGAGCCTAGGACTTGCCGATCAGAAGGTCGGCGGTTCGAATCCCCGCGACAGGGTGAGCTTCTGTTGCTCGGTCCCTGCTCCTGCCAACCTAGCAGTTCAAAAGCACATCAAAGTGCAAGTAGATAAATAGGTACCACTCCAGCGGGAAGGTAAACGGCATTTCCATGAGCTGCTCTGGTTCGCCAGAAGCGGCTTAGTCATGCTGGCCACATGACCCGGAAGCTGTACGCCAGCTCCCTTGGCCAGTAAAGCGAGATGAGTGCCGCAACCCCAGAGTCGGCCACGGCTGGACCTAATGGTCAGGGGTCCCTTTACCTTTTTACCTGTATCAATAGCCCCATTCAGGCAATTTTGCTCCCTCTCCATGTAACATTGTGCAAAGGGGTAGCAGAGCTGTGCATGCTAGTGCCACCCCACTGTCCTGCCTCCTGCCAGCCCTGCCTTCATGCTATCCATGCACTGGGGAAAGAATTGATGGGGGGAGTCTGCTGAGCACAGGGTCATGTGGGTATCCTACACACATTCAGTGGGCTTCTCTATTCAGACGTTCCCCAATGCATAGATAGAGTGCGGGTGGAGCTGGCAGGAGACCAGGTGATGGGTCTACAGTTGATGTGTAGGTAGAGAAATGCCCAACTAGGGCTTATTTGGTAAGCTTATATAGTTTTTATTTCTTGCTGTTTCTGTAGGATGCTCTGCCTGGTAGATTTTGCTGTGGCCAGATGTGTTTTATCACAAAAATCTATGTCCACCATCCGGTTATGCGTGCTTAAATACCACTGGTTCTTTTTATTTTTATATTTTTTAATTGAATTTGTATGTCGCCTTTCATCTGAACATCACAGGGCAGTTCACAACATACAAATACAAAATGGGAACGCAAAATACAAAAACAAGGCAAGCATCCATAACTCTGTGATGGGTTGTACCCCATGCTAATATCTGTTTTAACCCATATGGGCGTGACTTATTCTCCCCCCCCTCCCCAAATCATTATAAAATCCCAGTGAAACCCATGAGATTTGGGGTGCTTAGTAACCCCTGGAATTAGACAATCCATCGCAATGGGTAAGCTTTTGTATCAAGAAACCTGCTGTGCTCTGAAACATCTCAGATACATTTGAAAGGGTAGTTTGCCAAGGAATTCTCCCCATGGGTCAGCTCTGCCTCTCGCCCATTCTGCTGCCATTAACGGTGCTCCAGATCTGCCACCCAAGATGGACGCTTCACGTTGCCTGACGTGTACTCCCAGCTGCGGGAATATCCACGCGTAGCCCTAGATAATTTACCCAGGGGCATAGATTTGCTGCTTAATTTGTTGCTTTCCCATCAATAATTGGCAGGACATTATTCTCACTTTGAAAGAGAAGCTCTCCATCCGGAGTATTGGTTATTTTGCCTTGGTCTTGGAAGAGCAGTACAATGTGTTGAAGATGTATCTTCTGCATGAGGATGAACTCATCGGACAGGTCAGTTGCAGTACTTTTGGTGCTCCCATCAGCGAAGGGTGGTGGACAAATGGGAAAAGCAACAGGAAGTACATTACAGATTGATAACTTCCTGTTGCAGGGAGTTTGATCTACCCTCAATGCTTTGGCACAATGGCCCCTCTGATTTATTACTCCTAACGAGCTCCTTTACTAATCCAAGCCTTGGGCTCCATTCTGAGGGGAAAGGCAGGGCCCATGTTTAAATGTTAGTGCAATTATTTCAGCTGGATTTTCAAAATACAGTGGTACCTCGGCTTTTGAACATCTCAGAAGTTGAACATTTCAGTTTTTTAATGTCTCGGAAGTCGAAAATTTCGGTTTTCAAATGCCAAAAACCCGGAAGTAACTGCTTCGGTTTTTGAATGCTTTTTGGAAGTTGAATGTGCCACGCGGCTTCCGTATTGAGTCTTCTGGAAGTAAATGCTTCGGTTTTCAAATGTTTCGGAAGTTGAACGGTCTTCCGGAATGGATTACGTTCGAAAACTGAGGTACCACTATACGCAATTGCCTGTGTTGTATTGTGAAATCGCTTTGAGATACTTCATCAGAAGATATAAATAAATGATTGATCGTGCTAGTCCGTCTAGACTAGCAGCTACTAAAAGGGGGGGATGGCTCCTCAGAATGTGTGGGTTGTGGGTGACTGAGAGCAGCTTCATTGGAGCCCTACAAAATGCCAATTCTCACAAGGATCTGTTCCTGCTAGCATTTCAGAATAGTGTTACAACAGCCATGCATTCTGTTTGTCAAAGCAAATCTCTGGCCCCCTTTCTAGGTGTTGCTGGTGGTGGTAGCTCATAAGTCCTGACTTTATCATATGTTTGTTTGTTCTTTGACTAAAACACCATTGGAATGTCCTTTGAGTCATATCAGACTTCAGGTGGACTTCAGGCAAATGGTCCCCCCCCCCAATACACTCCAGATAATCCTGATAAATATACTGTTCTGCAAAATCTATTCCACTTCCACTATAGACAAGGGAGGTGCGAGGAGCTAAACTGGATAGTGAAACTCCACCCACTTAGCCCTAAGATATCATATTCAACAGTTCCCCTGGGGCCAGGTTACCAAATAGGCAGAATAGGCACCTGCCTGTGGGCCCCATTCCTTTTTGGGGCCCCATGAAAACAGATCAAAATAGTATTGATTTGATCTTGAAAGAAAATGACAATCAAGCTTTGTTAAAAGAAGAGAAGAAGAAGAGTTTGGATTTGATATCCCGCTTTATCACTACCCGAAGGAGTCTCAAAGCGGCTAACAATCTCCTTTCCCTTCCTCCCCCACAACAAACACTCTGTGAGGTGAGTGGGGCTGAGACACTTCAGAGAAGTGTGACTGGCCCAAGGTCACCCAGCAGCTGCATGTGGAAGAGCGGGGAATCAAACCCGGTTCCCCAGATTACGAGTCCATTGCTCCTAACCACTACACCACACTGGCTCTCTCAATGTTATTCCACTAGAGCACACACACAAATTAAGAATTGCCCGCACTTTCCCAAGCAACCATCTTTGCAAACCGTAAGAACTTGCTTATTACAAAAATGAGAGTGGACATTTTCAGGAAGCTGGATACCAAGCCAAATCACTGTGTTGTAGCGGTAATTTTCTTTTTTCTTCATTTCAGGTAGTTCAGAGGAAAGAGTCTCATGATTACCGCTGCCTCTTCAGAGTCTGCTTTATACCCAGGGATCCACTGGATCTGTTGCAGCAAGATCCAGTTGCCTTTGAGTATCTCTATTTGCAGGTGATGTGGTAATGCATCATGTGTCAGTCTATAGCCCTGTGTGCCTTGGTTGGGGTTTTTAGCAACACCTAACAGGAACCCAAAAGGTATTTCTCAATATTATACTTTTGCCACAGCTCTGCTGCTGTCACATCCCACTGAAGTGCCTGCATAGATTAGCAACTGTGCATCACATACATAGCTCATAGATCCCACAAAAATTGTGCTTTTCATTTTTTTTTAAATGCATTTTTAAAACAAGATCCAAAACACAATGCACTTGGTAGGATTTTCAAATTTGCAGCTCTTGAGAACTTCAGCATCCATATTCAGATGTGAATCTGACTCAGATAATTTGATCTATGATTTTTTTTTACTTGGATTTTATCAAGGAGAAAAACCCAAAGCATGTATGTTGTAAATCTTCACAAATACAGTAATAGGAATATAAAAGCAAGTACATAGTATTTTGTATTTGTATATTCATTGTGCATGTTTATTCACATTTGTGTTTCATTACATTTTGAGAGTCATTGTTTTGGATTCCAGTGTGCTTGCATATGTATGTATATATTCATGTATGCATATGTAGGAGATGCTATGACTCTGCAGCTTTGGCAAGCCACTGGGAAAAACAAACAATTACTGTTAGAATTGTTGCTAGGTGTCCTCTACCATCATCAGTGGTGGATTGGGGTCATCTTACAGCCTGGATGTAATGGTCTTATGGTAAAGGGGGTCTTTAGATGGTATTATGTATTACTACACAGCGTCTTAAAAAGCAGAGACATCACCTTGCCAACAAAGGTCCATATAGTTAAAGCTATGGTTTTCCCAGTAGTGATGTATGGAAGTGAGAGCTGGACCATAAAGAAGGCTGATCGCCGAAGAATTGATGCTTTTGAATTATGGCGCTGGAGGAGACTCTTGAGAGTCCCATGGACTGCAAGAAGATCAAACCTATCCATTCTTAAGGAAATCAGCCCTGAGTGCTCACTGGAAGGACAGATCCTGAAGCCGAGACTCCAATACTTTGGCCACCTCATGAGAAGAGAAGACTCCCTGGAAAAGACCCTGATGTTGGGAAAGATGGAGGGCACAAGGAGAAGGGGACGACAGAGGACGAGATGGTTGGACAGTGTTCTCCAAGCTACCAGCTTGAGTTTGACCAAACTGCGGGAGGCAGTGGAAGACAGGAGTGCCTGGCGTGCTCTGGTCCATGGGGTCACGAAGAGTCGGACATGACTAAACGACTAAACAACAACAACACTTTAAAATGTTATAAGCCAGATCAGCTGCATTTGGGGGCCCTCCTACTCGTTTTGCTGAGTGGGACCCTAGACTTCTGCCCTAAAGTTCTGCCTTGACAGGACCATTTACCAGGGACACCAACTTCTGGGTTTGCGGAGAGCAGATGGAGTGGTTGCTTGTGGATGGGAATAGCTTGCATGAATGAAATGGTGTCTTTCTCATCTTGCTAACCTGGCTCTGTCATTTTCAGAGCTGCAGTGATGTGCTTCAGGAGAGATTTGCTGTCGAGATGAAGTGCAGCGTTGCTTTACGGCTGGCTGCGCTGCACATCCAAGAGCGGATTATCGCCTGTGCTCAGCCACAGAAAGTCTCTCTGAAATATATAGAGTAAGTCACACTTCTCCGAATGTGGCAATGTACTTCTCTAGCCAAGTAGGTATGTGCAAAACTAGTGTCAAATAGGTGTTGAATTGCATAAAAGCTAGCGGAAATAACATACAAACATGCATTGTATTAGGGGAAAATGCTGAGCAATTTTTTATGAGGGCTTAGAAAACTATCCCAAATTGAATTTAGGATTGGGGAAACTGAGAAACTGAGACAGATTTTCCCATCTCTATGTCTTAGTGCCACAATGGCAACTCCTGGTGTGCTAATTTTCCCCCCATTGCATATGATCCCCTGCAATAATGATGGCACTGGTGGGGGAAAAGGAAAAAGCCAATGCTTCCTTTCACTATGCCATTAGGACACGGGTGGCACTGTGGGTTAAACCACAGAGCCTAGGACTTGCCGATCAGAAGGTCGGCGGTTCGAATCCCCATGATGGGGTGAGCTCCCATTGCTCGGTCCCTGCTCCTGCCAACCTAGCAGTTCGAAAGCACGTCAAAGTGCAAGTAGATAAATAGGTACCGCTCTGGCAGGAAGGTAAACGGTGTTTCCATGCGCTGCTCTGGTTCGCCAGAAGCGGCTTAGCCATGCCGGCCACATGACCCGGAAGCTGTACGCCGGCTCCCTCGGCCAATAAAGCGAGATGAGCGCCGCAACCCCAGAATCGGCCACGACTGGACCTAATGGTCAGGGGTCCCTTTACCTTTACCTTTTAGCACCAGAAAGGCAGAGTCAAGCAGTTTCTGATCACCTCTATCATATGCAGCCAATGACCCCCCTCCCTCTCTGGGATGACTTTCTTTAAACACAAACAGTTCTGTAGGGTTATCCTCTCCGACATTTGCTCTCTGGTTTTGTTGTTGTTGTTGTTGTTTTGTTTTTGAACAGAAAGGACTGGGGAATCGAAAACTTCATTTCCCCAACTCTGCTCCGAAACATGAAAGGCAAAGACATCAAAAAGGCCATTAGCTTTCACATGAAGAGGAATCAACTCTTGCTGGATCCGAGACAAAAGGTAATGCTGCTTTAGCACATCTCAGAAAGATCCCTGACTGCTTTGTTTTACGGAGTTCGCTTGCTGCTGTTGAACAAATCTGTTCTGTGATCTTGATCAGTATTCTAGAGTAGTCTAGGTTCTCCATTCCAGATTTAGTGGACTAAAGTAAAGAACACAATGTGGGAAAGAGTTAGATTGGTTTGGCTGCATGCATGTGATGCAAGCTGAATATTAAACACTCTCCTCTTTTTTTGTATATATATATATGAATTTTCTGTTTTACAGTTTAAAGTACTCATTTTTACATCCTTAACATATCCATGACTTCCCTTCTCTTTCCATGGTTCATTTTACATATCAGAAATCCCTGCATGTTTTACAAAAACCATACCATCCAGTATTCCATTATTGCAGCCATCAAAACTTATTTACACTGTTGAATTTGTCTTAATGCGGCCGGCATTTTCAGCTGTACACAGTTATTTCTCATATATTCAATAAACATAATTCTCTAAACATATGTTCTTCTTGTTCTCTTTTTCTATATGTTAAGTCTGCAAGCTGTGCATATGCTGTCAACTTAAGTTGCCACTCACTTTTTATTTTTGGGACTAACAAAATACAGGCCGCAGTAGTGACATAAATAAGTAACCTTTTTTGACACCTGGGAATTTTCATCTGACTTATCCCCAACAGAAAGGACTCTGGTTTGTGGGGGAAGAAGTACTTTTAAACATTTATTTCAATTCATTATGGATCATTTCCCAATACTCTTACCCTTTTACAAGTCCACCGCATATGAAAGAATGTTCCCAGAATATTAAACTCTTAAGCCTACTAAGTGACTCATACACTAGAGGTTGATCCAAACACCTGGCTAGCAGTGATGGGGCTTGGTAGAGCAATACAGTAGTACCTTGGTTTTTGAACAGCTTAGTTGCCGAACAAATAAGCTCCCTGGTTCTGGTTTTCCGCTTGAGTGCAGGAAGCTCCTGCAGCCAATGGGAAGCTACACCTTGGTTTTTGAACAGTTTCGGGAGTCGAATGGACTCCTGGAATGGATTATGTTCGAGAACCAAGGTACCACTGTATAGTCACCGCCACTTGTACCAGGGTAGAAGGTAGGTCCAAGGACAAATTCCAGCCAGGCAAAAGTACTCAAGGAGCATAGGAAGAGGGGCTGGCAAGGGGTGTGGTTTGGGGAAAGAGGGTATGTCTGGGAAGAGGGTGTGGTCTGGTAAGACTCCCAAAGGTCATATGGAGAGACCTGGAGGTATGCATTAGTTCCCAGGGCTTCCCACCCCTGTCTTAGATTATCGTTTCAGCATTGCGTTGCTATTGCTTACCTTGATTTGTACAATAGCTGGTTTTCTGAACTATTGCTAAGCATTCCTCTCCACCATTGCAGCACCTCCTCTCAGCAGCACATGTGCGTCTGTGTTATCTGCAGATCCTGGGGGATCTGAAACTCTATGGAGGAAAGATCTTCAACGCCACACTAATGGTAAGGTCGTTATCTGTTTAACACAGTGTATCAGCAATCTTTGAAAGACACTTTTGATGTATTTTTTCAGCTCCTTTACTGTAAGAACTCAAGAGCGTGGAAGCAGTCTGGGTCCAGGGTAGGGATGGGCAAATTTGTCAGTTTTGGGTACTCGTCGTTTCTCACTTTTCCAACCTTGATTTCACTTCTCCACATATCCACCTCAGTCTGTGATTTATTTATTTTTAAAAGTCCTTAAGAAAATGCATCAGCATTTTGGAGCAAATTTCACCTAATAAGCAATTTTTGTATGCAATGTCACCTAATATATGTTTCTTTGCAAGCTACTTTCCCTAATATAATGCATTTTAATGCTATTTCCACTAATACACACACACACACACTTCACAGGAGAACTGCAATGGAGGAGTTTGTCAAAATTACTTCCTTATTAAATTTCTATACAGTTGTACCTTGGTTCTCGAACATAATCCGTTCCGGAAGTCTGTTTGACTTCCAAAAACGTTCAGAAACCAAGGCGCGGCTTCCGATTGGCTACAGGAGCTTCCTGCACTCAAGCGGAAGCCGCGTCAGACGTTCGGCTTCCAAAAAACGTTCAAAAACCAGAATACTTACTTCCGAGTTTTCAGTGTTTGGGAGCCAAAACGTACAAGTACCAAGGCGTTCGAGAACCAAGGTACGACTGTACTGCCCTCCAGTCAAAGATCACAGGGCAGTTTACAATATAGAAACACAAAAATAAATGCTCTTGCTAGGAGAATAGTAGAACCAGGTTCCAGAATAGGAAAACGGGTGGCATTCAACATAGCGCTAAATGGAGCATTTGTGCATGGAATAAGGTCTGCTTGTGCAACAAGACTCCCCCCACCCCCGGCCGCCAACTCTCCTTCTAAATCTGTTTTTTTTGGGGGGGGTCCCCCCATTCCTCCAGAGCAGATTTAGGTGGTGCAAGGGGAGAGGGGAAAATGTCTCATTGCATGAGCTAAATTTATTCTGCACATGCAGCAGTTTAGTTGAATCCTGCCCATTATTTATATTATTTTTAGATGATAGCTCGAAAATTATGCTTAAAAGAGTATCTGAACTTTTCAGAAATGTCTGTTTGAGGTCAAAGGGCATTGAAACTAACTTGGTCAATAGCACACTGTTTCTCTTTTCTTTATTTTCTTTTATTTTGCATTTAACATTTGCATTCATATATAGATCATAATCATATACAAGTAGAATCCTCTAAATCCTTGGATTTCCCCTCAACCCTGCGTGGGTTCCAAAATTATTCTTTTCCAGCTGCATTGTGTAATGTTCTCCATATTTCCTTAAAGCTCAATTCTTACCAGAGTGCTTGTTACAAGTGTTGTCAAAATCCTGCCAATCTTTTTAATTGTTTACAGTGTTCTTCTAAGTAACTTTTAAAAAATACCCCGTTCTTTATTAAATTTATTATTTTATTGGTTTCTGATCTTCCCAGTCATTTTTGCCATTTTGGCATAGTCCATCATCTTTAATAACCATTCTTCTCTGGGAATGAGCCCACTGTTTCTCAATCAGTGTAGAGACTGAGTCACCCATTTCCATTCCTTGATTTGCAGTTGAGTGTGTTTACATTCTTCTTTGTAAAATATTGAGGGCGGTGGTAGAAAGTTTTGTCTGTGGTCTTTGACGCATGAGGGCTCATTCCCACATGCAAGTCCTCATTGACCATGAACACGCATGCATGGGATCTTACCATGGGTAAGAAGTTGTCCGCTGGAGTGTAAGCAAACTTTCCCTCCATGTAGTTGCAGGACAGAGAATCATGTGTGGCCCTCCTGGTGGGAGCCAAATATGGAATCAGCCAAGTGGTTAATAACAAACTGAACATAGTCACCATGCTGGCAGAATTTGCGAACATCAGCAGACTGGAGCTGACCGAAGAATCCGACAAAGTGAGCATGGTGAAAATCTACCTCCAAGATATCAAGGTAACTATGACTTTGACTTAAAGGTAAAGGTACCCCTGACCATTAGGTCCAGTCGTGGCCAACTCTGGGGTTGCGGCGCTCATCTCGCTTTACTGGCCAAGGGAGCTGGCGTACAGCTTCCGGGTCATGTGGCCAGCATGACTAAGCCGCTTCTGGCAAACCAGAGCAGCGCACGGAAACGCTGTTTACCTTCCTGCCAGAGCGGTACCTATTTATCTACTTGCACTTTGACGTGCTTTCGAGCTGCTAGGTTGGCAGGAGCAGGGACCGAGCAATGGGAGCTCACCCCATCGCGGGGATTCGAACCGCCAACCTTCTGATCGGCAAGCCCTAGGTTCTGTGGTTTAGAGCACAATGCCACCCGCATACTTACTTATTTTTATTTATTAAATGTGTATTCCACCCTATACCCACAGATCCCAGGGCAGTTCACAACACAGAATCACAATATTAAAAAAAACAGAAAATACATAATAAAAACAAACACATATCCGCAACACATTTTTAAAGGGCATCGGATGTCTGACAAAAGTTCTGGTTGAAGAGGAACGTTTTTGCCTGGCGCTTAAAGGTGTATAATGAAGGCGCCAGGTGAACTTCCCTGGGGAGAGCATTCCACAGATGGGGAGCCACGGCAGAGAAGGCCCTCCTTGTGTTGCCTCCCTCCAGACCTCTCAAGGAGGAGGCACATGAAGGAGGGCCTCAGAAGATGATATCAGAGTCTGGGTAGGTTAATATGGAAAGAGGCGGTCCTTGAGGTATTGTGGTCCTGAGCCATAACTTTAAGAATTCTTTGGACTATGGGTGGAAGGGAGATCTATTTTACGTCACGTTTCAAAATCCACCATTCTGTGCTTTACTAAGAAAGAGGAAATGGACCCCCCCACCCAATGCAGACTGAAGGTGTAAATAGGTGAATGGACTGTATTTCTTAAAGCTACAATGATCTCTGTCGTGTCTCGATCTTCCAAAGGGACGCAGTCCTGGGTGAGTGCCTGGAACCCCTTGGACTCTTGCCACCGCTTGACAGAGAGAGGGGAAGGCACCCAACTTTTGTAACACCATGTTTGAAGCACATTCTTTCCCTCAAAGAATTCTGGGCTCTGTAGTTTCTCCTTCGCAGAGATAACAATTCCCAGTGTAGCCTTATTAGACTATACCGATTGGCGGGGTCTGCGTTGGAGGGAGAAAGGAAGTCAAATGACACCGAGGTTGATTCAGAGAAAGAGTTTATTCTGCTCTCCGGATAGCAGAAGGCACTTGCATGGTCAGTTCACAGCAAGTCCAAAGAAATGAGAGATTTCATGCAGTATATATATCCTCCAGGCACTCTCTCCCCCTTCCCCAGGAATCCAACCACGTCAGCTTATACACGTAAGTTGACATCCATGACCATAAACAGATATTCCTGTTCCAGTACTCTTGACCATAAAGGTTGTTCCTGTTCCTATGCTCTTATCTTGGGGCAGGAGGTCACCAACTCTAAGAGCACTCCTGGCGCCATTCCCGGGTCTCTTGTCAGACCTGACAAGGTCTGTGTGTCTTTGTGGTCAGGATGTAAGATAAGACCCAGACGTGCCATCCCTGCTCCACTCGGAACTGGCAAGGCCATACATTGCCGTCACGGACTGTTAAAGGAGAGGGCTTTGAGCACTTGTTTATACAGCTGGCTTTCTGTTTATACATTGACTCAAGAGCTCAAGTTAATGCATTTTAGAAATGCTCCCTTGGAGGAGGAAAAATGAGGATTTTAGGTCCCGTTTCAGACTGACTGCACAGAAACCCATTTCTTCAGCAGCAACCCTCAACAAACTCCAGTAATGTGCTTCAAATGTGTTTTCAGGGTATATTTTGTTCACAGTATGAACAAACCAGAAGCTGGAACCAGATTGAGGGCACCTTCTCCTTTTGTTTTGCAAACCATAATAAATGCCCGTTGCATTTCTTCCTCCTTGGGCCACACGTGTGAGTGTACATAGACAACGTGTGTGGACACACTCACCACGCATGGAGTCGTAACATGTACACGAGCATTTCATGCGTGGAAAAGGTGGCACAGGCAAAGAAGGTTTCTTAGTGTGGGTGAGGGTTTGTGCAGATGCCTTCAGCTCTCTTTTTCTTCCCCTCCTTCAAGCTGCTGACTCTGCTGCTGGAAACGAACAACGCCAAAGACCTGGCTTGTCTCATCCATGGCTACTGCAGGCTGTTTGTCGATTCGAGCAGTTCCATATTCGTCTGGGGGGAGAAAAAGCCTCCGGTGCATCGTATCTCCGCCGAGGAAGGTAAAAACAACCCGAGAGCAGTGACCAAACAGTTAGGAAGACTCTTACAGTCCCGAGAACCGAGGTACCGTATTGGCCTGAATATAAGCCTCACTTTCCCCCCAAATTCCGACCATGAAAAGTTGAAGTGCGGCTTATATTCACGACCTCACGGTATGCAGCCAGGAGCAGGGCAAAGCAGCACCCACCCCATCATAGCTGTCACCCGTCCCTTATTTGGTGGGAAAGTCCCTTATCCCAGCGCTGTGTCCCACTGCTGTCCCTTATTGATGATGTCCCGTAAATTTCCCGGGTTTCAAAGGAAGCAGCTCCTCTCCCTCCCTCCCTGCCGGCCAGGGAGGAGGGAGGCTCCAACTGTGTTGCTTGGCTGCGTTGCTCACCCAATAAGGAGTCTAAGAACGATGGGGGGTGGAGCTTGCATGCCTTGTGCCGATCAAATCGGCCGCGTTGCGTGGGGACTCGGCTTTGCTTAGCACTTCCCAGCGGAGAGGTGACGGTGGTTTTCCTTGCTGCATCCCCTTTGCTGGGTTGCTGCGCTGTGGGAACCACCACCTGAGGCTTCGTTTGGCTGCTGGCTGGGCTTTCTGCCTTTGGCTCGGAGGTGCTCAGAAGTTGAACATACCTGTGCCCAAAAACCCCCTTATTTTGGCTGCTGATCCCTTATTTTCGAGGCTGCTGGTCCCTTATTTTCAAATCTGTAAGTTGACAGCTAAATCTGTAAGTTGACAGCTATGCACCCCATGCGTAGTCCTGTCCTCTCCCCCAAGGCTGGGAAGGGAGAGCGCGAAGAAGGGGGAAGGCCACCAGCAACGCAGCTCCCCCCCCCCAAAGTATGCAGCCAGGAGCAGCAAGGAATGGAGTGGCTTATATTCGGGTATTTTTTCTTTTTTTTCTTTTCCCCCCTCCAATTTTAAAGATGCTGATTATATTCAGGCCGATACGGTATTTGTGTTCTGTGTTATAAATCAAGCACTGCTAGGAGTTTCTTCTTTTCATTTTCCAATGTATTTCTTATCAATTAAAAAATCGGTGTGACACAAGTAGGTTTTTATTCTGAATATGTAGCCCAGAGGAAAAAAGTCTTGAGAACCACTGCTCTAGGCAGTAATGCAGACCTGAACAACTCTAGACGAGCCATATTTCCCTTTAAAAAATAATAAATACATTTTATACATTTTTTTTTTAATTTTGACAATGGAATACAGCGGTATAAATCCATTCCGGGAGTCCATTCCAAAACCAAAACGTTCCAGAACTATGGCGCGTTTTCCCATAGAAAGAAATGCAAAATGGATTAATCCGTTCCAGACTTTTAAAAACAACCCCTAAAACAGCAATTTAACATGGATTTTACTATCTAACGAGACCATTGATCCATAATATGAAAGCAATAATCAATGTACTGTGCAATAAAATAAATAAGACAGTATTGTAGATGATCAAAGTTAAATTTTTTTTTTTCCTTACCTGCACTGATGATAGTCATTGTTTGGACTTTTGTTGGGCTTTTATCCATTTCCACAGTCACACAATCAACCAGTAGCTGAATTGGGTTCCACACAGTGACAAAAACAAATTAACCAAAAAAGCCACAAAAACAAAAACACAAAATAAATAGAAAAAACAAAAGCGCCAAACTTAATCCGTTCCATGGTCTGTTTGACTTCCGAAATGTTCGAAAACCAAGGCGCAGCTTCTGATTGGTGCAGGCGCCCTGGAAACAATAGCTGACAGCTTCATGGAGGGTGAAGGGATGTTTGGCTTCCGCAAAATGTTTGAAAACCGGAACACTTACTTTTGGGGTTTTGGCGTTTGGGAACCAAGGCGTTTGAGAACCAAGGTACCCCTGTAATCATAAATGAATAAGAATAAAAATGTGCACCCCACCACCGAGACCATTCCATTGTAACTATCCAACCTCCCAAAATTTCAACACCTCTTGCGATGCTTTGACCCCTTTCCGACAAGCCCTTATTTCCATCTCTTGCTCGGCAGGGTATGAGTCAAGGACCTGCAGTGATTCCGAAGAGTCGTCTGAGCCGGATTCCTCCTTGGACCGTTTTTCAGACACGCAGTCGCCCCGGCACAACTGCACCAGCCCCCTGCCTGAGGATGAAGAAGAGCAGGAGGCGCTGCAGCAAGAAAGGAAGGATGTGGAGAGCGAAGGGACGAGCTTCTGCAACGGGTACGACAACACAAACGACAGCTTGTCGGAAGCCTCTGACTCGGCCAACACGGAGAGTCGGGGGCTGAAGACCAGCGGTTCGAGCGACTCTCTGGATGCCCTCGAGGAGGACGATTTGGAAACGTGTTCCTCGAGCAAGCCAGAGTTTTTCCACCTGTATGCCCCCACCCTTCAGGAACTGATGGGCAACGGCAAGGCCTTCTTGGGTACAGACAGAGAAGAGGGAAACCGAGTGGCGCAGGAGTCTGTGTTCTCCTTCCTCCTGCCACCCCAGCCGCTTGCGCAGCCGGACGGAGACTTCCGAAGGGAAACTGAGCTGGCCACTTCTGCTCTGGAGTCCAAGCTGTCGGAGAGCAACATCATGGAGTACTACAGCCTTTGTGCCAACATTTCCCCGGCCAGCAGCGGAGAGAAGACCGCCCAGAGCGACAGCCCAGAGGGTGGCTCTTTGAACGGCCCCGAGGGAGACGAGGGGCTCTGCGGAGGTGGCATGCGGGGCTTTATCTTGGCTCCGCCCCCCGGCTTCGGAGATGCCAGCTCAGACGAGGAATTCTATGACGCGGCCCAAAGGGTGACACAGGCAGAGGCGCAAGCAGGTGAGGCCAAAGGGATTCCCCGGGGTGGGGGTCATGATCAGTCGATGGATTGATTGACAGATTGCACTGAACTGTCGCTTTACTTTTACAAACAGAGCCTAGGACTTGCCGATCAGAAGGTCGGCAGTTCGAATCCCCGCGACGGGGTGAGCTCCCGTTGGTCAGTCCCAGTTCCTGCCAACCTAGCAGTTCGAAAGCACGTCAAAGTGCAAGTAGATAAATAGGTACCACTGTGGCGGGAAGGTAAACGGCATTTCCGTGCGCTGCTTTGGTTCGCCAGAAGCGGCTTCGTCATGCTGGCCACATGACCCGGAAGCTGTACACTGGCTCCCTCGGCCAATAAAGCGAGATGAGCGCCGCAACCCCAGAATCGGTCACGACTGGACCTAATGGTCAGGGGTCCCTTTACCTTTACCTTTAACCTTGCAAAATGGTACGAAGATTAAAAGCAGGATAAAAGCAAGAGAGAATACAGTGGACACTCGGGTTGCAAACAGGATCCGTGCAGGACGCACGTTCACAACCCGCAGTACCGCGTCTGCGCACGTGCGGGTCACGATTCGGCACTTCTGCACATGCGCAAAGTGCAATTTAGCACTTCTGTGCATGCACGAGCGCCGAAACCCGAAAGTAACCTGTTCCGGTACTTCCGGGTTCGGTGCAGTGGGCAACCCGAAATCGCGCAACCCGAAGCGTCTGTAACCCGAGGTATGACAGTAAAGTCTTTAATACACAGTGCCTTGCGCTAAATGTGAAGAGGACACAGGGAAACGGAAGAAAGGGAGGAAGGAACAGTGGTATTTTGTTCCTGTTATTTTTTTTTTTTTTTTTTTTTTTTAAATAAATTTTTATTAATTTTCCAAACATAAGATAAGAAAGCAAACAATACACAAAACACCGACATACAAACATATAAACATGTATAATTTCATAGCCATTTTTCATAAACCTTACTTTCCGGACTTCCCCATACCTCCCTTTTCTGCATCCTTGTTTTATATTTCTTCAGCAACTCCTCAATCAACTAATTATTCAATTCAATTTCTTTTAAGTTCTTCTAATATTATTAATTACAGCTGCAGTTCTCTGTTTCCCAACCCCTTGACATTTTAACATTCCTAAATTTTGCAACAAGTTCTAAGATAAACTTTAAATTTCTTCCAATCTTCTTCCACTGTCTCTTTCCCCTGGTCACGGATTCTGCCAGTCAATTCGGCCAGTCCCATATAGTCGATCACCTTCGTCTGCCATTCTTCCAGTGTGGGTAGTTGTTGTGTCTTCCAATACTTTGCTAGAAGAATCCTTGCTGCTGTTGTCGCATACATAAACAACGTCCTGTCCTTCCTTCTCACCAATTGGCCGACAATGCCCAAGAGAAAAGCCTCTGGTTTTTTAGGGAAGGTCCATTTAAGAACCTTCTTAATTTCATTATAGATCATTTCCCAAAAAGCTTTTATCCTCGGGCAGGTCCACCAAAGGTGATAAAAAGTACCTTCAGTCTCATTACATTTCCAACATTTGTTATTGGGCAGATGATAAATTTTTGCAAGCTTGACTGGGGTCATGTACCACCTATACATCATTTTCATAATGTTTTCTCTTAGGGCATTACATGCCGTAAATTTAATACCGGTGGTCCACAACTGTTCCCAGTCAGCAAACATAATGTTATGACCGATATCTTGTGCCCATTTTATCATAGCTGATTTCACCGTTTCATCCTGTGTGTTCCATTTCAACAGCAGATTATACATTCTCGACAGATTCTTAGTATTGGATTCTAACAGTTCTGTTTCCAATTTTGACCTCTCCATCTGGAAACCTATTTTCCTGTCCTGTTTAAATGTCTCGTTTATCTGAAGGTAGTGCAACCAATCTCGCACTTTGGACTTTAATTTCTCATAGCTCTGTAATTTAACTTTTTCCCCATCTTGTTCTAGAATTTCACAATATTTTGGCCATTTAGACTCCATATTAAGTTTTTTCACCTCTTTAGCTTCCATTGGTGACAACCACCTGGGAGTTTTACTTTCCAATAGATCTTTATACCGCATCCAAACATTGTATAATGCTTTCCTAACAATATGGTTTTTGAAACCTTTATGCTGTTTTACCTTATCATACCATATATATGCATGCCAACCAAATCTATTATCAAACCCTTCTAGATCCAAAATATCTGTATTCTCAAGAAGTAGCCACTGTTTCAACCAGCAGAAAGCCGCCGATTCATAGTAGAGTCTTAAGTCCGGCAGGGCAAACCCCCCTCTATCTTTAGCATCAGTTAGATTCTTAAATTTTATTCTGGGCTTTTTGCCCTGCCAGACAAATTTAGATATATCTTTCTGCCACTTCTTGAAACAGTCCATCTTGTCCAAAATCTGCAATGTCTGGAATAAAAACAACATTCTAGGCAATACATTCATCTTGATAACAGCAATTCGGCCTAACAAAGAAAGTTTCAACCTTGACCATATTTCTAGATCCTTCTTTACCTCTGTCCAACATTTATCATAATTGTCCTTAAATAAATTCACATTCTTAGATGTTAAGTTTTCCCCCTGGTACTTTACTTTTTCGTTATCACTAGTCCTGTTTCATTCTGAAACTTCTCTTTTCGGCCAATGTTAAATTTTTATCCAACACTTTCGTTTTCTGTTTGTTCAGTTTAAATCCTGCTACTTGACCAAATATCTCAATTAGTTCTAATACTCTTTTAGTACTAGTATCTGGCTGTTGCAAGGTCAATACTAGGTCATCTGCAAATGCCCTTAACTTGTACTGTTTGGCTCCGACTTGTACTCCTTTAACCAACTGGTCTCCTCTAATCATATTTAACAAAACCTCCAGGACTAATATAAACAATAGAGGGGATATTGGGCACCCCTGTCGTGTACCTTTTTCTATAGGTATTTCTTCCGTTACCACATTGTTTACAATTAACTTTGCTTTTTGTTTAGAGTATATTGCACCTATACCATTTTCAAACCCTTGACCTACCCCCATCCCTTGGAGATTCTTCTTCATAAAACTCCAACCAATATTGTCAAAGGCTTTCTCCGCGTCCACAAAAATTAAAACAGCCTTCCTATTAATGTCCACTTCTAACAGTTCCAAAATGTCTATAATGTTCCTCACATTGTCCGACATATATCTCCCTGGAAGAAAGCCAGTTTGGTCTTTATGAATCTCCCCTACCAACACTCTCTTCAGTCTTTTTGCCATAATGTCCGCAAAAATTTTGTAATCCACATTAAGTAATGATATAGGGCGGTAGTTTTTAACCTGGTTCTTTTCAGTCTCAGTTTTCGGTATAAGTGAGATAAAAGCTTCTTTCCACGACTCTGGTGCCTTTTCCCCTCCAAAATTTCGTTACATACTTCCTTCAGTGGTTGTACTAACCATTCCTTCAACACTTTATAATATCTGGCGGTCAAACCATCTGGTCCTGGAGCTTTTCCCAATTGCATCTTCTGAATGGCACCCTCTATTTCTTGTCCTGTTATTTTCTCATTCAAAATCCTTCTACTTTGCTCTGAAATTTTTGGTAATCCATGTTTCTTAACAAATTCTTCTATTTCCTGTTCATTAACTGGCCCTTGTGCATATAATTTCCTGAAATAACCTTGAAAACAATTACTTATCTCATTTGGTTTGTGGATAATCTTTCCGTCCACTTCTAAACTTGTCACAGTGTTCAATTTTTGCCTCTTTTTCAATTGCCATGACAGAAATTTCCCACATTTATCTGCTGATTCAAATGTCTTTTGTCTCATTTGCTTTATTTTCCATTCTATCTCTTGATTCATCAATTCCATATATTGCACCTGATAGTACTTTATTTCTTTCAGAATCTCATGAGACTTTGGTTTAGACCTCAATTTCTTTTCACCTTCTTTTATTTTTTCCAGAATTTTTCCTTTCCTTTCATTTTGATTTTTCCTTTTTATGGAGTTCTGTTGTATTAGGAAACCTCGCATCACGGCCTTACTTGCGTCCCAAATTATTCTTTTTTCCACTTCTGTTCTCAAATTTATCTCAAAATAATCTTTCACTGTTTTTTTTGGGGCTTCTTATAAATCTCTTCATCTCTGAATAGGGTGTCATTCATTCTCCATCTGAAGGATCCAGTTGTTGTTAGTTTCATCTCCATCTTTACAGCATTATGGTCGGAGCAAGTCTTTGAGCAGATTTCTACCTTTTTAATCCTTGGCGCCATACTGCTAGTTACCCAAATTTGGTCAATTCTTGTCCATGTCATTTTTGCTTCAGAGAAAAAGTTCCCTCTCTCTCAAGAGGGTTCCTTGTTCTCCAAATGTCAATCAAGTCCATAGTTTCAGTCATTTCAAAAAAGTCTTTGGTAGTCTCCCTTCCTTGGAAATTACTTGTCTCTGTGCTTTGTCCATATTTGTGGAAACTACGCCATTCATGTCTCCCATCATTATAATTCTGTAGTCTAAATAGTCCATTAAAGTCTCATGCAACTTCTTAAAGAATTCCGCCTTCCCATCATTTGGTGCATAGATTCCAACTATCAAAATTTTTTCTCCTTGAACTTGTATTTCAATTGCCAGGTATCTTCCTTGTTCATCTTTAAATATCATCTTTGGAGCCAATTTTTCTTTTGCATAGATCACCACGCCTCTTTTCTTAACTTTATCTGATGAAATAAAGTTAAGAAAAGAGGCGTGGTGATCTATGCAAAAGAAAAATTGGCTCCAAAGATGATATTTAAAGATGAACAAGGAAGATACCTGGCAATTGAAATACAAGTTCAAGGAGAAAAAATTTTGATAGTTTTTTTATTTTTTTTAACACCTTTATTGAAAGTTCAAAAATGCATAATTTTATATGCACTCAACATTGTGAAACATAAATGAAAGAAAGAGAAAGAGAAACAGAACCCGTGTAGAAGGGAAAATAAAGGGGGAGAGGGGAAATCTTGATCCTGATGAATTGGGAAAAATAAAAATGTGGCTCCCTTCTACGATAGAATTGAAGATTTATACAAACCCGCAACATATGAACAACTTGCATATAAATGCAGACTTACCATGGAGAAATTCAATGATATTTGGAATCCATTCTTACAAATACTGTAATAGGTTAAGATCTGGTAAAGTACAGTAACAACCTTGTAAAGTATACAGTTTTGGGTTTCTGTTATTATGTTGAGGAGGAAACCTCAATTAAGAGTTTGATGATGATGATGATGATGATGATGATGAAACAGAATAAAACCCCCCAAACGCATCCATATATTAAAAATGCAGGCCTAATGCATCTCACCTGTGGAAAGAGGCCACAAATTAACAACCGAAAACCTGGGTAACGAAAAATGTTGTTGCAAGCTCCTGAAAATAGATAGCGATGGCGCCTGGCCTAGCTCCCTGGAGAGAATATTCTGTGAATGTACTGATTGTGAAGATAACACAAGAACGGCTTTAAGTGAGGTGCCGCAGAGACAGGGAAATGGGGGGTGGACTTTCAGCCCAATTCAATAGTTCTTTTGTTTTGACTTTTAGTCTGAGGACTAGAGCCCAGCAAGGATAGTAAGGTAAAAGTAAATGGACCCCTGACCATTAGGTCCAGTCATGACCGACTCTGGGGTTGTGGCGCTTATCTCGCTTTACTGGCCGAGGGAGCTGGCGTACAGCTTCCGGGTCATGTGGCCAGCATGACTAAGCCACTTCTGGTGAACCAGAGCAGCGCACGGAAATGCCGTTTACCTTCCCGCCGGAGCGGTACCTATTTATCCACTTGCACTTTGACGTGCTTTCGAACTGCTAGGTTGGCAGGAGCAGGGACTGAGCAATGGGAGCTCACCCCGTCATGGGGATTCGAACCGCCGACCTTCTGATCAGCAAGTCCTAGGCTCTGTGGTTTAACCCACAGCGCCACCCGCGTCCCTTCAAGGATAGTAGTGGATAGTAGCGGGTTGCAAATAATAATTTTTAACATAAATGCTGTGCTTTCACATTTGTGAAGTGTTTCAGGCAAGTATTTATGTATGCATGCATGTACAGTGGTACCTCGGGTTAAGAACTTAATTCGTTCTGCAGGTCTGTTCTTAACCTGAAACTGTTCTTAACCTGAAGCACCACTTTAGCTAATGGGGCCTGCCGCCGCGCCGCCGGAGCACAATTTCTGTTCTCATCCTGAAGCAAAGTTCTTAACCCGAGGTACTATTTCTGGCTTAGCGGAGTCTGTAACCTGAAGCACCTGTAACCTGAAGTGTCTGTAACCCGAGGTACCACTGTATATCGCTTAATGCCAAAGTAGACATCTAAGCAGTTTACAAAGCCTTAAAAACTGGTAGTGCAAACACTGAGGTATCAATAGCCACTGGTTTTAAACGAACAGATCATTTATCCTCATAATATTTTTTTTAAATAACATTTCTTTCTTCACACTGATAGTCTCTTCCTTATTTTTAGGTTCTGCAGGCCCAGCCCAGCCAAATGTACAAGACTGCAGCACCCTGAAAGTGTCTTCCAGCTGCAGCTCGGGTGAAAATGTTCTGTCAAGGCAAAGCAGGAGGACAAAACACAGGCCAGAAAAGGAGCCAAGGTGTGGCAACAGCAGCCTGAGGAAGAGGAGGTCTTTCCTGGAGACGAATTACACCTCCCAAGTTACTTTCCCTCAAGCTCCAACTCAGTCCCTGGAAAACATTGATCAGTTGTCCTGTGAAGGAGAACCTGGGTCTTCGGGTCTTTCCTCCTCACCCGTTGTGGCCTCCTTGAGGGACCCTGAGAGAGATTCTGCTCTCCTTGAGGTCGAACAAATAGCTCAGATAGCCAAAAATACACCTGTCTTAATGGAGATGGAGCCCGATTCACTAGAAACCAAGTCATTAACCGATTCAGTTGTGTGTCCTGTCTTGGCCATTCGTCTTCAGGGTGCTCAGGAAGGGATAGAGAATTCAGACTTTGCCCGTAGCTCTTTCTCCACAGTGAAGCAAGACGGTGGTTTAGCTGTGTCAGAAATCTCCTTTCATGACCTTGACACCACTTACAAAGAAAAACCAGAAGGTCTTCCAGAAACAGCTAGCCGAGTTCAGGACCATTGTGTCTCTGGAGGAAAGAAAATATCTGGCAGTGCAGCAGGGACAGCAAAAGTCTCACGTGAAGCAGGAGGAGTCAGCTATGTATTGATTGAGGAGATAATACACACCACTACCAAACCCTCCGGGTCTCTGAACAGCTACCAAGGGAAAGTGTCGCCTCGCGTGCCAACCTCGGAACAGGATCTCCTTCCTGCTGAGAAGGTGGAGAAATACGAGCAGCTTGTGCTAGGTCCCTGCAAAAGAATCAAAGGTGACCTGGCCTCACGTGGCTCAAGCCAGGCACCTCCCGGAAACTTACTGCTCCAAGAAGACACCAGCAAAACGCTGAGTGAAGGCTCTGTAGCAACATCTGAAGATGCCAAACGGCTGGGTTTCTCCAAAGCAAATGAGCTCCTTTCCAAGTGTGATGGTGCTTCAGGGATCAAGACACACCACTCTCAGCTTGGCTTTAGTTCAGTGGGAGGTCAAAGAGAAACACAGCAGAAGGTAGATGACAAGCACCAGAGAATTGTTGGCCAAAGTGACCTGGTTGCAGATCAGGTCTCTTTAAACGATGATGTCCCAAGTCAATGGTCGTCGTCAACCATGACTCCTCCTCTGGATAGGTCTTCATTGCTTGCTGGTGACCAGAAGCCAGAGGAGAGAGCGCTCACAAATGATGCCTCCCATGTGGATTGTAAAAATAAACTTCCCAGTCCCCTAGTTGTCCCTACAGAGAAGAGTGTGGAGCAGGGAAAAGCTGGCATTTCAGATGGAGTGGATGGCTTTTCGCATGACAATCCGTGTAAGTCTACAAGGCTCAGTGAGGAAAGCGGTATTTCAGAGTTGTCTTTTTTGTGTTCTGGTAACTCAAGAGATGATGCTAAAGGACCAGTGAGCTCTAAGACCACAGTGTCTCCACCTGCAGTGAACACTGCAGAGTCATTCTCGCCAAAACATAAAACAGACAGGTGCAGTTGCCGGTTGACGTATGCAAGTTGTTTCCATGGGCTAGACGAGGCAGAATTAGAATTTGCCAGTCCAGTTGCACGTGGTCCTTCTGAGGAGCCGTTAACAACCCCACCAACAACAAGAAGTTCTCCGTCTTTAGATATTAACTCCACGAGATTTATTCTAGAGCATAACTACGTGAATGGTAACCCCAAAGACTGTAGAAATCACGCCTTGCTTCCAGACTCTCATATTCAAGTGCTGAGCTGTTTAAAGGATAGAACGTGTGCCTCACCTTTTGACTTCCACCAGTTGCTAGGTAATATTATAGACCTACAGGGAATTTTGCGGCAGTTTGGGGGAAGCAGAATAAAGCACCCTCGGGATAAATGTTTGGCCCATTTTTCAGAAAACAAGAACACCTTGCACACAGAATCACAAAGGCTGATGTCCAGTTGCCAGAAAGTTATCAAAGCACATGGGCCTTCCTCGGAGACGCAAAACGCCATTCGGGAGACCTTCCAGAACCTTCTCCAGCTGACCGAAGTGTGCTTTCAGTTCACAAACTGTGGCCTTTGCAGCAAGAGGCACAAAGACCTCGCGGTCAACCTGAGAGATGTCGCGTACAGCTATCGCCAGTTTGTCCAAGCGGCACAGCAAGCCTGGGAGAGGGGCTATCCCCAATTGAGCATAAGACTCCTTGTGTGCCAGTACACTGCCCTCAGTGCAGCTCTCTTCTGCCTCGTGCAACGATTCAGGGCCTCGTCTTGTGTATGAGATGGGAGGATTTTGCACAGGTGCCTGTCCGACTTTCAATGGGGAACGACCTAGCCAAGTGTCTGTCCTTAAAAGCCCACCTCCCAGTCAACACAAGCTGATATGTAACAGCTGGACTGAAGCAAGCAATTGAACAGTCCCCCTCTCTAATGGATATCAGTGCTCAGTGCTTAAATGAGTTGAACTTGACAGGATTGCTCAGCCTTCATGCAGAATAGTATTTTGGTGCATGTCCAACTTGCTCCCCCCCCCCCCCAGTGTGCCACAGGTAAAGAACACAAGAGATTCGTCTCTATTGCGTGACTCAGGTTGTAAACAACTGCAGTTATATGCATGCAGTCTCCAGTGTCAATTTGCCGCTAACCCATAATAGCTGAGAGAGAGTGCTGTCTGTCACCCGGACTGAAGTACTGAGAACATTCTAAAGTTATAGTTTGGGTGTGCCAACCTGCACAGATATCAGCCAAGGTTGAGGGAAGCGCATCAGACGATTCAGTGCGCTTGGGTGAAAATCAGGGCTCCTCATGCTTAAGCAATGCAGACTGGGATGGATTTTCAAACAAAACAACACAGAGAGCAGATAATTATCTAATGCAAGTGGCTCCAGTGTAGGGGACAGAGTGCCTCATTGTACCTATTGGACTCCCATCGCCCAGGGGTGCCATCTTGGGCAGCTAGGCCCGCCCCAAAAAAGTTCAATATTCCACAGCCTGTGGCAGGCCCCAGTGGGCCTTCCCACAGGTGTGGCGGTGTCGGGAGATGCTGTGCGGTTTGGTGCGACCTCACGCCAAGCGCACTGGTCCCCGGGGCATCTCCCGGTGCTGTGTGGCCCAGCAGGAGGCTGCAGCAGTGTGCACAGTGTTGGGAAATGCCGTGGGGACCAGTGTGCAGGCGTGAGGTCATACCGAACTGCGCAGGAGCTCCCGACAGTGCGAAGGTCAGTGCAGTCTTCTGCTAGACCAGGGGTGGCCAACTCACAAGACACTGTGATCTACTCACAGAATTAAAAACTGGCAGTAATCTACCCCCTTTCTGGGGGTTCGGGTCAAAGTAGTTGAGCTTGTTTTAGGCAGGAAAGCCCTGATTTTTGAGGATTCACGCCTAAGCTCAAGGGAGAAAGGGGATCAGCCACTCATCAACAGATCGCTGGGGAAACAAACAGTAAACTCTGTCTTCCGTTCTGCAGATCGTGCAACAATGGAGGGCAGGGTGAGGGGGCGGGGCTGGATTCTCTTTTATCAACACTAAGGAAAGGGACCAAGCGATCGACCGCGATCTACCAAAACCTCCCAGGGATCTACCAGTAGATCGCGATCGACCTGTCGCACCGGCCTCACAAGACACACATGATGCACGCCAGGCCCTCTCAGTCTTTGAAGCAACCCAGCACCTGTGCCAATGCTCATCAACCCCAGCCAGCATGGTCAGTGGGCAGGGATGATGGGAGTTGTAGTCCAGGTTAGCTACCCCTGACTCCCCAGCAGTGGCCCGTCAGTGGACATGGCTGACTGGAAGTGATCCAGAAAGTTGACGGTGCACACTTCCTGCCTCATAGGAAGTGTTGTGAGATGCTTTCCTTTGCTTATAGCCACTTGCTTCAGTGCCACCGGGAGGAGCTGTCATGCTGGACATGCCCCCTCATTGGATTTTAGTACAGTCATACCTCTGGTTACAGCCGCTTCAGGTTGCGTTTTTTTGGGTTGCGGACTGCCAAAACCCAGAAGTACCTCAACGGGTTACTTCTGGGTTTCGGCAGTCGTGCATGCGCAGAAGCGCTAAATCACGCTTTGCGCATGCGCAGAAGCACCGAATCACAACCTGCGCATGCACAGACGTGGGTTGCGAATGCAGCGGGTTGTGAATGTGCATCCCGCATGGATCACGTTCGCAACCCGAGCGTCCTTGGAATTTCCTTGGAAAATGGATTTCATTAGCAGCCAGTATTCTGAAAGCGACATAAAGGTAGTTACCCGAGAAGCAGAATCTGTCCACTGCTTGTTACCTTTCCACAAACTCTTAGCTGCACTTATAGAGGGACGCCCCCCCTGCTGGCTTTCCATCTGTCAGGCCTGCTGTGTATGTACTCTTGTCTACTTCATGCATCTCGTTTGGATTGACCTGTTGTCTTCTCAAAGTTCCTGCCACAATAAACCAGTTGGTTTTGTCATAGAGCTTTCTTTGTCTGAGTTCCAGTCGGTAAGCCCTCACCAGAAACGGTTTATTTTAAAAGCAAATAAACACCCCCCCCATCCAAAAGCTACATTTAGAGTCTCAAAATTGTAGGGTACTTTGGCAATAGCCACAAGAGCTTGAATTTGGTACCCATGTGATGGATTGCGGGTGATAGGAGGGTACAGGGGTTCCCCCCAAGCAAGATAATCAGTGAGTGAGATTGCCTCTGGATGCTTTGGAATAAGACATCCCGGCATGGCCGATGGTCAGGGATGATGGGCGTTGTACTACAAAACATCTGAAGGGCAGCACATTGGCTACCCCTAACTTTTAAACAATCACCGTTCACTAGAAACCAACCAGGTCTCTGGTGGAAACCTCATTAAACATCTTGCAAGGAAGCAGAACCAAGAGATTTGGGGAATCCAAACTCATGATAGACAGGCAAGGGAGAATGCAAGTGAGCCCCAGGCACAAAATTAATATAGTAAAAAAAATTAAGTAGTACTCAAAGAATCAGAGCTGGAAGGGATGCAGGGGATCATCAACCCTTGCAATGCAGAAATATGTAGCTGTCCCTTTTGGAACCTGCAACTTGGCGTTATCAGCACCACACCCTAACCAGCTGAGCTGATTGCACTGATTTTGAGGAAAACAGATCTTTACTCGATATTAAA